GCACTTGAACACACACACACACACTGGATGCTACGTTATGATTTCTTCTCTTGCACTTGCAGACACGCTTGATGCCACGCTATAATGATATCTTCCCTTGGACAATGGATTTTGAGGCACAAGTTGGGCAAAGTGACAACTGAGCGACAACATGCAGGAACTAGCAAAACGTGAGTTTTTTTGGTGTATATTGAAGTCAAAAACGCCGGGGTTGCGACGAACCCCAAAGGCCACCCAAGCGCTCCTCTCCACTGGGCCTTCCACGGTCATCGCCTCGGTCCGTGCGGTGCGCGAGAAGTGTTTCCGGGCCACGGATGTGGAGCCGAGCATCCACGCCTGTGTCTTGGTCCAAAATTTTAGTGAGGAATGAAATGCCAACCAGTTTGCCGGCAAATTTTTGGGTTGCAAAACGCAATCAAAATGAAGCTGGAAAGATCCGGTTTTTTTAAATTGTACGCAACCTCCCATAACCTCCCATTTTTTGTTCTCACTTGTCTCGGGAGACGCTGATTTTTCGGCTTATTTCTTCTCCTGTCAACTGGACCGAAAGTTTGGCAGGTTCAATCCTCAAGTTCCACTGCTTCAACCCCCATTTGATCTGAGCAAATCCCAGTTCTTTTGGGTCGAACCCCTTCCAAAAATATCCCAAAAATTCCCAAAATGACTTTCGATTTGAAACTTAGCCTGAAATCTCTCAATCAAATCTCCCAAAACTGCGGTTAAATTGAATTTCATTGGATTTCTATATGGATCCTGTATATATATATATATGTATATTTTTTTGTTCCCAATAGAATCCCCAGAAAATATTTTTCTATATGAATTTCATTTCATGTTTTATCCCCAGGCCCCAGGCCATCCCAGGCCCCCAGCATCCCAGGCTTGGAATGCAGCACGGCCGAGGAGGCCATGGCCCTGGCGCAGGTGGAGCTGGCGCGGCTCCAAGGTGCGAATCCCGGGGACCGTTGAATTCGGGGAAAAAAAGGGGAGTTCATAGGGATCTACTAGGGGGTTTAGTGGATGTTAATGGATTTTTGTGGATTTTAGTGGATTTTTAGTGGATTTTTAATGGATTTTAATGGATTTTTAATGGATATTAATGGATTTTTGTGGATTTTAGTGGGTTTTAGTTGGTTTTTAATGGATTTTAATGGATTGCTAATGGATGTTAATGGAATTTTGTGGATTTTAATGGATTTCACTGGGGCTTCATCAAATTCAGGGTCAACTTTTGTGGGGTTTGAGGTTGAAGAGTTTTTTTGGAAGGTGATGTGCTGGCTGGTTTTACTGGGGCTTGATGGAATTTAAACTGGTTTCATGGAGATTCAATGATTTGTATTTTATCAGGACATAATATAGTGGGAACATATCATCAGAATATGCGCTTTCTTTTCAACTTGACATGTGTGGTTTTCACTGACAGTTTTCACCGACATTTGGCCCATTAAAAGTTACGACTGACTGTTTTATGTTTTGTTGTTCCCTCCTCTCATGTTTGACATGAAATTTTCAATTGAATTAATTAACTTGATCAACAAACAATGGATTTAGCCAGCACATGCAAAACGCAGAAACGTGTGGCTTCGATGTGGCTTCGATAGCCGGGACAGAAATGGGATATAATGCACAAGACAGCAGGGGTTTCATGGAATCCAGTCAAGATGAGGATATAATACTGTGGATGGAAGAAATCCTGCATCACCTTGGATGGTTGAAACCCTATGAAGAATGGGATGTTGCCTACCGTTTTCAACTGGGGATTTGGATTTCTTCCATCAACCATCTGCTGTAAGATATCATCCACCGTTAAGTCAGCGTGCGGCATGAAGTCACCGACTGGCACTTTCCAAGGGTCATCCATTGGATGATCTGACTGCTGATCTGTAGGTTTGAGAGTTCAAGTTCAACATTGCCGCGTATATATATATATATATACACACATATATATATATATATGGATACCATACATGTAAATAGTTATGCTGCCACTTCAAAATATATGAATATAGATCACCTTTTGGAGAATCAGTATGTTTTACAGAAGTATTCTTAAAACTGGAGGGTCTCCAAAACCAGAGGTCATTACCCAGCCAATGTTTCGTGATTTTACTGGGAACATGATCGCGGTCCTGCAGTAGATACCCCATTGGTCCCAGATCAGTTTCGCGGATGCATGTGCACGCGCACCCATGCATCATTACTCATGTATACACCTACTGTACAACCACACACAGCCCCTCTTTGTCGGTACATGTGCCTAAACATATCTAACAACCTTGGGCAGTTGCAAAAACAGACTCAATTATCCCGCGGTTTATCCACACATGTCCCTCACAAAAGGATGGAACCGCTTCAATTTACCACAATTTTTGAAAACCATGTGTTCATCATTTTACCAAATTCACGAGTTCCATATTCTGAGTGATGAATTTGGTTCACTTACGGTCATTTACCATCACCTACCATCTTGTACCATCATTTTTAGCATCATTTGTACCATCATTACCATCATTACCATCATTACCATCATTTTTACCATTATTTTTACCAGCATTTTTACCATCATTTTTACCATAATTTTAAGCATCATTGGAACTTGGAGCCATCATTTGAGCCATCATTTGTACCATCATCTGAGCCATCATATGAAGCATAAATTTTCATCTTCGGAGTTTGCCGCGCCACAGGTGCCGGTTCTGCCCTGGGCTGTGCCCTGCGCAGCTGTCGATGGTCCACGGAGCTGCGCAAGGCCTTTGAAGATGATCAGCTGTGGCAGGACGGATGGGTGCGGGGGGTTGGGGGGTGGAGGTTGGGTGGTTCATGAAGTCTATGAATACTATACTAACTATATACTATATACTATATACACTATATTATATATAATATGTATAATATGTATGTTATGTATAGTTGGCATTAAGTGCTGTTTTTCAAGATTGCCATGGGGTACCAACTTATAGGGATGCTGGGGGTGAAACTCTGTCAAAGAAATGGGGGTTAGCGAAAAAATGGGTGTCTGAAACTGCAACAAATGAAGCTTTCTGGGTAAGAAAATGTATGGACTGAGGCAGACACAAATTGCAACATTGTAGATTTGACACGCAAAATTGCATCCTTGAAATGTGTGTTTAAGTAGCAAACATTGATCGTGATTTAGCCATTGAAACTGAAGATGTACTTATTGAAAACTCATTCACACACACATTATATATATATATATCATATCATCATATATCATATAATATAATCATGTATCATGTAATCATATACCATATAATCATATAATAATATATGCGTATATATATATATTATTTACCTATATGATGTAAGATGAACCCCTAAAGGTGGATTGGACGATACGAGCAAGACTGGGTGGCTGGAGCTGTAGCCCACTACAGTGGTTGGTCAATCACTATCCAAGTTCTCACCTTGATGAAGTCTACCCTCTGGTAATTTAACGTAGCTATTGAAAATGGCCATTTAAAGTGGATTTTCCCATTAAACATGGTGATTTTCCATAGTTATGTTAGTTTACCAGAGGGTACTTTATTTCCACTGCCTTTTCTTGTTGACAATCTGGGCCTCTATCCAGCTTCAACTTCAACCGGAGAACAAAAATCAGGGCCTCTATCCAGGTTCCACGATGTTCCACGGTTCCATCACGCCGATTCAGGACTTCATGTCGTTGGTGCCGTACTTGGAGATGACTTTGTCCAAGCTTCAGGTCCTGTCAGACCTGGTCTTCCACCAGTTGGAGGAGATGGGACAATGGCGAACATTTGGGGATCCAAAAGCGTGGTACCGATATTTCAGGATGAAATCCTTCACTTTGTATCATTGAATGATATTGAATGATTTGGAGGGATGGATCATTTTGACCCCGGCCCAGGGCCCATACCCGTTCTTTCCGACTTCGGACATTGGGCCCAGAAGGGCCCATTTTCCTGGAAGCCCGGATCCGTGGTAAGATGGTAAGGAGTTACACAACTGAGATGTCATGGGTATACATTCATGCATACATACAGTGTATATATGGTACATAGTCATATCCACATAAAACACACTTCTGCTCGTTTCAGCCATGGTTGTCTTCCCTCCCGCTTCGTCATGCCCACAAAATGCTGGAACAATGAATCCAAGCGACCGAAATCGACCGATTGTTTCTCAGAGGGAATGAAACCACCCAACCAGGAATTGTTCTGTAGGATGGGCAGGAAATAGAAACCCTTAAACAAATCATCTTAAATCATCCAAATGAACCAACCAGTACCCGGGTCCTAAAGCAGGGCGCCCCCAAAACCCAATGGTATAACGGTATAATCATGATTTTCTTAGATGGCAATGTTATCCCCAATTTTCCAGCATAGCCGTTGCACACTTCCGATGATCGCCACAGGAAGATTTCAAGGTCGCTCCGCCAGACGTGGACTTAGAGAGTCCATTGGAAGCTTGGACATCCTTTGGCCTGGAAATGAACAAACCTTGCCTGCCATACCTTGTCACATTCAATGGTTGGTTTTCTGATTAAAAATGGCTGGATTCCAGTACAAGCCAACTCCAGAATCGGAACCATAAGTGTAATTAGCGTGCAGTAACTTCTGGATGGACACTTCTGATTTTGTTTATACCATTCGCAAGTGTGGATACGCACGCAGACTGTAGCTACTTATAAACACACATCCATCCATCCATCCATCCATCCGTCCATCCAGCCACCCACCCACCCACCCACCCACCCATAACATACATACACACGTACATACGTACGTACGTACATACATACATACATCCATACATCCATACATCCATACATCCCTACATCCATCCATCCATCCATCCATCCATACATACATACATACATACATACATACATTTAGATAGATTGAGGATAGATTAGATCAGATTTGATTAGACTGGGGTTGTATCGGTTGGGTAAGGAAGATAGTAGCAATATATGTATACTGTAGTATATTGCCGGGCGTGCAGAAGTGTCTGACACGTGTAAATCAACCGATGGATTGATCAATCTATCTATCTATCTAGTCATTATCATTATCTTCATCAACAAATCATGGCACATCCCTCTTCTGACCAATTCATGTCATCCCATATCAGCATGACATGTTGGTCATATATCCCCATGCTTCCCATGAAAATCCTAATGTTGGATATAAATCACACTTGGAGCTGTGGCTGCTAAACCCCTTTTGGCGTTTTTTTGTCCAGCGGTTTTCCGGTTGGATTCAGTAGCATTATGATTTTCATCATGGTTCGGTTATGATGTCGTTTGATTTTTTTCATGATGGGAGTCCATTTTTTTGTTGATGAAACCCCCATTTTGCATGGTGAAATCGGCACTTCCTGGCTACTTGAGATGTGTCAAAATCCTCAGTCATCATGAGAAATCATCAAGAATCATCAAGAATCATGAAAAATCATGAAAAATCATCAAGAATCATGAAAAATCATGAAGGGCCCCAGGAGTTCCCAAGGTCTTCCTCCATTTTTCCCAAAGCTCAAAACGGGTCCCGTGGATTGAGGACGGCGCCCAGACCATCGCCTCGGTGGTCGAGGGCAGCGATTCCTTTGCGGCGCTGTGGGCGGCGCAGGCGGAAGAAGAAGATCCCAGCGGCAAAGCTCAAGGATCAACGGGACATCAATGGATAACTCAGGGATAATGATTGGATTATCAATCATTAGGGATTATCAATTATCCAACTGAGGGAACAATAGTTCATTATTATGGATAATTCAGGGATCATTGATCAATAGATGAGTAATGCTGTCCCTGAATTTCCAGTAATAGATAATGATGGCTATTCATAAGGGCATTTTTTCTTCCAGTAATACATCTAAGATCCATAGATAGTAATAATTCCCACTAATGATCAAAATACCCTCTGGTAAACTAACATAACTATGGAAAACCGTCATTTTTACTGGGCAAAATCAACTATAAATGGACATGTTCAATAGCTATGTTTGTTTACCAGAGGGTAATTGTATATATTATCCAAGCAATTCTCCCATCATTGGATGATTGAGGGATCATCAATCGGACAATGGGAAAAGGACAATAGAATCATCAACGGATCATCGACGGGACAACTGTTGGGGAATTCCAAGGATTCATAATTAATGGAATAACTATTGGATGATAGGAATAATGGATTAACGGGAAGATGGATAGGAAAAAAAACGGGATAACCAATGGATAACGATAAATGTTCATATATGTTAATATGGGATACTACGTGATGCTAATAATTAATGGGTTGTTTTTTTCCTGAGACTATTGTACTCATAGGTTTTTAAACCAACAAACAAAACTGGGGGGGGGGCTCACCTTGTTACTGTTGGATAGTTAATGGGATATTAATATGATATGAATGATTATATACTAGGACAAGCAGTGGATAACCTATAATACCTATAATCATGCATTTGCTGATGATGTTCTGAAGATGAATGGGAAGATTAATGGGACAACTACTGGAAAGATTAACGGAATAATCAATGGATAATCAATGGCTTACCCATAATCCCGGATTTAAATGGAAGGTGAGACCCTACAGTTTGTGATAGCAAAGTTGACGCTAATATAACTTGGTGAACAGGTTTGGCTGATGAATGGGGGATATATTTATATAGTATTCATGGGTATATTTCAACAAACATAGCTGTGGGGCCGGACCGGATCATCAATTGGTCATATGAAAATATCCCATGAATCATGATACTCAGCTGGAAGAATCACTGGATAATCTATAATCCTGGATTTGCGGATGATTTGTTGTTGGGTTTAACCACTGGGAAATTCATTAGACTTAGGGGATCTTCTGTGGGAAGAGGCGGCGGAGGTACTGTGGAGGTCCACTTTAGGATTTCGAGGGGCATCACATGGTTTAACTCAGCAGAATGGGATTTCACTAAGAAAAAACATCGGATTTAGCTGACAAAAAATGGTTTGGTAGAAACAAACATAGGGGAATTCAGCCACCAAAATGATGGATTTGACCGAAAATGGAAATTTCACCGGCAAATTGGACCCCTGATCCTGGACCTTTCATGGTTTGAATGGTGTTGAACCACCAACCAGCACAAACATCGGGAGACAAGGTATATTTTCCCGGCAAAGAATGCGTTTTTTTTTGGGGGGGGTTTCTTTCTCCCAAAAAACTAGATATCGGAAAGTCCGGATTGGGTTTGCTGTATGCAACCAGATTGTTGGTTTGGAATTGGCTGGCAAAACTCTGTCCCACAGTGGACGTTCTTCCAGGGCACCATCCACAGTGCTGCAACAAATTCATATTTTCGCGGAGGAAATGAACAATAAATACGAGTGCGCATATGAACTAAAAATCACCTGATCTTAACCACCAAATAGCCACGTTGACATTTGATTAGTGCCCTGGAGAAACTTGGTACAAGATTTGGGCGTGGTGGATTCATCGTTTTCAGTATCACACCATATTTTAGGGGGTAGTGAAGGGTAGCAAGGGCCCACTACTACAATAGTGAGGACGTTTTTTGGTCACCCTGAGAGGGTGGAGATTTTACAAAGATGCAACCTACCCTCCCTCCTGGGTCAATTCGAGCAAGCGCATAGGTTCAACAAGCTCCAGTGTTGGTTTATTCAATCATGATTGGAGTGACTCTATATAATTTGACTAGATGACTAGATCCTGGAACTGAGGATTAGGATCCATGTTGGGTCAAGTGCTGGATGGAATGCCCCCCCCGTGTAAAACACACCACTCGTCCCGCTCCAGACCCTATCTTCGATGCTTAACTCTCCATTTCTTGATTGTCAAATCCTCATGTTACAATTTTTTCATGGATAAATCTCAAGTTTCTCATGGTTCAATCCTTATTTGAAGATCTGTTTGCTGCTGAAATCCCCTGAAAAATCTTTGCCCAGGCAACCACGCGGAGGCTCACGACGACACAGTTGCCCGTCTCGGCTCCGATGGGGAGGAGGAGCGAGAAGCGACGGAAGCGAAGCCGAGGAAGAAAGGCAGGTTTAGCCACCCGATCATTGGGGGATTCCATAGGAAACTCTTTGGAAAATCTCGAGGTAAATGAGGTTTCATCATTTTTCATGAGGTTTAGAGCTGGGAAAACTCATTTACAAATGGAGGTTTATAGCTGGGAAAATCATGGGATATCATGAGGTTTATATGTATAGGATTTCACCAACGATCATGGGAGAAATGGAGGAATCTATAGAGATTTCACACAAGTAATGTTTTATACAATGAGAAACATCCTGGAACTAAATGGAGGGATTTCACCAACATAGCTGGGAAAATCGTCGAAGTAATTGGTGGGTTTAGCCACCCGTTTGTGGCCATTCAAATGGAGTAAAGGACGGTGATCCCATTGGAAATGGAGGTTTGAGCTGGAACATCCTCCAACAAAGTATCTTGTGATGTTGTTTTAATGGACAAATCATCGCACTAATGGGAGATGTGAACCCGTTGCTATGTTCGAGAACACGCGAGGGTAAGTGTTGAAGATCCATAGTTGCCATAGGTGTTTCCAACATTCCGATAAAACACATTGTATGTTGATGTCAGCTTCCAGCAATGCATGTGTGTATCATCTGTTCTTCCCGCTGGTGTATTTCTACATTCTTGACGTGGATGCAAACTCACCCCAAGGGTACCAAACAGACACCGGACCTGAAGGCAAGAAGAAGACGCTGACGAATTCCCCGAAAATTGGCAAGGGGAAGAAGTGAAGGGCGCTGGATGATGGTGAAGAGTCGTCTCACTGGCTGATTTCAAACGACCCTAAGCGCACATGATGAGTCTATGTTTGGCAGCGGGGTGGAGCCATCAACAGTCATTGCGATCAGCCAGAGGGAAAGTGATGTACATAACTTCCAATGCTGAGTTGTGTAGGTGTGCTGGCACTCTGGCACTTGGGCACTCGCAGATAGTGCTGGAGGCTTGGGACATAAATGGGATTCAGAAATACTAGAAGTTCAGCCAGGTTCCGCCCAGCCCAAACCTGGATGGCCACTTCCAAACTTCCTTGACCCTCAAAGTACCCATTACAGAATAAAAATAAAGCCGGAGAGAAAAACGCTCTCTGGGGGCTTGAATGCAACATCGTTATGGGATGTTATGGGTAAATTGAAGGTCTCAAATCTAGACCCTGAAGCGAGTTGGGTCTTGACATGGCGAAATGGAGCTGAAATCGAGCTCCTGAAGCAAAAAGCTGAACGCAGGAGTGGCGAAGAGAGGCAAAGGGCTAACCGGCTAACCTTTGGCAAACTACCATGGCAATGGAAGTGTCATGTCTCATATGCCTGTGATAAACATATGTAACGTGTGACATGAATGTCGTTCATTGCGATTGAACCCTTGAAAATGAATATCTTCCGGTCTCTTGCTATGTTTTTTTTCAGTCGGAAACGTTGCGCGGTGAACGACCCAGGTTTGGCTGCTTCCAAGTCAGGGGCTATCAGGGTGGCTCAGGCGGTGCCCGCAATCCTCAGGGGCCAACGACCAGTTCACCATTGATATCCATTGATATAGCGGCCTCAAATGGCCTGAAAATGATGGGCATGGGCATGGTGATCAGGAGAAATCCAACAGAGGCCTCAAGCACCCTCAAGTCATGTCTGAGTTGTTGACTATAGAACATGCAGGAAAAAAACATTCAAATAAAAAAATATTCTAATATTCTGAGGAACAAGACTGCGCAAACATCGCGGGTATGATGAAATACGTTGACATGCACAGCCACCATGGCAATTGCAATGACCAACGCTGCAGGAATTTACAACTAGGAATCCCCATGCCCTCCAATAGTCTCACTTGCAGAAGCTACAGTATTCTATTGCGATATTTGAAAATAGCCCATTGATGATTTACCAGTTAAATGATGAGTTCCTATAGTTATGTCAAATTACCAGAGGGTAAATTGAGGAATGTTGTTCTTAGTATTTCCCATGTGGGTTTCCGACCTGTGAACTGCACCAGGCATGGGTTACTTGGCCAATGCCGCCTCAAGCGCCATGGGCATGCGGAATGAGCGAAGGGGGGCGGGGGGCGGCCTTGCTACCCCCAATCATGGACATACTGACATACCATACAAGTGACAACATGTTAAGGATTTAAGGTAGAGTTGTAACCCACTCAGAATCACTTTTGTTGGCTTGAACAGTCTCAAGCTCTGTACTTGTAGGTACCCTCTGGTAAACTAACATAGCTATTGAAAATGGCCATTTATAGTTAGTTTTCCCATTAAAAATGGTGATTTTCCATAGCTATGTTAGTTTACCAGAGGGTAACGGCACCCGACTGTTGGTCAATCCACGTGTTCGCTTAACACCACTGGTAGGAGAAGGTGAAGCAGTGGTGGATCCATCCACGATTGGAGTCGGGACACCCGTGGGAAGCGAAGGGCTTTTAACCAACCAACAAGGATTTATCTGGATTTGCTGAGGAGATGTTTTTTTTTTTTTGTTTGAATGGTTTTCCCAATGGGAAATTCACTACTTAGCGAACCCAAGGATTTATATAATCACCAAAAATTCGGATACACTGGGTGTAAAACCAATGGTGATCTGGCTGAAATGGGGGATGATGATCCCATTGGATGCCTTTTTTTGTTGGCTTTCGGCAAGGTCATTGATCAAATTGATCATAGATCAAGATTGATCATAGATCAAGATTGATCAAGATTGTTTTCCGCATGTCTAGACACCCATGGAAGTATTCTTATCATTCTGGCTTTTCCTCTGCCAATCGCTTCCAATTTCCTGAACGAGCTCGTGGTTTTTCTTCACGGAGTTCTGCCGGGCCCTCAGTATGATTCGGCTCGTGGACGGGAATGGTTATGACCCAGGGCTTGTGATGCTGCTGCATCTCCGCCGTCATTGGTGCTCTGGAAAATCCGTAGAGATCCGCAGAATTGCAGCTAGAGCAGCCATGGAAGCATGGCAGGTGCACGTGAAGAAGGACTCCTTGCACCTTCCACGCTGCAGCTATACCACTGGCTTGGTCGCTGCATGGAAAACCAACGATGGCTGTTGCTGGGTCATGACGCCAACGTTATTTTTTCCAATTTAAATGCTGAAAAATACGCCGGTGACCCAAGTGAATTATATATGTTGGAACATGTTGGAAAGGCAGTTTGATCACCGGCCAGGTTGTGTCATTGTCTCGGAGTACATCGCTTTGCTGTGTGCCATTGGACTTCAAATCTTTTCTCTCGAGCCAGCATATCAATTCCTTCTTCCAGTTTTTTGTCCCTACTGTGAGGCGGTCCTGCTGGAAGCTGTCTTTCTAATCAAGATGATGTTTGATGTGAATGAAGCTCGCTGGAAGGTTTCAACATTTTTCAGCATTTGTCAACTATGTTCATGATACGTTTTATTCTCCGCACCAGCCTGGGATGATGATCCAAATTGATGCTCCATATCTTGGGGTGACCCAACCACCAACCAGGAAACTATCGACATCCTGTGTTGGATTCTTGTGGCAAAGCGTCTGGAAGATACGGAAAGTTATGACGGGGTTTCCCCACCAGCACCACGCACTATCAACTGCAAAGGCAAGATCCTAAGCATCCTCTTTTTTGTGCTTCCGAAAGTGGCGTGGGCTTACTTGATTAGAATCACAAAAAAAAAAGGATGAATGGAAGACAAGGAAGTATATCAGTATCTTTTTACGTATTAGTTCTAAGATGTTCTAAGATACTTTTTATTATTCAGCGCGGAGCAGTGTTTGTAGTTCCCCCAGCAGGGCACGAAGCCACGATTTTTTAGGGGTTTCTGTTGGCTTTCAGCACATCCAAGGTGGCCATGGAAATCTTTCTGATCCGCATGGGCACTCACATCATTATTTGGACTGAGGAGGGTGCTTTGCTGATAAGGTTCCTTTGTGTGATTTTTGCCAGCGAATTGGATGAATTGGCCTACAATTCACTCTCATCCCAGTTGTTTGGAAGAACTTGCATTTGCTTGAAGGCCGTGACCATCGAAACTGGGGCCGGCAGGAAGGTATATGCACTCCTCTCACTCATTTGCAAGCTCTTGCTAGGGGGAGTAGCTTGGATTTGGATCCGCTGGCAGTTGCAAGTCGCCTGCAAAGACGAGTGACTTGTTTTTCATTGTTCGTTTTCAATTCGTTTCACGTACAAATTTCCTTGGAGTCTTGGAGGCACCGTCGTTCTGCTGGAATGTTAGAAAAAAACACGAATAGAGCAAAGGAGTAAAATGGATCAACATGTTCCCTTCTTCAATGGTTTGATGTCCAACATTAGATGACCTTCGGATGCAACCTGAATGCATTTCTGAGTTGGAAATTGACTGACATGAAATATGAGAGGTTCCTAGACTCAAGAAGTAGGCTCTACTGCTACCTGGGCTACCTGCTGAGGGATTTATTCAGCCAGGCTTGCTGCACTATATATATACTATTATACTGGATGCTGAAGCCATGAACTACATGATCTCCACTATTTCAAGTTGATAGAATGGCCAGTCACACAAAGTGATATTATTTTCGGAAACTACATTCAAAGACTTCAGGTGATGGCTGAAAGTTTTATGTACATGTGGAGATGGATCAAAACCTAAGAAATACCAGAATCATTTATTCCATGTTATTCCATATTTGGTGGGATGGTGAACATCCACAACTTCTAGCTAATTTGATGTGAAAAAGCATGTTGTCACACGACGCCGGACGGCTGAGGCCTGACGTCAGTGATGAGCGATGGGCAGGGTGGAGAAGGGGGCGTCCATGAACTGAACTGGACACAACTGCAGTATACACTGAATAATAAGGAACCGTGAACCGTGGAAGATTATAGGTTGGCATGGTCAAAATGCAATTTACCAGGTTTTGGATGAAACATCATGAACCATTATTAAATCCACGCTAAATCAAGTCCCCGTTAAATCCACATGAAATCCAATCAACTCACCGTTTTTGTTGGTCAAATCCTATAATCAATCTACAGACAATCCGGACGAAATCCCGTGAAATCTATACCAAACTAAATTCCACACAAATTCCAGACTAAACCAGACTAAATTCATCTAAATTCAATTAAAACCAGACCAAATCCACTTCAAATCTTACTAATCCTGTAAAACCCACTAATTCCCATGGTTTTGCCGCTTCACACGCCCAGGTTCTCCGCACCGGTGAGTCGGATTGGTGTGCGCCTGCAGGATATGACCACTGGAGAGTTGTGGGGGCCTCGGTGCCTCAAAAAAAACATGGGTTTATAGGAGTTTAACCAGAAAATATGTTGATTTTATATGGTTTTATAATGTTTTATATACGTTTTATATGGTTTTATAATGTTTTATATACGTTTTTTTTTTTTTTAATGACCAAATTTGACCAAGAAAGATGCCGATTTTATAGGATCTTAAGCCGCAGAAACCTAAGAAATATGTTGATTGACAATGATGAAAACTTCAACTTATTTTGGGCACACACACACACATATATATATATATATAATATACATCATATATGTCATGGCCAATTCATGCTAATTATTTATGGGGATATGATGGGACTGGGATATGCCCTGAGCAAATGAGCAGAAGATATGGAAATCCACACAGGTTTCCTCTGGAAGTTTTTCTACAATCATCATAATCATCCGTTACATACATACATACATACATATGTACATATATCGCATAAATTGCTTGTAGGTTTTGGGTAAGCAGCTACATTGGATTCGAAAGCAAGCAACAAGAGTACAAGAGTGAGATTTCAACCATATGCGGAAGAGGTTGATCTCAAGATACTGAACAGGGTTCACAAACAAAGCGCGGTAATTTCAGGCAACAATGGCGTGTAAGCAGCATCGACGCGATTCCAACCTGGCAGAACAATATCATTTTGAATGGACTAACCTTGGCAAAGAGCACATAGGTTATGACATACTGGTTATTCTTTATGGTCATTAATTGGAAGTACTTGTTCTTCAGCTAATTGCGATGATATCTTCTTTGTTTGGCTGCGTATTCAAGATTACCTTAAGAATCGGACAGGCGTTGTCTTCCAAGAAGAGGATTCTGAATACGGGTGAAGCAGGGCATTCTAAGATGAGAAGTTTTGCTGATGAAAATCCACTAGTTTTGCGATGTACATTCCTGTGATATGACACTGTCGAGGCAAAAGTTCATGGTCACGGGCAGATCATTGGTCAAGAATCATGCCACATACCCTCTGGTAATTTAACATAGCTATGGAAAATCACCATTTTTAATGGGAAAATCCACTATTTCTATGGCCATTTTCAATAGCTTTTTGTATGTTTACCAGAGGGTAGATATTTGTACATATCCGGTGTGGATTTTCCAACCGGTGATGTTCCAATCATTTTTCCAATGATTTTCCATATTGCTATGGATCAAGTTCGGGGTGCCCAAAACCTCCATTTCACCATAGAATCGGTTGGGAACCCAGAAGGGCCTCTCGGTTATTTTTTTGTTGTATTTGTTTGTTATTAGGTTATTCGTTGTTTGTTAAGTAAATTCTATCATCTTATTAGTGGGCGAGTCTCAGCTGTTGTTGCTGAAGTCCACTGTTGGTGAATGAAATCTTCAGTCATTTAAATGAGCCGTTGTTGTTGGTCAAGTCAAGTCATTCCCATCCTCGAAAACCCCTGGCTCCGTGCGAGGCGATGGGATGCCATCTACGACCTCGGCAAGGCGGCTTTTTTATTATGGACGGCGACGGTCGTTGCAGATGTTTTGGTGCTTGTTTCCCATGTTGCCATTTCAACCACACAACATTCCTGTGAAAATCACTACCTTTGGGGTCCAGTTCCACTAAGAAGTGGCTATATATAACCATAGTTGTAGGGAGGGGTGATACCCTCTGGTTATTTAACATAGCCATGGAAATGGGCCCATTTCTAGATGATTTTCCCATTAAAACCTCCATTTATAGATGATTTTCCATGGTTAAATAACCTCATTCTCATCGTTTATCCCAACGTTATGGCGCAAGATAAACCACACTTCAGCGCCGGCTCCGGACCGGAGGCATCCTGGAAGAAGCGGAATCCACATGAGGCAGCGGAATCCAACTGATGTTCTTAATACAAACCATCAAACACACGCATATCTCATATTATATATCACATATATAAACTAAATATATGTATGTATATACATATATATATATATATATACAATATTTATTTTATATATATATATATAACATATATATATTATAATATATATATACAATATTTATTATATATATATAACATATATATATATATTATAATATATATATATTTTTACAATATGTTATAGATATAATATAAATATATGTACTGTTTGTATAAGAGCTGGGATATTTATTGGATGTTTTTGCCAAACTAAGGACTTTTTTGGGCTGAAGAATGTCCATTTTATGCAGGAGAGAACATGCCCGGAAGATGGCTGGCACTTGTGCGAAGATGTCAGGGCCTTGGCCGGTCACCTCGATCGCACGTCGTAGCGACTTGGCGTTTTCGGTAAGAATCAAACTAGATGACATTCATTGTTTTTTGCAACCTCAGCATATTACTACATATTACTACATACTAATCCCACTACCCTCTGGTAATTTAACGTAGCTATTGAAAATGACCATTTATAGTGGATTTTCCCATTAAAAATGGTGATTTTCAATAGCTACGTTAAATTACCAGAGGGTATATGCAATATAAATCAATATAATATGTATTAGATAAGTCCCACAAAATAAAATCTCTTTTAAGGTCGGCCATAGACCAGCGACCCAGGAAGAGCCGGTGGGGGGCGACAAGCCCTTCTTTCAGCCGGACTGGTGTCCTGGGCCGTGCGGAACTTGGGGGCTGTGGGCTGTGGATGGAAGAAATGCTGCACCAGTTGGTGGTAAACATCCCGTTACCTTCTGCTAATTTAGCAGTTTGCCAGTTTGCGAACTTGAACGTTTTTCCCATAGAAATAGTTGATTTATATACCATAATTTACCTACTAGACATGGTGAGTTTCCATAGCTATATTAGTTTTTCCAGAGGGTATATAATAATCCCATAAAAAATTACGGTGTTTCATAGGAATCCCAGTTACCAGCTGCTGCAGGATTTCTTCCACAGAATGAAATTCTCTTGAGAATGGTGTTGTGCCATAATTTGTTCAACTTCCATGATTGTGTCAAAGCCGTTCCAGGCGCCTGTATCAAATACCTTAACCTCAACCCTAATTTAGTATTGGATCTATATATTTTCTGGGGGTGCTCATGTGGGGGAATTTCAACCTGACGTATCCAGCACCCCCGCACTCACAACAAGTTAACAAGTATTGTTGGGGTTAGTGTCAATGAGCCATCACAGTCCGATAAAAAACACTCAGCAGTCTAAGATAGCCATAAACAATCAGATCAGATGTAGACAAAAATAGACTCATGTCATTTTAGATGCAAGATTTGACAGGTCAGTTTGACCCTGTCAAACTCCCTGTCAATTTCTTTGGAAAAAAAGGATCCAACGCTTGCCACCAGTTGGATCATGTCCAGGAACGATGGGATGTCCCACAAGTGCCCAATCAGAACGGCCAGCTGCGAAGCATTTCTGAGACACTGTATTTGCTTATATAAAAAGTTATGATTGTTTTATATTATTTTCATGTATGCTTATAAGTTATGTCATACATGCATACACACATGTATATATTTATATATGTATATATTTGCAGTACATATATATATATATATATATGTGCAAATTATATATATATATATTATATATATATATATCTATAGATATGCATTTGTTGAGATATGCATTTTTCTCTTCATATGCACATCTATGATGTCGACTCTGCCTGTGAGGTACCTGCTCACGGTGAAGAACTTGAGCCAGCGCGACTCACCGGAACAGCCATTGGTGGGGGAGGCACCGGAACGGGTATCCCAAGAAATGGTGCCCCCGTGTGGTTCAATAATTCAGGGAATAATGATTGGATTATCAATCATTAGGGATTATCAATTATCCAACTGAGGGAACAATAGTTCATTATTATGGATAATTCAAGGATCATTGATCAATAGATGAGTAATGATGTACCTGAATTTCCAGTAATGTCGGATCCTGATTAGTGTAGGCCCCCCCTAAACATTTGAAGGTGCCTCTTTAGGCTAGTAACTTTTGAAGGGTCGGGGTCTGAATGATTTTGGATCATGATCTTAAGTAAAGATTTCAATTGATTTCAATTTACTTTCAATTGATTTCAATTTATATACTTTCAATTGATTTAAATTGATTTTAATTCACTTTCCATTGATTTCAATTTACTTTCAATTGATTTCAATTTACGCTCAATAGATTTAGATTTATTTTCAATTTACGTTCAATTGATTTTCATTTGATTTCAACTTACTTTCAATTTATTTTCAATTCATTTCAATTTAGGTTCAATTTATGTTCAATTGATTTCAACTTACTTTCAATCGATGTTCGATTGATTTCAATTTATATAGTTGGATTTTTTCAATTGATTTCAACTTACTTTCAATTAACATCCCATAGTAATCCCATAGAAATATCATAGAAATATCATGGGCATCCCATAGCAATCCCACAGAAATCACATAGAAAGATCATAGAAATACCATGGAAATAACATAGGAACCACACAGACATCCCATAAGACTCCCATAGAATTTCCTCAAACATCCCATAGTAATCCCATATAAATATCATAGAAACATCATGGACCTCCCATAGGAATGCCATAGGAACCCCATAGGAATCCCAGGGAAATCACACAGAAATACCATAGAAACCCCATAGGAATCCACAGGAAATCCCATAGACATCCTTTTGAACCCCCATAGGAATCCCATAGAAATACCATAGACACCCCTTGAGAAGCACCATAGAATATCATAGAAACACAATAGACGTGCCATAGAATTCCCATAGAAACTTTATAGAAATCCCATAGAAACACCATAGAAAGCAAGGAGAGGATGCCAGGAGAATTGAACTAAGCAAGAGACAAAAGCTATAGCAAAGGAACGGAGAAAAGGATTTTGGAAAAAAAACACCCGCTTCAAAAAAAAGCTGGGGACACAATACAGGACCCCCACAACAAACATACTATTGAAGATCAGGGTTGCTCATGGGCTACCCCCTTGAAAAATTGTTTGAGTGATGTTTTTTGTTTAATGGGGTTTTAGTAAGACATCCTATATTTCGGGAATTTAGAGTTTTTGAGAAATCCAAAAAAATGGAGATAAGAAAGTAATATAGAAAAACTAAAGGAAAGGACAAGGACAGGAATAGTTTCACTTCAAAAAAAAACTTGACACAATAGAGGGCCCCCACAACAAACATACTATTGAAGATCAGGGTTGCTAATGGGCTACCCCCTTGAAAAAATGTTTGAGTGCTGTTTTTTTTTTTGGTGTGTGTGTGTTTTAACAGAATACTTGGTATGTTGATTTTGTTCTTTCATATTTTTTTTGTTTAAACACAGTTTGCAATATAAGTAGTTGAACAGATGATAAACAGTTCAAAAAATGAAAAACTAAAAAAACAACAACATGCTGAAAAACAAAAATGGCCTCACAGAAAAAAACAAACTTGCCACAATACCGACCCACCCCAGCAATTCCACTGGGTTAGAATTATTTTTGGGAAAACTTGACAATGACAAAATACATTATCCCCACACTAATCGGGATACCACATTATGTATATATATATATAATTATATATATATACATAGAGATATTATATAATTATATATATGAGGAAATGTGAGGGATGAACTATTGATCTATATAAAAATCCCGAAATCCGGAGTCGATTTAGAACTGGATCATGGGATGCAATGGGTGTATGTTCGTGTTCTGTGCGGATGGGCCACCATCACCATTCCCTGCGGCAGATGATGTTCACTCAGTATGGCATCAACCAGTTGGACAACACGTGCCCTGCCTGTGAATTAAACATATCAAACCTAGCACAGTTTTGGCTTATGAACTTTGGAAAAGCCCCAGTAAAGGGATGATTCATGCAAGATGACACCATATGACGCCCTTTTATGATTCGTTATGGTTGTTTGTTCAATTCGGATGGTTTATGGCACTGTGGTTTACCAATGTTTACCACATGGCATCCATTTACCAGCTATATATGTTGGTGTTCAATAGGGTGCCAGGATTTTGATCAACCGCAAGTCATCATAGATATCATAGGCAGGGAAAGCACCAAGTGTCACCGTTCATGAAGGCGTCCTGGGCCCACGCCAGGTATTCCTTTGAGATGCATGCGCCCCTCTCAGCTGAGGATCAAAGAGTCTCGGCTGCAGCTTGAAGGGCAACCCGGTCCGACGGAGGCCGTCCTGGGACGAAATAGTATTGCGATTTATTGCGACAAAGGGTGATGTTGAATGATTTTGATATATATATATATAAATAATAAATATACCTAGACATCAAAACAGCATAGAAATAAGTATCCCGATTCAATTTCTTGTCAAATGGTCATTTTCTATAACGAGCTCCCTAAAAGTATACGATCCCCCAAAATGTTGACGAATCTCCCTGCCCAGCCCTCCAGCCACACACTGTTGCACACGGACCTGGTGATCACGCTCCACTCTGCCAGGGCACCCAAGCTCTTGGGAAGGTAAACCCTCCACTTTATTGGATCCCAATTGATAGTGGTGGATTTTTTGAATATCTTTAATATTGGATATTGTGATAGAGGTCAATGTTTCAGGCCTTATGGGTTCCCATTCTGCATATAGCTACCACTAAAATGGATGCTAAACAAACGACGGTAATTGCACAATGCCCTGTCTATTGTTCGACGGGCTGTGGTGAGAGCATGACAACGTCTAGACAATCTAGAGATCCTTCCTATCATATCCTCATCCGTCCAGCACATATGTGCTGACGGACTCAAAATGAATTTGCAGCCTGGTCTGGCTAATTGGTGTTGCATGTCGAGCCTTACATGGTGAGTGAGGTGTAAAATATTCAGAACCCATATTAATTTCTGGGTAATTAGGGGCTACCACCAAATAATTGAAAACATGTACATCAATTTACACCAAGAAACGTGATGTGGGCTTGCATGTGTAATTTTGGTCTGGTGTGGTATCCATGGATGCCCATTGCTGCGGTCAATGAAGCCAAAGTTGAATACCCATCCTTACCAAACCCCATCATACATATAAAAAAAATATGTGGTAACCTAATGGTTTTTGGGAGGGGTACTACCCAAATCAAGACAAGGGTATGAGCAGATGTCCAAGCAACTGTGAAAGCCCATCCATCTTGTACAATTTGAACTCCCACATCATACGGAATCCATACCCCATGCTCGTAGATGGTTCGCCAGAAGCGGTCATTGGAACAGCAGGTAAGTTTGATGACTTCCAGGATGTCCCGATACTGCGGGTCCTGGGAATCCAACTATATAGATTTTTGAGGGCCCACGTACTAAACATACCCCATAATACCCCATATAGATCCTTGGAACCCATATTACCCCGTACTATACATACCAAAAAATAACATATCTTACCCCAACATATCCCATACATATCCATCATCCAAAAACAGTGGCGTATCACAGTATGCCAGTCCATGACCGAAATTCGACTGAGGCTGCCGAGATCTGTTGCACTTCCTCCGCAAGCCAGGCGCCGAGAACAGCGGCGTCATGTCCTTTTCCCAAACCACGTGGGAAACCTTTCAGCCTTGGCTTGACCAGTTGAGGGTTCTAATGAATATGAAATGTTTTGGGCCTGGGGTTATGACAAGATCTCGTGCCACTATTCCATATGATCTATTGGGGATTAATTTCACAAGTCAAAATTGCACACCATAATGCAGAAAGAAACGTGTTCTGAGGGAGTTTGAGGGTGGCAAAGCTGAAATCCTGGATACTGGTCGTTTTCTTACGTGCTGAGCAATAGGCCATGAAGCTAGCATAGGCATTCTGCAGTGCATGCCCTGCATTTCCTCTACCAAAATGCCACATCCGAACTAACATAACGATGGTACTGGCCAAGAAATCTTTCCCGATTCCATCGATTGCAAACGTATGGGCAGGGTCAATCCGAATGTATCTTGTGTCATCCCCAGTCAAAAGATCCCGAAGTGGACTCCTGGGCTCATCAGCCTTGAACGGGTTCGGGTTTGTAGCTGAAGGTGTCAAGGATCTCATGGCACCCTTGACGTCATACCATTCCTCGGCACAGGTGGTTGAGAAGCTTGCTCGGGGTCCTGGATGGATTCGTTGGGTTGGGAATGTCATCGATCTACGAAATAATAAACATTTGATCCAAAGTATGGGCTAGTCTCCTGCAGATCACATCTGTGACATTTGGCAGTGCAGTTGTACCCACAATTCAAACCATAAGCTGCTCTGAGGAAAGGCCAATCACCTTTACACCCAGTGAATATGAGTCGATAGTTGTGCTTCTTCCCATTCCAGTCAACCTAGGATGCAGAAACAAAAGTCTATGAAAAAAATATTCACACAAACCCTTCCTTTTCAATTAAAGAATGGGAACTTGTTGACAAAAAATCAGTGGAGAAACAGTAAATCCAGGCTCCTGCAATGACTTCAGATCGTCAGTCAGCAACCGAAGTAGCCGCTGGAAGCTGTCCTTGGTGTATGGAGAAGGTAGCACCGTGTAGAGCAAACGCGTGCACATCGATGGCCTCTGGCAATAGGAGGGCTTGGGGATCATGTAACCTTTCCTTCAGTGTACATAATAGTTTACCAATGAAAAAATAAAACCTGATAAGTCTGAGATGAGACACCCTTGCATGTTTGTTTTCTTTCCACTGATTGGTAAAAGAATTTGAACAGTGACAACCATCACAGGGTTCTTCGCTTTGCCCCGCCCTTCATCACCATGGATGGCAATCGGTATTGAGCGATTCCATTCAGCTTTTGGGTATTCACGGAAAAACGCAAAGTCAGGGTCAACTACTTGGTAGTTTTCCCAAAAATTGTATAGCTGACCCCCGAACGCCTCGGCATTGTCCATGGACTGGCCACCCAAAAAGAAGTGTCCACCATGACGGAAAATGCAGTCTACCCAATCTGTCATTCGAAGGACTGGGTATTTCACAAGGGCCTGTTGGGGCCTCTTTCTAGAATACCGAATCCAAAGAGGCAAAGTAGAAATTTTGACATCGAGCAACTTCCCAGACTTTGCCAGGAGACGATGAAGATTGGAACATGTATGAGGATCAGTCTTAGACTTCCCACATTTTGCCATTCGACTCAACTGTCTGTCCGTAATACCTAAGTTGGGGAGCATTGCATGGTAAGGGTCCTGCAAACATGTTATAGTTCTTATATGCTATATAATCGTTTCGTGGAAATCCAAAGGGTCGACTTGTTGAGAATCCAAGGCACCTTTCCTTTTCAACTTGTTGTTGGCCACAGTAGCTAGTCTCATAACCCGAAGAGCTGTGTCAGCCTCATTTCCAAAGGGCTTTGGAACCCAACCCAAACGCCCCAACAAAGGTTGATGTGTTGAGTTTGGTGACTTCTCAAAAGTTTGGGTTAAGACCAGAAGCCCCTCTACCAATCCAATATATCCCAACCCAGGCCCGAAACCAAAACCAAGGCACTCCGTTTTCCATCCCCAGCATCAGCTCCTCTGCAAGGTCAGCATCGTGGAGAGGATCGTCATCGCTTCCTGCCATTGGGCACGCAGGCTTTCCCAATATAAGTGGTGGGATTGGTGGGGTTCAAGGACCTTGTATGACAACTGTCTTGGTAAAATCCTAGCCTTCATCCAGTCGAGAGGATACCACATTGTCTCGGGAAACACCTGCGAGGGCATTGATATGACACGGTCATCCAACAAACATCTGAAGATGATAATGATGATAGTGACGATGATGAGAATGATGTAGTTGCTGCATTTGTTTGAAAGACGGTCTTTTCGCCTCTCGATCCTTTCTTGCAAACATCCAGTGATTCTAAGAAGACTCTACCGTATGCAAACCCCAACTATGACCACATACATCAAGCCATCGGGGCACTGGGGGCAAGAAATTGGGCTCTTCCCAAAAGATTGTGCGTGTTCACACGCAGTTTCATGTCATGTCAAAGTGACATGCTTGGCACCACTCCAAAAGGGGCGCTGGTATATGACCACTATACTGTAGATCCCTACCTAACACTTTGCAGCCCTCTTTTTTTTGGGGGCTCCCTTGGCTTTGGCTTTCCCTGCAGGCGCCGATGTCGAGGAGCGAGCAGCAGCTGGAGCTTTGATGGACCTGCAGGCCAAGTATTGGGCTGGAGTTTGCGAGAGGGAGACGGGAGACCACCATATATACTTTGTAAGTTGTTCATTTTGGTTTATTATAAGAATTCAACAGAACAATGCAATACCCCAACCTGGCACGCACCACCAAATTGTTCAAGGCAACGTCAGTCTTTGTGCAACTGGCGCAAAGCTGTAGAATTGCCTGTTGTGTCTCAGGCCTCCCATGCAAGGGGCACCGATATATCATATTCATATATGGAAGGGTATTGTATGGAGAGGGTCCAAAAATTGATTCAATCTAAAATTATTTCAGGGTATTGTAGGGAGATGGTCCCGGTCCACAAATTGATTCAATCTAAAATTATATTTTAATAGTTGAATTGCAATACATCATCATATTCAAAAGGCCTGGCAGTTCGGCTTACGGCGCATTCCTTCTGCAAAGTTTCGAGCTTGCTGTAGACATCCGTCATGTGATTCAGCTGGATCTGAATCTGGCTGGCATGCCTTATGATTCAAAACAGTGTGCCAGGCCCCAGAACGAAATAGTCTGACATTTGATTTTTTGACTCACTGTAGTGACACGGCAACCTGTAGAAGATCTGAGGCATATACGCATTGGCTTGGTTGGATCCCACAGTCTTCAACTTCTCCTCCCAAACAAGTGGGAATATCTCCAAATAGGGGAACCCGAAACTTTATTTTTAAAAAACTGAAAAATAAAGTTTTGGGATCCCTTCTTTGGAGACACTCTCAAATGATTATGTGGGTTTGTTCAACATGTAGGCATCCAACATACGACCTATGTACGAAATATGTGTGATCATAATCATAAATTCGACAAACACTAGCCCATGAGCAGTCCAGAACACTTTGGGTCTGGTCGATCTTGCGTCCACATACTTCGATGAAGCTAGGCAGCACCGAAATAGCCGAGCTGTTCTCTTGGATGGTTGGAAAGGTCAACCTAGGGTAAGGAAAGGGATGCATTTAGATAGACTTGACCAAATCAATGAATGCACCACTGAATTTGTGAGATGTAGTATGGAGGTTTAGTTTACACCTACCTCAACCCAGCAACTTGAAAGAGCCAAAGTTCGCCCCTGCCCCATCAGGCTTCTCATCGTCATCGTTGCCGTGCTTCAAGATGGCGAGGCGAGAGCTCGAGGGCAGGTCGCTCTCAAGGAACTGGCCATCAGGATCCTCAGATTGAAGCTGCCAAAATGGTTGACCTAATTGGGCTAAGAACCACCCCCTTAGTTTGGATATGTTTGGATCACATCATTAACATGCATGCCCGCAGATTGCAAAAAAGAATCCTCTGCCAACATGTTGGTTTTGCTGGTAGACTCCTCCCCTTCACGTTGTTCATGGGAAAAGGCATCTTCAAGAACAAGCTTGGCCTCGCTTTCCCCATGTATTTCGTTGGTCCTAATCAAGTTGTTCTTCGAGGCATATTCAAAAGCGTTGTCAGCCATTTTCCTCGGTTGGGAAACCAAATCAGTTAGCACCTTCAAGATATGGACATGTTTTGCTTTACACTTTTTAATGCATGATTGCATGCATGGTTCTTCGTCCAGTTCAAAGTATTCATCAAGTGGTGTTTTGTTACCTATTGACCCGCTTTGCGCTGCCCAATTGTAACTGACTTGAACTTCTTCAGCTCCAACTCTACTGCGCTGAAGTCCTGGTTGTTCTTCAACATCATCTCCCTCAGCTTGGTACCTGAGTCGCCACAGAGTACACGAAAACTAGGCCCCTGTTTGAGATTGAAGGTCCCAAGGTCAACTTAAGTTGAGATAAACCCCTACCATGAAACATAAAGGAAATTGGAGGGAAGAATCGTTCATTTCCCCCCATTGATACAAGATATAGTGATACCATTTGAAAGCCCCTCTTTGGTAAGATGCCTATTTAGAATCATCCCATTAACCATATCTTAGGCACGTCCATCACGAGACTTGAAAAGCTTCACGGCATCTGCAGATGCTTTCTTTCCGTTCACGACGCAGCATCTACGTAACCTCAGGTTCACGGCTAATGGTTGTATTTTGATGTACTCTTTAAAACCAACAAAGTATGAATCTTTGATCATTTTGGGTCGTGGTCTAGGTTTGTGAGATGCTGGAAATTTGATTACCAAACACAGGCTAAGAAACTTCCAGTACAGGGCATCCTTCACTTCAGGGCCCGAAGGTGGAGGTGGGGGTGGCATATCACCACCCGTTCTTGCAGGCAGCTCCGCATCAGCTTCACTTGGAGCGGGCGTCTCACAGACGGTGTCCGCAGGCTCGATTGGTGGGGTCCAATTGGGATCTTGGGCGTCATCATACCAAGTGTCAAGTTTCTGGGACTTCGCTGGAGAAGATACAACACTCAAAGCTCGTTTCAAAGACCTCTTGGGATTGTCACTGGGGTTCACTCCTGCTGGGTAGTGGCCAGTGCTGTGTGCAATGACCGGAGCTCCTGGGACAAGCCGGGGTAGGTGATTGAAATAGAATATATGTAAACGTGATTGTGACTGTAATCAATCATGTAACCCCATGGTTGGGCCTTCCACCAAAGGCACTTCAGGCTTAGGGGAATCTGCGTGGTCACAGTCGTCCAATTCGGCTCTCAACTGTCGAAGTTTTTCTTCTTGGGCCTGAGTTTTCAATAAGATATGGGGACCCAAATCAAAGTTCTATGGTAATCTATGGTATGTGAGCTGACATGGTTTGATTTGAAAAGACTAATCAGATAAGCAGCCTTTATCAGGTCATCCAAGTTCATCTCACTGGACTGCGGGGCTCCGGTGTGTTTTCCAAGCATGTCAGTCCCAGCCACCAGAGTCTGGCAAGACCCCAAATTTGTTCCAGACATTAACGAACGGGGGCAAAAAACCCAACTGAGACTTCAATAGCTGCGCTAGAAATAGAATCATCGCCAAAATGAATGGGCTAGTGCAATGCCATACGATCAAACGGTCATATACTATACCTGGTCCACTATAATGGTCGCAATTCTACGCAACTTGTGGCTATAAGGTATATAGAATTCAATTTCTTTACATTTTTTTTTTAGAAACTACTACTTTTTAGAATTGCGCTCGAGTTGCGTAGAATTGCGTCCGAGTTGCGTAAAATTGCGCTCGAGTTGCGCCACCAAATTTTCCCAACTTGCCAGTATTTAGGGTCGCAAACTGAAAAGTTGACGAATTTTCGTCCGAAACGTGTAACCATTCCGAATTTGCTGAAGTTGACGCGTCAAGGTAGGACGCATCACTGGTGTGCTTTCACCTAGGATATTTCCGAAACAATTGCTTCTGAAAACATGCAGAAAAACGGTCAGTGAGCTACACACCAAACCCGCTACGAGCCAAGACGCCAGGTCTTTGTGGAAAGCTGCCATCACAGGCTTCCACTCGGATGGAATCCTGGGGCAGTTGGTCAAGCCGAGCTTGAAATAGAAAGGTTGAATCAAGTCCCTGAAGTTGAATCTTTAGTTTCAACATATTTGATCAAAAGTATGGTTATAAAATGGATATATCTTTCTTTTCCATCTTTGTGCAGGGTATGTTTTTTTGGAGCCACTGGTGCATATGGACATGATGGGAAAATTCACCAAACATCCCCAAACCAAAATTCTAAAACCAGTCCTGGTGTACTTGCAGGAATACAAGTATTGAAAACATGGTAGGAGATCAGCATCGGGCCAGTGGTCTCCAAGAGGAAGGTCCCTGAACAGTTCCAAATCGGTTTTCAATTTGGAGGGTGTGTTATCAAACCGCAGGTCACCCCGGACTGGGCGATTGAGCTCGTCAAAGTACAGCTGGTGAATAGTGTCTGCCAGGCCACCAGGATATGCCCTCAGCAAGACGCAGGCCCAGCTGGGAATGATTGGGTGGTGGTGGAACACAAGTGGCTTTAGTATGCTCTGATGACGATATAGTGTTTAAAAAGGAAATGCAGATAAAAACAGGCAAGATTCTGAGATTTCTTCAACTCCACCTTGTCTCCAACAAATCTGGCTTTATCAGATTTATCAATGTACTTTCCTAGGATTGGCCAGGTGAAAAAAACGTGTCATTTGATCAAACATATAAGACAGATCTTGCAACATTGCGTGTTCAAATGGTTCTGCTAAGCATCGAGTGGTTTTGCGTGTTGTTTTCTTCTCCCGTTCGGCCCTTGACAACTTTCCCTTATCAAGGCCCATCATGGTGGATAGATTCCCATAAAAGACACTCCGCTTGCTGGACTCCGCTCCATGGTGAAGCATCCAAAAGTGCACACTGAACACCTGAGTTGGTCTGTGACTGGGAGCTGGCAAATCTTTACACTTAGATCCACTACTAGTTTTATAGCCATGTCAAACAGATTTTACGGAAGCTTTCTTGACATAAACATGACTTCAACATGCAATCGAGAATCCCATGCAACCCGGTTGAAAAACCAGTCAACCCTAGGGTGTCGACAGAGAAGTGATTGACTTGGCTGCTCTACCAAGAAGAACAAGCATCGAGATACCACCAATAATAGTGCCAATACCATCCTTGGTCCAACATCCATAAATATATCCATAAATGTGTTGACCCATTGATGGAATAAAAGAATTAGTGTAAAGATCATGTAAACTATGTGAAATAGTCGACGTACTGTAAGTGCATACCTAGAAACCGAGATACCATCACATTGGCTCTGGCTACAAAGCCAAAACCAGTAAAGCCACATGGGTTAATGAGCGAACGCATTGACGTGCCACGGCAGGGTATTCCCCAAGACCCGCAGTCCGGGGCCCACAGACTCAGCGACCGCTTGGCCATGTACATGATGGTGTGTAGGCATAGCCTGGGCAGTGGAGATTTCAACTACCTAATCCAAATTTTTAAAACGTTGCAGTGGGTGTTAACTATAATATTCACTGAGGGGCAAGAATCCGGGGGCACCAAGAAAGTCCATGTGCTTCGAGCTGTAGTCATAGTCAAAGCTGGCCACTTTATATCCCATCGAATGCCTCATATACCAACGAACAATCATTGGATAACATACCAAACAATAAGCATCAGAAGGGCCGTAGTACTGAAACCTAATTGGTGTTAAGATGCATCTTCGCAGACACCCTTCCTTGTCCTGCAAATATTTCGAAGAATTGGTAGGAGTGCTCGGAGGAATTGCCAAGCTGGGAATTCCAACTCAACAGGAGCACCTAAGTGGGGACTAGCGATATCAGTGGGTCTGGGCTCTTTGGATCAATATCAACTCCTTTTGACCAAAATTCAAGCTGTTTAGTGTGAAGTTTATTGAAGCTTATTTCTCAGTCTCAGACTAATGATATCAGCACCTCCAAGCATTTGTCATCAGATCATAATTGATTGGGTCGAATCGAACGGGCTAAGGAATACATCTCATATGGACAAAACTCATGAATGGCGCCTTTGGTGCTTTCACCTTTAAGAGTGTCTTCACCCAAGAGACTTCCGTCATGATACCCCGAAAAAGGGATATGGCGTCAACCCACCAGTTTTGATCTGATAGCGGTTGCGGGATGTCAAAATTGTTTTCTCAAAACTATATGAAATTGCTGCAGAAAGGGTCATGCAGGCAGGTCAACATCGAGCCAGCAGCATGAGGGGGGGCGAACCAGACAGACCAGCTCTGATTGCCCAGCCATCGGCGCGCTTAGGCATGAACCTGCGAGGTCGACGAAAAGCTAAGACTTCAAAAGGCCTGCAGAGTTGGGACACTCTGGGGCATTGTTGTGGGGAATTCAAGGCATCATCAAGGCTGCTTAGCCGCTACGTTCCCACTTTCCCCCACTCGACTCAGCCAACGCACGTGTTATGTGGTGGGCAGCGCTGTGGCTGCCACCCACTGCACGTGGAACAACCACTACGTGGTCAGAACCCCTTCCCAAAGCAACTTATGTTCTCAACATAGTCTGGGTCTCAAAAATGAAGCTTGTCTACAGGACTGAAAGATCTTTATGTAGAATGGGAATTTGAGGTATTCCGACAGCTACCCCAAAAGATCCAAAACGGATCAGGTCCGAGAACTTGTTCTCAGTCACATTCGGCATATGCCTAAGATAGTTTGAATCACTGCGCGGTTTGCTTGGCAGATAAACACGCACACAATGTACAATTCACACGCAGCCATATATGAAAAGGTTAAGAAACACACAATGGGAACACAGTGCGCACATGCATTCAAACGCAAGCTAGAAGTAACCAAGTTGCCTTTGCTGCTGCAGCTTTTGCTTCCTCTGGCGTTTTGCCAGCATTCAGGGCTTCTCGACGGGCTTTCTTGGATGCACACGACTTCCTAGATAGCCTTGCTTTTTTCGCCAAAGTGTCAGGGTCAGTGGTGGTCTCCTGAGTTGCAACTTTCTTATCCTTCTTGCTGGATGCCTTCGCCTTCGCTTTGGGCGCTTTGGCTTTGCTGCTGCTGCTGCTGCTCGCTTTGGGCGGCTTGGCTTTGCTGCTGCTGCTGCTGCTCGGGGCTGCTTTGCCAGTCTTACCCTTACCTCGTGGCTTCCTGGTTTTGGATGCCGGTGGCAAAGTGTCATGGGAGTGATCGCCATTCTCCTCATCATACCCTGTGTCATCCTCCTCCCAATCCATTGGCTCCTGGGCCTCCTCGTACTCGTACTCCTCATCCCATGCGTATTCCTCCTCCATTCCTTCATTGCCATTTGTTTCTGTTGTTTTGCCAGCCTTCCTTTTGCGATCTCCTGTCTTTGCCTTGCGAGTAGTCTTAGTCTTATCCTTTGCAGTTGACTTCGCCTTGGGTGTGGCATTTGCTTTCTTACCCCTGGTAGTTGACTTCGCCTTGGGTGTAGCCTTTGCTTTGGCATGCTTGTTTCTGGGACGTCCCTTTGGCTTGGGAGTTTTTCCTAATGCTTTGCACTGCTCCTCAGGTGACAGGCATGGGGTAGTTTTCACAGCTTCAAGTGCCTTTGCCATTGCTTTCTTTGATATGCCAGCGGGTGGTGCGGTCACTGGCAAAGTCTCCGCATGTTCTGTTGATGCTGCTTCTACGCTTGACTTCTCCTTGGGCTCCTCCTTGGCTGCACCCTGCGTTACTAAGCTGTCTTTGTTGACTGTGCGGGTAAGAGGCTTCGGTGTCTCTTCAGACACATGGCTTGGCGGAGAACTTTTCATGGCCTACGCGCACAAGAAAAAAACGAATGTATTGCATGTAAAGAGTAATATATGATGATATGCAATTTTGTGTAAAGGTACATATCAGCAAACGGGACAAGTAACATGCCGTGACTCCGAATATTTAGAAAACATTGAAATCATAGCGAAAAACTACTACGCCTCAATTGCTGCCAATTGAGATGACTCGTGCTCGCTCATAGGGAAGGTGTCCAACATCTCTGGACCTTACATGGAAGCCCCATGTGCCAGTTGATTGTGTGCATGAATCACACATGAGATAAGTCAAACAACCTTTAAAGATTGATCAACTTTACTTGTGTTTTTAGACTCCTATCCATTCAGATAAGAAACTGGTGGCTGTCCGCTTTTGGGCCATCAAATTTGCCAACTGCTGACGCTCAAGCTGCAACTTCTTCAACAGCTCCAAGCGTTTGATTTCCTTTTGGGCAGCCTGCATGTCTGCCTGAACCCTTGTTTTGCGCTCATGGTCAACCCGAGTAACCCACCTTTTGTCTGGGATTTCTGGGTCATCTGCTGAGTTGGTGGTCGAAACAACTGGCGTGGGTTTGTCATCAAAGGTCAACTCTTTGGGGCACGGATGGGACTTGAAAGACGAGAAGTCGTACCCCAATTGGAAGCACTTCTTGCACACCAGTGGTGACTCAACAAGCACATGTCCCTCTTCACGAACACACTTGTGGGACAGCATGACATCCTTCCTGTCACATGTACGCTTGCAGGTAACACAAAGCCACCCACACTTCACTGGATCACATGGCTTCGGACCAGTCGGGACTGATTCACTACCTTAGATGCGAAAAACTTATTGGGTCAACTCGGTACAAAGAATTCAACTAGCTCCAATTGCTAAGCCATGTTGGAACCCTGTGGATTCGATTGGGGCCCGGCCCCTGCCAAGTTGCGCTTGCGAGGCTGTGGAGTAAGAACCAAAGTCGTGCCAAGGCTTGAGGACCTGTCGGAACCTGGGAAGGGAAGCCCCTGGAGAAATAGGTGCTAGGTTTTATTAATGAAGCAGGTAGGGAGGGTATGTAATAATTGCTGCAACAAACATTCAGCTAGTTGGCCTGCATCAGAAGCAGCAGAAGTCTTGAGAATACCTTCAGGTCGATGTCCATCAACACCATCGCACTCCTACAATCTTAATTAATAGAGATGGTGGATTTTTGAAGTTGGATATGTGTCAAAATGGGGGATGGTCGAAGATATCTAAAAGGGGGGTATATATATATAATTTTCAATGCATACCCAATTTTGAGAAATACCCAGATACAACATGGTAACTCAATCCTGCAGCAACATTTCAAATGACAGATTATGTTATATTACATATCATGTTATATCATTTTGTCTCCTTGGCATTCTCCGGGTGAAGACATTCATCATCGGTCTCTAGCTCTGACTCCGCAGACTCATCCCAATCAGTGGGCTCATCGCCGGCATCAGCTTGAGAGGCTCCATTGGTTCCTGATTCTTCCCCAATGGGGTGTTAGCTTTTGGTATGGGTAAAGGGGTATTTGAAGATTGATTATATACATGTCAAAAATGGAACACAGGGTTCACTTGTTTTGAATATGCGTTTTAGTATCCCTGAATGCCAAACTGGAATTCATTTCGTTATCAACTGGGTGAACAATGTTATCCAAGATTCCAGACTCGGACTCGAAATCAATGCCAACGATCTTGAACAGCTGTCGCAAACGTGGATCACGGGGAACATGTGGCCTCCTAGTAACCTGACCGAAGAGACTCACCAAACGTCTCAGAATCCAAGCCTCCGTTTTGATAGCACTGCCTGGGCAGAGATTGTTAGGGTAAGATGGGCTAATGATGGGAAATCGGATTATAACGGTATTGACAAGTATACAGTATACAAGTTAGCATCTGTTTTTTTATCAATAAGGTTGCCCATTGATCTTCGGGTTTTTGCAGTCCAGTTACTGCATGGGAGCTTTCTGCCGCGAGGGCGGCAAAGAAACAAGAATCGACCCACCACATCCATCACCTGGTTGATACTCGGACGGGTGCCTAAGTTCCGACCAAAAAAGAATGCTGTTCATGTTAACTGTTCAGAAGGTAACATCCGTGATACAACAGGTAGGACTTGTGATGACTGCTGTTTGAAGCTAGGGTGCCAAATTCTTGAATCAATGGCTCCAAGATGTCAGCGTTTGCTGACACACATTCACGGGTCAGCCCATCCTTCCCCACATCAGCGAGTTTCCCAAGCGCTGCGCGAGCAGCAACATCTGGAATATCCAGCCATGATCTGATAATTGGGCACTTAGAGCGCTCAGCTTCAGAAGGTGAGCCCCCTTCACTCATGGCCAGCCACTCCAAATAGGGACCTATCTACCACCTACCTCCTTCAAGCCACAGTTTGCTGCTAGATAAAGTTCAGAGTTGCTCATGTGACAAAGGGGGGTGTCCCAAACTTTAGATCGTATGTGATTTAGAGGCTTGGGGAACCCGTAGTTTGACACACCCCAAGTTGATGGTACCCCATGTGCTCGAAACCAATTGCCATCCAAAGTGGTGGGAACCCTTGGCGCCAGGCCTGAAAGATCAAGTACCTGCTGCGGCAACACGCTGACATACACTATCCCGATTATCCCGTGCATCTACAATTGCATACAAAATCACGTAGATTCAGGCTCGACACTCAGGGCGCACCATTCAGGTGTGCCATCAGTAGCTGGCCCGGGGTTGTTGGACTATCCAGCCAAAATGGCTATACAGTAGGGATCACAAGGGTCAACATGGGCTAGTAAACCACATAAAAGTAGGCGATTTCCAGAAACTTGTCGAGCTATCTAAAACAGATACGAATCATATGAAATTGCTGATTTCTTGTCATTTGAGTGAAAAGTAGTACAAAGGTGGGGGGGGGGTACTTTTTTCTAGTACGAATGGATGTATAGGTATATATATATATATATATTGTGTGTGTGTTTTTTTAAAATGGAATGGCTCATATTGTCTATTTCATTTGAGCTGAAAGGTTCCCCCATGAGTAGCCGGATGATTTCGAGCAACATCTAAAGCTGACCTGTTGTGCATTTGCGAAGCCGCCTGAGATCGATTCAATGAGATTCAAGGCGGCTGTTCAGCTCGGGGGAGCAAGGTGGACATGGGATCTGGCACCAGCAATCCCTGAATTGAATCTTTACCTGGTTGGTGGTTTGGAACATGGCTTTTGTTTTTCCATACATTAGGAATGATAATCCCAATTGACTAATGTTTTTCAGAGGGGTGGCTCAACCACCAACCAGTTACAATCGATTACAACCCTTAACCCAAGAATGACCAGAAATCAGACCAGTAGATGTGGGATTCAATCACTCAGGAAGTGCAAGTATGGCTAAGGATCGAAAGTCATGACTCTACAATTTTATCAATTTTAATGCTTGAGTGCTGACAAAATTCGTGGCAGTTGTTGCATTGTTTCTGACCCCCATTGACTTCAAAGGTGGAAAAGGCCGGCAAGAGCCATGCAAGCACTTTTTTTTCTCAGTCAGCCCTCATGTTGATCAATTGAATCACTTAACCCCCTATTTTGTTGCTTGAACCTGCTGATATACTTGCTGCTGAAGCCCAGATTTCACGCCACCATGTCCGACTGTTGCTTCACTTGGTTAAGAACCCTTGTCATTTGCCGCCCATGTCAAAGCATCATGTGCAGCCATAAAATGTTTGCTGGTTGATTCATTCTCCTCTTTCACCCTTGTTCGTCAACAGCTGTCTTGGCAATTCTCGGAATTTCAAGGAGAGACATGGAGAGACAACTCACATTGACATATATTACATATATACAATATTTATATATATATATACATACATATATATATACACATACATATACATACATAGATATATATATATATATACATTATATATAATATGCACAATACACAACACACACATATATATATATATATTATGTATGTATGAACAATTTTAGATTTGAGAACACATGTTATACATATGATGTATAATATAAATCCCCTAGGCTGCCTAGGCTCCTGGCAAAAATCTTGATCGCCAGGCATGCGAAAGGATGATGCCCTAAGTCGAGCCACGGGCCGTGGCGGTAGCCCTGAGGGGATCGCCGAGGAGTCCGCAAAGGGCAAGGTGCGGTGATGAAAACGCTGGAAGTTGCCATAAGTTACCCTCTGGTAAACATACAAAAAGCTATTGAACATGGCCATTTATAGTGGATTTTCCCATTGAAAATGGTGATTTTCCATAGTTATGTTAGGTTTAAAATGGAAAATCCATGAGATGGATGGGTTAATTACAATGGAAAAGCCAGGAGATGGATAATCCATGAGATGGATGGTTTATAATGGAAAATCCATGAAAATCCGAAAATGACGGAGATGATTTGGAGGTAGATTGGAAACCTCCATGTGGATTTACTTTATGTGACTTTCATAAATTGTACTCTGGAAACTGCTGATTTAAAGATATATTAACAATTGAACTGGGAAATATGGGGAAAATCATCGACTAGTTGGGATCTGATGGATTTGACCATTCAAAGACTGAACATTGGCATTTGGAGTTGAACATACACAATACATGATGGGTTAGCCTTGATAATTATATCAGGTGACTGAGTGGATTTTGAAATAAAACATGTATGGAGGAACATTTGGCATCAGTATCTCAGATTGGCAGTGGTCCGAGCCACCATGCTGCGTGGTTTGAAGACCCAAACTGTTTCATTGTGGATTTCGTGGTTATCTAAACTTGTCAAAGGCTCAGTCACACAAACCCTCTAAGTGTATCTAAGTGTAATATAGTGGATGTAAATACATCAATGTATTAATTTGTGTGGCAAACTCAAGAATAAACTGACCATTTGGGGGATGCTTTATACTACTACCCATTTACAATTCGGGGATGGTGTACTATTGGATTACCCGCATTATATCAATATGTGCATGTCATTTGTTGTGGGCCCGTGCTGCACCAAGTAAACCAGCATAGCAGCGACCTCAAACGACAAAGCCCCTTGAATAATAGTTTGTGTTTCTGTCCGGGGAATAAATCATGACCATACTTAGTTACTCTTTATTAAAAAATATAAAACATGTTTTCAGGGTAGTCAGCCTATATGTGTCCGGGCAGATATTTATATATATATATACACAGAGAGACACAGAGAGAGAGAGAGAGAGAGAAGAGGACACTAAAACTTTAGAGTATCATGGAAATCCCTGAGAGAACGGTAGGACACCTTGACATATCTTGACATATCTTGAAATCATGAGGCACAGATGATCTAAAGTCGATCCCGGAAAACGGTTCAAACGTTGCAATTGCTGTTCCTAAAGCAACATCAATCCCATCCCAGTTCGTGGCATCCCTCCGCATGCGATGAAAGGTGCCAGATCAGGCAGATCTCATGAAGCAGGTCACCGACTTCAAGGTCCCGCAGGCCGCGAAAAGCTACAACCCTGGCGAAAGTTACGTACTGGTAAGGTATGATCATGTTTAATTAATCATGTTTAATCTATAGTGTCCATGATTTTTCAATGGCCTGGCATTCTGAATCAACCTCAATGAGATTGTTGATTTGGGATGATTTTCCCATGGTGTCCATGGTTGTCCTCTTTACCGGGGGTGAGGTATGGTGACGCACTTCAGCAGCCTCACAGGGTGCTTAAATCAATGTTCATTTAAGCAGAAGTGGGAGATACCCCATCACTTCCCATGAAGATCACATGAATATTCTGTTAATTCCCATAAAATCCAACTTGATGTTCATAAGCGAGCTGAGTGATTTGAGTAATATCAAACGACGAGCCTCTCTTTGTGAAGATGACCTGCTCAGGGTGGTAGTGCTGCAGATATTGTGACCTGGTGGAAGTTGCTGTGGTGTTGGTATGCCCTGACCCATTTGACCCATGGGTGATTAGGGGTGCAGAAAGTGGCAGAAAGCTCCAAGACAAGGGTCGTTTATGGCCGTTTGGTCGCTTGGGTTTGAAGATGTTTCACTACTTTTCACTATTATAGCATATCTGGTTGGTGGTTTGGAACATTTTTTATTTTTCCATAGTATATGGGATAATCATTCCCATTGACTAATATTTTTCAGAGGGGTTGAAACCACCAACCAGATATTATAGCGTAAAGAACTGCATATTTTGTTGCTTGAACTCCCATTTTCGACGTACAGCGCTGGCCCAATTTTTGACGTGAATCATGAATCGATCATACCAGCAAGGCAGAGTTTCTGCCATTTCTGGTGATTGTTTTTGTTCAAGTGTAAATGATTTCTTATTGTGGATGCAATGGATCTAGATGATATCTAATTTTCATCTAATTGAATCTATATACATCGTTGAATCATTGTATGAATATAAGTTCATCCTTATTTACATAAACCTACCCTGATTGGCGTTGGCTTTACAAAAGTCAGTGGGTTATGCTATATCACCATGATGGCGGGTGAGGCTAAGAGCCAGATGGGCGACAGTCCCTACAGCAAGATGCTGGACAACAGCCATTTGGCGGGCAGCTAGGGGATGGGGAGCAGGATGGGACCATCCTGATGTATCCTGAGATGTTGAGGTTTTTCCCCTTCTTTGTTAGCCTCCTTTAAAGAAGCAACGGTGCATCAAACGGGGATGGTTTGACCTTACCCAATTGAGCCGTCAAAGACGGTCCTGGGGGACATATTATGACCAAGGCCCTAATTCGAAAGTTGCAGTATGTTGCACTTGTTGATTGAAGTTTGCCACCCATCCCACACATGTCGGGGTTGGTTGTTCACGTGTTGGTTGATTGAAATCAAATAACAGGATGCAAATCGATACCATCAGTTCGATGGTGACATGATCGCCATTCGTATCTTCTGTTTCCTGTGATTACCCCGAAAATGACCCCCAGTGACCCGACCTGAAATCGAAGGCAACACTGAGATTTCGGTTCGTGATCCCCAACCGCCACGGACGCCACTGGGATGTCAAGGTAACTTTGCCAAGACCCTCTGAGTGGAGGGCAAGATCCTGCTGAATCACCAAGTCTCAGCCAAAAAACTCCAGGGACTGCCAGTTTCAGTCTAGAATCTCCAGAGAAAAAGTCGCTGGATGCCAACCGGACAGCCGAAGCACAGGGAAAGTTTGATCGAACTTAGCCGACTTAGCCATCCTCTACGCGGGCATGATTTTCCAACACTTCTGAAACCTTTTAACATGGATTTACCGGAGTTTTTGGACCATTCCCACCACAGACCTATACTATCCTATACTACTATACTGACATATACCAACTATACCATGGAACTCAAATTTCTGGGGGTTGGAAACTACTTTGCCATTGGGCATGGCCATGTTTTTTTTTCGCTCCGCCTTCGGTGGAAGATGCCCCATTCATTTAAACGGCGCCGCCATTGGGACCGAGCAATTCGACCACAGGGTGCTGTGCGCATCAGTTGGACTGGGATATGGGCAATGGCCAGGGGAGGTTAGGCTTTGAAGACTTTAATTTGAAACTTGGATCTAAAGAGTTCAGTGGATGGCCCTGGATGGTCTGTTAAGAAAAGATGTAGATGATTGTTCATTTCATAACAGGGTGCCCGGGGCTGACAGGTGGACAACAAGCAAAGGTTAATTTTGCTTGGCTAGGTCAGGGTGCCCTCGTCATCTTTTCCTGCAATACTTGTGTCATCTTCGTTGTTCCATCACGTTTAAGGCATCAAATCTTTGGGAATTAGATTGCCCTTTGGTTGGATCTTCACCTTTTGTGGATGGCTTTCCTCTTAACATGTTTGCATTGAGATTTTTGGCGATATTTTTCCCTCTTGCCTCAGTCAAAGTCTGCAATTATTCCAATCTTGAATGTGCATGAAACATCTACGTATGTGGGGAACAATATGTGTATGTATATATATATATAGGTTTAACTATATATATATATATATACATGTGTGTGTGTGCGTGTGTGCATGTCACTCTCCCACTGTGATGGCGTTGTACAATTTTCCTCTAAGCGTCTCAATCCCTTTTTTTCCGTCTTTGAGGACCTCCTCCTCCTCCCTGTTGGAAGCCATCAACCTCAGGCCTTAAATCAGGTCCAAGTCCCAAAGGGTTAGAAAATCAATCCAAAGGATCTTTGTTTTAAAAGTTGTGGCTTTGGCCCTCATAAGCCATCGAAGACCCTTGGAAGCAAATAAATCCTTGCTTAGGAAAGCCATCGGTTCGATGGAGAAAAACGGCACATTTCTTGTGACATTTCCATTTGGTCCATGAGACATCCAGAAACGTGGTGGACCAGCCTTCTTTGGGCCATTTATTTGCCGACTTGACCCATGTGCCACTTCAAGTACCACTGTTGATTGGTGAAAAAATGGGGGATTGTACTAGCTGCTAGCTGGTCCATGGTGGATTCTAATCCATGTAACATAGATCTCTATTAGTCTAGTCTATAGTAGTGATGCCTATTCCATGGTTACCATGGAGGTTTTGTGGTTGAAAATCATCGGACTGGAAAATATTAGTCCAGCAAGCCACCATTCAGAAAGATACCTTTTCCTCACTTAAAATCACCCCACAAATAGCTACAAATATGGGTATTAATCCATATTAATCACTATTCATCCATATTAATCATTATTAATCCATATTAATCCAAATTAATCACTATTGATCACTATTAATCCGTATATAAAGTCGAAGACTTCGCCGTGACTCACGGTGGCCCTGAGGAAACCCGAGTTGCTGAAGGGCCTCCAAGAAGCTGGACTGAACTCCGCATCGGCCATTCAACAGCAGAGCTTACTGGCGATCTTCGCGGGAAAGAGCTTGTTGGCCAAGGCGGGTCCTTTAAGCATTTTAAACGTTTAAGGGGCACCGGGTACCAGGTACCAGGGTCCAGAAATATGCGGAGATGGGGTAGCCCAAAAACATGTAATGGCAGAACTTGTGATAATTGATTCTGATGTTACTGCAGATGAGTTTGGATGCTTTTTGACAAAGATGGGTGGAAAGGTATGGTTGGAACGTTGTCCATTCTGTAAAACGTTCAGATCCTGTCTGTTTGATATTTTGCTCGTGCACAAGAGGGTATAGTTTTTCAGCTTGTTCCTGGAAGGTCCAATATTACCTTGGGTGGGTGCGGCCGCCAGTTGCAGTTCTCATTGCTAATCAATTTTGGGTCTTATTAATATGATAAAAGCAACTCCGCACATCATTTCTGTCGTCCCATGATGCTTCATCTTTCTTGGTATGTTTTGTTTTGGTAGGCCAATGCCTCAATGGATTTTAATGGTATACATTCATTTTGCTGCAAGTGAATGATTTGACTGTCCATTACTACCCCATGCCCGATAACAGAGACACATCAAACACATCAAACACATCAAACAGACTCTTTTTTGAGGCATATCCAGGTATCCAAGCTAAGCAATGAATAGGGCCACTCTTCTTTTTTTCTCATAGGGATTCAGCCACTCGCCAGTTGGACCAAACGCGAAAGGCCACCAATGGCAGTGGAAGAACGGAAGCTTTCGTCATAGCTTTGCTGGAGAAGTGTCACTCTACGAAGAACGCGATTCAAGGTCTCTTAGCTAGGTTAAGTCATCATTGATGATGGGTTGAGTAAGAGACATGAGAACTTTAGCTGACCAACTTCACATTTAGTGAGGGATTTGACTTTAAACAATCACAAGACAACAAAACCTAGAGTCCTAGAGATTGTTCCTTGAGAAGGCGACGGTAACCTGGCCATAGGACTGGTTCTGGTCCCTACCAGAGAACTGGCCTTGCAAACCTCCAACGTCTTAGGAGATGGCGGCAGCTTCACCGGGTTGGTTGGAGAAATCAGAGGAAACCATAGATTTTATTATTATTATTATGACTATGATTATTACTATTATTATTACTATTTATTATTGACTTAATTGTTTTTTTTTTAACAATCACAATAACAATAATAATAATAATGATGATAATAATAATAATATATTTATATATATATATTATATATATGTTCATTTCAATAATGCTAAGCATAGTGATAATAATGATGATATAGAATTTCCATAGTTTAGAGTAGATTCCATAGTTTAGTTTAGATCAGATGTGTAGCTAGCTTAGCTTTATATAGAATGTTTTCTCCATGCGCATGTTGGTTTAGGCGTTCTATATACATGGGTTTCTTGTAAGAGTGTCCCTTAAACCAATGCTCAGCGGCGCGTGGAGGACTCCTTGGGAAGCATATGGACATGAAGTACATTGTGGCCAAGGGCGGGACGAGCATAAGCATCTTGCCTGCAGTGGCATGTGGTGTCCAATAGGCAACTGCTTGTAGTTGATGCAACACCTGGGGCGTCGTTTAAGGACTTTAAACTGAAATCTGGTGCAGCAAACCCGGGCCCAGTTGGCCCAGTTGGCCCAGTTCTTCCTGGCGAATCAGGAGACGATCTGGTTCGTTTGTCTGGTGAAGTTCATATCTTGATTGCCACCCCTGGACGGTTGCTGGACCTTGCCCACGAGGCTCCGGTGGATGGCAGGGGCGGGTTAGCACCTTGGCCTTCATGCACAGTTGAAATCATTCTATGGGGATGGGTCAAAACCAATTATTACCATATTGGGGGAATAAACATTCATTAACCAGCTTTTTTAGGGTACCTATGGTACCAGGGTTTTGAGGCATAGCCCTATCACGATAGCATGTGGCAAGCATGCTGATATACACTGTCTTGCAGGACGCCTGCAACCTGTGCCTTGCCTGTAGATCGAGAGGTCTGTAGCTGGAAGGGATGGTATACACGGGATGTGGCTGGTAAATCGTAAGTCTGATTTGTGTTGGTAGGAAAGAGAGAGGACATTTTATATGACAAAACTATACAAAAAACTAATAGTTATACATACTTTTACATAGTTATACATAGTTATAGTATATATATATATATAGATTATGGATTTTGGGATGCCCTTTGTGCAGACAAGCAGATCTGTACAACCAAATTCTACTCCAGATGTGTGACCGTCGTTGAAATCAGCAAGCCATGTCACCTCCAACCGCCTTTGTCAAAGTTTGGGGGTTCTTGGATGTGCATCCCGCTTTGCTTTTGTGGTTTATAATTCATAATAACCCATTATAACCCATATAATCCCGTATATATATATATATATATAAGAGTGGGCATGTTCCATTAATCTATAACTTGTGTTTTTTTTGATCCATCTAAGTGGGGGACCGCACCATACCGCGTTGGCAATCGCATGCAATCGCGTCTCAGGAGTAGATGCCAGTTGATCGTCATGGACGAAGCGGATCGTTTCTTCTGCCCGGAACTTCTACCGATCCTTGAGGACAGCCATCTGAGACCATCTGGGGATTCCCTGCTGGAAAAGTGGCAAAAATATGTGAAACATGGAGAAATAATGAGAAATATGTATATATATATATATATTATGTGAAATCCATAGAAAACTACCATAAAGAATGAAGCAGATGAAAGGAACAAGAGCACATATATTGATAATTGATGCTCCGATAGTTGAGAGCAAATATGCTAGATCCCTGTTGGTTTGCCCACGCAAAATTAAAGAACATCCTGGCAGAATAGTTTGAATCACCGAACTGAACCTGTTGAAGATTTTCAGTGGTCCCTGCGTTCAATAGAACAGGTTCCCCATGGTTCCCCCAACAAACCCCGATGGATTTGTTCCACCAGGATCACCTGTACTGATCACGCATCATGTCCGAAGCCAAAACCACAGTTCTCTCTTTCCCTCTCCCTTAGGTCCCTTAGACATATTTGTTTACATTTATGACATATATATATATATAACGATTACAATGTATTACAATGGAATGGGTAATTCTTGGAAATATTGTATGTCCAATATACACAATACAGCAACAACAACGACGACGACGATGACGACCACAACCACAACCACAACCACAACCAGAACAAGAACAAGAACAAGAACAACAACGACAACGACAACAACAACACCAACAACACACACAATCACACACACATATATATATATAATGATGGTAGAACCCGTTGTGTCACCTTGAAGTTCTCTGCGCACCAGGACATTGTGCAGTTCCTGCCCTCGCAGAGACGGCAGTTCTTGATGTATTCAGTGCCAAAGCTCTGAAAGATATGCGAAAGATCTGGGATTCACATGGATTCACCAGCTTAATGGTTTTTAGGAGTTTTACGCAATTTATTTCTGGAGATTGGGGATGGTCTATTACTTATTATTTGGTCTATCACAGCATTGGGTCTGTGCCGTTGTTTCTTTCCACTGTCCTGCTGCATGGATTGTTCTTGCTCTTCTTCTGGTGCTTCTGAGTGGAGTTTCTGTTAAATATCCAGAATTGCCCGGTACCTCACTTGAAAGCTGAAGGATCACCACAACTTGTTCACCCACTTCGTAGACCCGAGCGCTTTCCAAGCGTCAGCTGACCTTCGCTTGGTAAGCGGTACCTGAGGCAACTTACCCCAGTGCCATGGTGCATTTCAAGAATTGTCACCTAACAGATGTGTCACTTGGCGCTTTGGTCGGTGGGTCCAGTCATCTAACACCTGGGTCAGTTGGAAAACGAGTGACAGCACTGATGAACCCCCCTAAAAACCATGCGTTCGGAAGATCATGTTCTTACCAGAGGTGGGGTATATTGGAGGACAGGCACCCGAATGAAAAAGCAAGCGCCTGGTGCTGTCATATCCACTCGGCATGTTTCATCCCTAGGAATGTGGGCCCCGCAGTGATAAGTTGGTTTTTCAACCCTATGAACATCCATTAACTATAGTACAGTTATAAGTTATATAAGTATCATAAACCATAGTTATTGGAGTTATTTGCACCAGCTATCGTTTGGGCCCCCCCATTTTTTGGGAATGTGATGGGTTTTCGGAGTCGTTGCGGTTGCCCTTTTTTTATCGGCGAGGCATGAGGTGAATTTCAAGGAGCAGCTGACGCTCAATGGCGTCTCGCAGTTCTATATCTGTGTGGAGGAGAATCTCGGAGATTTATGAGCTGAATATACCCTCTGGTTATTTAACATAGCCATGGAAAATCGCCCATTTATAGATGGTTTACCTATTAAAAATTGTGATTTTCCATGGCTATGTTAAATAACCGGGGGGTATATATAGATAGATAGATAGATAGATAGATAGATAGATAGATAGATAGATCTGGTTGGTGGTTTGGAAATGTTTGGAACATGGCTGGATTATTTTCCATCATATATGGGATAATCTAATCCTTCCCATTGACGAACTCATATTTTTCAAGATGGTTAAAAGCACCAACCAGATATAGCTGGACGGATTGTGGGCGGGAGTTGTTTTTGCTTGGATGATGTGCCTAGTAGCAGTGCGCCCCCCATGTATTTCCACAAATCACACAGCTCAACCCAATTCTATGAATGTAGGGACAGATGAGGCTCTGTGCCATTGCAGAAAATCGAAAATTATGGAAAACTCACCATGTTCCTCATCAGTGTATTCATTGTCATAGTCGTGCTCATGCCTTTTGTATTGGGAGTCATCAGCCCTGACGATATCGATCTTGCCTAAAATGGAGGCAGCATTTTCATGCATTTTCAACATGTTTCTCTGAAAATGAAGCGCGCTGCCTCAGAATTAGTCTATTACGGTATATAGTTGGCTTATATAGTCGAAATCTTCAGAAGCGTATAGTAATTCATAGTGCCCCTCATTCTTTCCCGCGAAGCAGCCAAGACCCACTTCCGGTCAAATTCAGTGCCCAGGAATCGAAAGGTGTTCTGCCTGACGAAAGCGCTGTCCACATTTCAGATCAATCAGGTAGTTGGATATCCCCAAAGGGTCGGGCTGAAAGGATGCCCCCCAAAAATGTCCAGAAATTCAAGACTTCGGGTTTCGTTGAGCAAACAAATATCAACAAATGGGAATAGGCTAGGGGGAAGCCATTGATAACCCAATCAAGGTCTAAGTCTAGAGTGTTTCATGTCCCTTTGAGCTGGCCAAAGCTGGGCAGTCACTGACTGTTGGATGCTTAAGGCGTTCATCTTGAGCCGCAGATCCTAAAGATCTGGTATTCCATTGGGTACAACACTGTCATTTAGGTTATTCAAGCAGTTGGGACGACAGGTAGACAGACAATGATGTATATCCATGGCCAACTGGATGCTGTATGCTGGCTTTCTAATTGGCCTTTTTCAATGAAACCATTTCTACTCAAAGGATTCTGGAAGGAACACCCGATGGTACGACGGGGACTGATGGCAGGTGGTTTCCAAACCAGTCGTTGAATTTTTCCGGCTGGGTTCACCAGGGGGTGTAAGTGTCTTACACGCTAAAGATCCCCAAAATCTGCAACAGCATACCCATAGGATCCATGTATGCCATATATGGTAACATTTACCATCAATATACCCCAAATGTTAGCATATATACCAGCACCATGGATCCTTTGGGATATAATACACCCCAATAATTCTCGCCAGTGCCCCGAAGCAGGTCATCATTTTCTGCAATTCGGTGACTCGCGTGAAATTGCTCGCCCGGAAGATGACGCATTTGGGTCGCTCGGAAGACACCAACCCATGCGTCGACCTGGGGTGATCCTGTTGCATGGAAGATAAGCACTCAGATTGGCAGTTAAACCGGCACACATGCAGGTATTAGAAGCAATCATAGGGCTATGCATATTAATGTATCAACATTATAGTGTTTTGGGATCTATTGTCCGTTGGCGGTTAGAAGATTCTTCACCAGAGGACCCCTAGTCTGTGGACAAATGGTTTGGCTTTTGGGTGTGCCAATCCCACCTTTAGCGTCTCTTCTACTGAGAACTCGGTATTTTCTGGTTGGTGGTTTCAAGTTGCTTGTATTTCTTGTATTCCACCCCCTTATTGTTTTCATTATGTCGTGATCTTTTCCAGGGGCAAACACGTTCCATTTTCGCAGAACCGCTGTGAGGTTACCCATGTCTCTTCTTCCACCCGGGCCTTTTTCAGTCTGAGAGACAACAAGTTCTTCAAGACGCGTGGTCTGGAGCTTGTCAAAGCATGGTGTGTTCTTCGCATTTCATGCGTGGCATCGAGACAGAGTCGGTCAATGCGCCTGGATGATGAGGATGGATGTCTGGACAGTGTCAATTTCCCGGGGGGTGGCCATTTCGGTTAGTGCTGATGGTCGGAGATGTTGGCAATCACGGGTATGGTTCTCAGTAATCCCAACAGGTCCTTGAGTATTCTTCCAAATTGATGAAGAGCACCCCTTGATATGTCCCCACAATGCTGAGGTCGACCCGTCCAGTCCAATGATGCTACGGATATGGAAATCCAAGAATCGCATACGGACTTGGAACATAGAAACAGTTTGTCAATCAGCAAAGGACTTGGTAAGTAGCAAGCTATACATGAGTTACTGTCAAAATGGTTGAAGACTCTAGTATTGGAGAAGCATTTTTGTTAGAGATGTGCACGAAACACCGTAAAGATCCCTAAAGCGATAGGGCCCAGCAAAGGCGATAATGGCACAAAACACCGGAAAGCGATATGGCCCCCCAAAAGCGATGACCGATAACCGATAATAGCAACTACTGAGATGCAATTTTTGACGGGAGCTCACATGGTTTCCCGATGACTCTCGGCTACATAGGCCCTAGGCCGTGCCCGTCTTGATTGATGGTTTGCAGATCAATATGCACAATTCTCCCTTTATATGCAGTATAGCAGGTCCAAAAAAGATAGACAAGTATCCTACTCTACTACTATACAATAGTGATGACTTACTGTTCTATCTTTTCCGTTGTTAACTTTTGTAATTTATCTATATAAATAGAAATGTGTTTGTACCTGTGACTTGCTATCCCATCCCAAGTTGCCCCAAATGGTGACGGTGCAGGACTTACGGTATAGCCGGTATAACCATGGTGAAGTCAAGTTGGGATATCAGCCTTACAACGATGGTTATATAATGTTATATACTGTATATTAGTATACTAGTATAACCATTTATGTATATTATACGGTATTATATATAACTATTGTTATATACAACGATGGTTGTATACTTTATCATACTGTATCCATTTATTAGTCGAACATCACTTCCATACTTGGAGTGCAAAATGCCGAAGAACACCCCACGTGTAGAGGGTGCGTTGAACCTTTCCAATCTCATGTTCAAAATTTCTTTCCTGCAATTAACGCGATACGATCAGCTACCCAAACGATCAGTTACCCAACAATCCAGAAATAAATCCCCAGGTCCACCACTGTTTCTTTCCTTCCTTGTGTTGAGGTGGTGATCAATTTCGACTTTCCTCGGGGGCCTCAGACCTACTTGCACCGTACCGGCCGCTTCAGCCGTTTAGGCCGGCCGTGGAGTTCGGAGATAGCGGGAGATGTTAACATTCATAGACTGCCACTTTATGAAGAGGTGGGTGTGCCAATTTTAATAATTTATCACCTGTTTGGGGTTAGCAATCCCCCAATTAAATAGTCAGTGACCAATCTGACACACTTTGGTGAATAGTTGGTGTATTCTTGTTTGGGCGATTTTCCTTACTTTCAAGTTTCAAGTAAGGAAACCCCGATAAGAAAAAAAACACATTGTTGGTAATCCCCGCGATTGCTTGATTTGGTTGATCAGTGTGTTTTACCGCAAAAGATGACTGGAATACGCAACATGCTCATGTCTATCCAATATTATCAATGTTGATTTCTCGCGACACTTTGGATGAAGGTTGCTTCAAGAGTCGTTTTTGTTGGTCTGCTGGTTCAACACCGTTTTGTTTGTCAAACGCATTTGAACATTGTTCATGTTTGCAGCGAAAAGCTGCTTAATTGCTTCCTATAGAACCAAACTTGGAGGTGTTAATGGGAAACTCATCTAGACGTAGGAAGTAGGGGATGTTCAATTGCTCAATTGCTGTGTTTGATTACCGGAGGATAAGAACCCCATTGAAGCCCAATTTCCACTGGACTGCCATCATTTAAGGGTGGAAAAAAGTCCCCCATTTTCAGATAGACAGACCGCAATAATATCAAGTTGGCAAAATATTCATAAGATATCGTCGAACATCCCCGTTGCATCCCATTCAAAAAGTGACCCTTAGTTTCATCAATGTGGAGTTGGTTACCCTCTGGTTATTTGTTACATAGCCATGGTATAGATGGTCCATAGAAATAGATGGTTTACCGTTCTTAAAAATGGGTGGATCTTTCCATTGCTAAATCATAGGGGCCCATATATTTATAGCGTTCTTAAAAATGCGTGTTTGATTTTCTATCCATGGTATAGATGGTCCATAGAAATAGATGCTTTGTGTTACCCATTTAAATAACCAGAGGGTACATCCCAATTTTCGTTGGATAAATCATTCCCAGTCGTGCATGTACCGTGCCCCGCGATCCCATCCGGTGACATCCCAGCGAACACGGACGGATGGCTGGTAAAACACCGGACTGAAGAAGTCCATTGGTTATCTATTGGAAAATCATAGGAAAATGGTGGTTTTATGGGAAAATCATAGGAAAACCATGGGAAAATGGTGGTTTTACCCTCTGGTAAACGTTTACATAACTATGGAAAATCACCATTTTCAATGGATAAATCAACCATAAATGGCCATAAAGACTAGCTATGTTCGTTTACCAGAGGGTATATAATATATATATATATATTCCCATGAAAATAATCCCATTCGTCCTGATACGTCCTGATAATCCGTTCATATCCATTCATTAGTTATACGATCATATCTGATGGATAGCATGATCCCATCAACAGTATCCCGTGGATGGTGACACTACTGTGTTAGTAAGTATATCCCCATTATTCCATTATTGACTATCCATGTATTATCCATTATTGTCGTTAGTTATCCATTAAATATCCATTGATAATCCAGTTTGGGAATCATATTCCAATGATAATTACAAAGACGAAACGTGAAACCATTCAGAATTCAAAGTAATTGCCCAACAAGTACCCAATGGGATTGTCCAGAGAGCCGGAATATTGTCTTAAGGGATCCATCTTGGATATTAACCGTGTCTTTCCAGTAAGATATTGAACATGGATCAGAATATTCAATATTAATATACTGTATTCATATTGTCCATTTATTTGCTGGTTCAACATCAATTTGTTCCAACAAGTATCCATTATTGATCGAAATATGTATATATAATTATATATTTAGTAAATATAGCATATATATATATATGTATAGTATATATATATATATAGTAAATATAGCATATATATAGTATATATATATAGTGTATATATAGTATTTATAGTGTGTATATATATATATATAGTATATATATAGTATATATATACAGTTTATATATAGTATATATACATAGTATATAAAAAGTGTGTATATATATAGTATATAAATAGTATATATATATATATATGTATATAGTATATTTATAGTGTGTATATATATAAAGTATATGTATTTATAGTATATACATATATATATACACAGTAAATTAGTTTGCATTATATTATATATTATATTATACTGTAGTATATATATTAGAGTATATATATATATTATAGTATATATTTATTGTACATACATATATAGTACATGTATTTAGCATAAACATATAGTATATTTATTCAGAGTATATATTTAGTATATATATATATCTTGATATTGTATATATATATATATCATATGGAAGTCCTGTATAGAAGAATTTATCTATGCTTGGCGGCGATCTCGCATCAACGTCCCGGAGGAAACAAACAAACCGTTATGACGATGCACCTCCGCATTCCATGGAGAATCCTATGAATCCGTTTTGATTGTCCAAATTATCCATTTTGTATGATACATATATATATATATATACATAAATTATTTGATCAATGGATAATCAACCATGAACAAAAACACATCAACCATGAATATTATTGGTTGATTATTCCATTATACCCATAATACACACACATACACATACATACATATATATATATATATATAATACATATATATATATATAATATAATATATATGGATGGATTTTCGCCAGGCTTGGCGATCTCCTTTGTGACGCAACGCGACCGGATCGACCTGCTGCGGCTGCAGCATCTGGGAACTGATTCGATGGCATTTCTTGGATCTGGATTGATTTGGAAGGTCCAGGCTATATAGATTACCCTCTGGTAAATAAACATAGACCCTGAAAATAACTAATTTTTAATGGAAACTAATCTTCCAACCCCTATCTAGCAGGGTCTATGTTAATTTACTGGAGGGTAGTTTATATTCACTGAATTGGGTGTTGCATATGGTTTTGTATAGTTGTTTCTATAGTCTTGATATAATTGTATTTCGTTTTCCCAGCTAAATTTGGGATGTATCAAGGAGAAATACGATATCAGGTGAAAAATTATTAAACAGCAAACATGTAGGCGTTTACCGACACAATTTGGAGTTTGGCAAACACAAATTGAGGTCTGACCCGAAGAGTGCGAACATGGTCATATAGCATGATTCGAAGCTGCCAAAGGTGGTCCCCCAAGCCCAAGCCCACAACTGGAGGAAACCCCAGCCCACCCACCTTCATACTACTGTGTAGCAAAGTGCCAGCATGTGCCAGCTCTACTTACTGGGGACGTCCAGGGACGAATATTTCGGTTTATGCGGCCGTGACTGCTATTCTGCAGAGCGCGAAGGTTTCAACTGATGTATGAATTGTTGATTGAACTTCAAAGTAGTATCATCATATCCCTACCACCCATATTTTGTTGATTGTTTGCAGCATTTGTTTATTTCATGTTGCCTGCCATATTTTCCATCCCCAGAGACTCAAACTACGTCCTTCCCTTCAGGAAAGCCATGGGCACAAAGATCTTGCCCATGCCTGCAGCCATCGACCCAGTCCTCTACACCTGAGTGACGTTCAACGTTCCACTTCACTCGGAGGGTTGCCGTGTTAGAAGCACTCATACATTTGAGCAGTGTTCAAAACCCCTGTTGGTTGATGAATATAGTATAGGGGATTATACTACCCAGATCTACCCAGTATATTCGGGATTGCAATAATTCAATAGGGGAATCCCTATAGTATTATACTAATGGAATGACAGAGGGATTTTGAACACTGCTCATTTGCTGAGATCTTTGTGTCTGTAGATATGTGACACGAATGGAGCTACAAGTTGAAACAAATTGGGACATGTTTGGCATTCAGAAAATCAAATTGATAGGCAACAGAATCAAACTTGCCAACCTGACATTGATACACTTTATACCAATCAGCTTTCCACGGCAACACACCCCAAGGGCACCGGTTGATCGAAACTCTCGCTGGGTCCTCAAGGCTCCTATCATATATTTCAAAGCATTCCAAATTCTTAGTCCACCTTAAAGCACTGGCGATTACAAGAATGGTGGGTTAACCAACATGGACTTTATTTGCAGCAAATGTTTATCCCATTATCTGCCAGTTGTTGTCCCTTATTGACTAACTTTGATGTCCAGAACAATCCAGATATCTTCAAATACCTTCAGTGCCTCCAGCGCTGTCAGCGTGTCCTGAAGAAGTTCAAACTCCAACTGAGTATGACCTGGCGATGTTTGAAAGGTCAAATCCGGATCCAGTTTTCATGCCCCTTACTTCATACTTTTGCGTGGCAAACAATTCCGTGGCCCAGCCTTTTCTGGAATGCCTTTAATCAGAATGCACCATGAAGTAGGTGCGAGGCTGCAGACTAAGGACTGGAACTCTCTAATTTTCACAGAACCTCAACAAAAATGTTGCGATTTCGCCATGGTCAGTTTGGGATTAAAACCACAAAAATGAGGCCCTAGACCCAGAAAGTGAGTTTTCTCACTTCGGTTCCTGGTTTCACTTTCCAAGCCTCGAGATCCTCGAGTTTGTGGATGCCAAAATACGGTGTCGATGTGTCTTGCCCCAGAGTCCGAAAAAGTCCCGGTTGCGACAACTTAACGCAGCATAGGATGGCGTTGACAAAGTGGCATGAGCAGTGCCAAAAGATTTGGAATACACAATAGCCAGCGATATGTTGTGTGTACTGGACGGAAGTCTTTTAGTTATATTTATACTTTTTTAATCATATGTAATTATATATATATGCGGTGTCGTTGCAAATGTGCTTGGTCATTGGCTGGGTGACTGCAGTGAGTGAATGTTTCAATTGGTGGGTGTTGCTTGGTTATGTTGGTTGTCCGCAATGCCGCTTGCTTCACCAATGTGTTCTCATTCAGTTTGCTGCGTTTTTTGCACTTAAAAGCAGGGCAAGCAGGGCCGTGCGAGGGCAAGGTTCTGCCTTGCCGGGCCAAGCCTGTGAGTTTGGCCACCGTTGCTGTCTGCCATGGATGAGTGGAGCCTGAAGAAACGGAAAGAGGCGCAGTGACGCATTGGACAATGCACCCATATTGCAGCACACATCTTGGGAGACTCGCGGAGGACAAGATTTGCGCACTGGGTCTTCACAGTCCTGGTGCTTGAGCCTCAGGCATTCAAATGTGAACAACTGGAACAAAACGAAAAGGCAATTTCTTCTGAAAAAGAGAACCCAGAGTTTCAAATTGAACAGTGGTGATTATTGTCACGAGGCTGAGAAAATCAACGCAATCAACGCCCGGAGAGCTGAACTTCTGCGTGAACAGAAGGCAAACGGCAACCAATAGCGACGACCTGCGAGGTGTATCAACACGAGGGTTGGCAAACAAGACACGCAACGAAGAATTTTCTGCGGCGTTTACTTTTCCTTTAGTATGGTTGTTTGATGTTCTTTGTACCTATTGCTTTCATCCGCTTCAGATCAGGCTTTGGCAAAAGGCCTTCGGCGTCTCGTGGGTGAGGTTTGTCCTGCACGCATGGCATAGACACACATGCAAAGCCAATTGTGATTTTGAGCCTCGAGCATTTTGATTCGATAAGCTTGAAACGTCGGGGAATATGAATGGTTAGCAAGTAAAGCCTGGCATATACGTGCTCCTCTCAAGTCAACTCTTCTGCAGGACATTGTCGTCCAGTTGGTTCCTCAGCTGTTTGACATCCCGCAGAGTTGCAGAGTGGCACCATGTCACAACAAGTGTGGCAACTGTCACGGCATCAGGAGAGGCAATGTAAAGGCACAGCAGGTTGCTGTCAAGAAGCCGGGGGCCTAGACCATGAAAAATACGTGCCGTTGACACACGTTTGGCATGGTGGTCAAGCAGAACGCGAAAGAACCACAATGCATACTCGTGTTTTGTTCGCTTCAGGTCCCGTCAGCTCTTTGCACCAATGCAGGGCACCCAGTGCATTTCCTTGTTCCTTTCGTGCCCTGCCTCCGTCCAGTGAGTGCACCTCCACGGGAAGCAATTTGGAGGATTTCTTGCCCCTGCAATTTCAGGGAGTGTCATCATGCCAAGCTGCCGAGTGAAGAAACAGAGGGGCAGGGGCCTGAAGACGTGCTGCGGAAACTGTCGTTGATGTTGCGCAGCTTGTAGGTGCCCAAAGATTGCAGCTTTTGTCTTTGGATATTGACGGGCTCACACAAAACAACTTGCCTCGGCTGGATTGGACTAGGTTGGCGCAGACGCTGCAAAGCGTTCTCAGAGTTTCGCAGGAGTTGGACACTTTACAGAAGGAGGCCAGGGCACAGCAGTTGCAGGACTCCTAGAAGGGCTGGTAGCGACGCTTTAGATACGCTATGATACGCTTTAGTAACCCGGTAATCATCTTCCTTTAAAATTCTTCATTTTCGTCAGCGTTTTTGCTGACTGAGACGTCAAATGTGTTCTGCCACAGCTCAACCAAGCTCCGTCAGCAAATATAATGATTATGACGATGATGTCCCACATATCACCAAACCAGACACCCAACACTAAGCATGACAAGAATTGTCTGTCAAATTATGGCTCTATGTGCAAGGCATGTAGGTCTCGAAATCCAACCTTCATTGTTTCCCCTGGCTGCTGCCTGGTTGTATTGCTTCAATTTGCTTCGTCTTTTTAGCGTCAGCTATAGGCTATAGAGGTTCTTACTTCTCAGTGGGTCGGTTTATCTTTGGCCGCCCCAAATTTGTTGCTGCCGCTTTGTCTCTTAAGCTGTTTCCCTTGGTGAATTTCGTTCTGCGCTTCTCTTGGCTGCGTTTGCCGGCTTGTCTCCCGTCAGCTACCTGAGTTTTTTGTGCTTATTCTGTGCTTGCTTTAGCACGTGTTCCTTTCCCGAACAGCAACAGTAGCCAGTCCACAGCGAGGGCTTGCAGTGAAAGACCTGCCGGAAAAGGACCTATCCACATCATTCCACATCACTTGATGTGTACCATATGATAAAACAATAATACTATTAATAGTAATAATTATATAAATTATACATATATATATATAGGTAATATACTGTGCATTTCACATGCTTATGAAATAGTCAAGTAATACACACACATAAATATATATATATATACAGTATATATACATATAGAGATATAGATATATACATATATAGACACATGCAAACAAATAAAACTAGATATGTTCGATCCGATCATGTGTATATGGCTCTACAGGTTATAGCATGGGCCCCTGTGATGGGCCCTTATTTTGCTGTTTTTGTGGAAATGTTGGGGTTGATTGGTCCTGGGCCCCCGCTGCTTTACAGCCCAAATCAAGATGTCTAGTATATAGTGCCCTCTTCTTCAGTGCCTAGAAGTTTCACCCTGCCAAAATGTGGAACTTGCCTCAGTCTAAAGGTTTACCATATGAAGGCGACAGATATCCTTTTATTCAGTTTGGGTTTAGTGTCTGAAATCTGAAATTTTCTTACCCTAGGGTATCCTTCTAGTGGGTAGGGTCCCAAAATTAGGGGCCCACCAAATGAAGCCAGAATAGTTTGCACTTCATTTAGTGGGCCCCTAATTTTGGGACCCATTCGGGGCCCTAAGACATCTATGTGGGGGGGCCAGCTAGGGTTTGACAACACCATATATTATATCGACCACTATTTGGAGATTAAAAAACAGAATATCAATTCTGAAATGCCGTTCATGTTCTTTTCTGGGAAAGTTGCGGTTGGGCAAGGGCAAGAAATTAAAACAATTGCTGACCCACAAACTTGGGACAAGGAAACTAATGCAGATTGATGAGGCAAACCAAATATGTAAAAAAATGTATAAGGAATATAGAAGGCCAAATAAATATAAGATTATATAAGGGGTTTAAAAGGCTATGTAAGGCATACATAAGGAATGGAATTTAAGGGCCCACTACAAGGGCCCGTGCTATGATCTCTTGAATGGCGTTTATGCCTGCGTTGTTCCCACAGCTCCATCGAGGTGCAGCAGCTGCAGAAGGCAAGGCACCGGCTGTGGAGGGAAACTTGGGAAACTTGGGACTGAGAAGGGTCCAAAAACGGGGGAAATGATGTAGAAACATGTAGAAATACGCAGTCAGGAGGCTTGCAAACTGAATCCACATGCAACTCGAGGAGGTTGAAACCACATTTGTGCAATCCGGTTCGTCCAAAAAATACGGAATGGATCAAAACTTTCGAGAAGGAAAAGGTCTAGGAATGATGAAGGAAAACTGTGGACAACCGAACAATCAAGCAATCGAACAGAATCAACGCATAGGGGTATACATCCAAGATATTCAACATATTTCAACATCATTCAGCGCATCATACTTTTAACGGTAGATTGTTCATCGCCCCTGAAATGCGTGTCCAATTGCCTGCAACACGATCAATGCGAAGGCTGAAAAGCACGAGCAACAGAACGGCACACAGGCTGCGAGACTCTCAGTTTGGAACTGCTTCGTTTTCCCCAAGTCTCCATTCCCAGATGCTTCATGTATGGATTTTTTTTTTGACATTTGGGCCATTTTGGGGGTAAATGTAGGTATATATTCCATACATGAGCATCTGGAATTAACAACATTCGTAGAGAGTCTTTGAATGCTTCAGCATATTGCAGAGAGGTGCTGGGTTGAAAGCTGTGCTGCCGCCAGCAATGCCAGGTCGCAGTCAACAGTCTGCATGACTGGTTTGGCAGGCGCTTGTCTTTGCTGCAGCTTCAACTTGGCACAGAGTCATAGGTTGGAGTAATGGAGGACGACAGTATGAAATGGGACCGGCTGCAGGGGGTGCATCACATTTTTCAGTGACTTTCAAGATGTTTGGCAGATATGGCGAGCCGCATCGGCAGTCACAGCCAGAGGAAATGGCTGAAGCCTCAGAGAAGATCAGAGAAGTAATGACTTGGATGACTCGCCACAATACGCGACGTGCTCTTCTAGGCACGCTCATTCATTATGAAGCCACGCAGACTTCCCTTCCTAGGCTGGTGTCCCTGCACACGCACAGACACATACACACAGACTGCAGACTCTGTTTCACTTGGGGTCTCTGCATTGCAGATGTTTCTGAGAGCCATCCTCTCTTTGCGCCAATCCTTTGGCTGTTTTGCTCAGTAGAGGCGCCTCATGTCAGGTACGTCAAACGCTGTCACTTTGCGGCCGGGCCACCTCATCAAATGAGAGCTCTCTTGGCGTGGAGCAATGTAGGACACTTTCTATGACACGATGGCCTCAATCTGACTGTCTGCGTTGCGCCCATTATGTTTGAAGCAGACCCACCATAAGTGCCTGCCACTTTTCTTCAACACCTGTTTTTGGTTGAGGCGCCTCGCATGACGGTTCCAAATCATGGCTTTTGAGCCATGAATGTAGGTCTAGGTCACGCATTAATCAGTCCAGGCCAAGTGTAGGACCGCGCCTTGTTTCACCAGGACCATGAATGCGAAAAAGCTTCTGAAACTGAGACCTTGTGTGCCTCTTGCCTGGGTGGAGCTACTCGAGTTTGGGGAATGTTACAGGGGGAAATCATTTCGGTCAGCTTCCGTTCTGGCTCACAGGGTTGTAGCAAGGCTCTGACAGACTATTTGGCTGTTGAAATGTGTTTTGATCTTGAATTGTTTGCCAGGGGGTGCCAGGGGGTGCTGCAGCCTTTTGCTCATAAATCATTTGGGAATGTCGAAAGCCAAAGAAGGACATGATGAACATTTGGGGTGTGATCTCAACGTGGCAAGAAACGTCATTTTACCCAGAACGTCAAATGACATCAAATGACGTTCTTCCCAAACCAGTTCATTGAAATACACATGCACAGCTGCACAATGTAGTGGACATCATTCATCATAAACCAATTGAATGACCCAGAAAGGTGTGAACTATGCGTGACCTCCATTCAGTCTTTCGGTCATCAAGGAATGCTGCGTTGCTGGGGTGGCACTGTCAACCCCTGTGCTGTTTCACCTGGCATTCTACCATTTCAGTCAGTAGCAGATGACACCCTATTCCCCTCAATTTTGAATCAGCCAGGGGTTACTAATGTTACTAAGGGTTGACATTCTGTTCGAAAAAAATCAGATCATACGGATTTGTGTGACACATGTGTGTTTCCCTAGGGCACCTTAAAATCCCACAAAATATCCCATGGTTTATCATCATGTTCCTTATTACATGGCCAGGCCAAGATTGTCCCAACAGGGCATGGAAGCCGTGACGAACAATTTGGCCCAAGGGGTGCAGACCCCTGGCTGGACATGATCGATTGCCACAGTGATGACTTCATGCGTCATGGTCCACCGATCATTTTGAGAAATTGAAGGCAACCGCCACAAGTCACGCAGTGTTTCCAATGATCATCAATGATCCAATGGGTGTTTCTCTAGAAGATCTCGAGGCTTATCAGCACGGTGGCTGCAAAGGTCAAGAGCTTGTTCCAACGCACAACGCAGTGGGTTCCACGCGCGGTTCCTGAACGCCATGGCCATCAAGAAACGAGCAACAGGCCCACTGTGAATATGGCCAGACGTTGGGGCATTTCCCATCGACAAACCCCGTTGGCATTGTTGGTGATTATATAACTTTTATATTCAGTTATATATCTATTATATCCCCAGGATATTTGGTGCAATACCTTATTATTTTGGTGGTAAATGCCGTAAATGCCACAGTTTCTGGACAAACTTTTGGCTGTCAAAATGCCGGGCAGGTCTCGCCACCGTTGTGGCAGTTTGCCTTCTCGCCTGGGGTATCTGCCACAATGCCTTTGTTTCTTGGCCATGGAAGGGGTCAGGCCAGGTTGAACCCCTTTGATTTGTCCAAAGACCTTATTGCGGATGATGTTCTTAGGCTTTCTTTGACTTTGACGTTTTGTTATTTACACATTTACTGTAAACACTGTAATGCACCTAAATTCAACCCCATTATATTATGATTATATACGCGTGTGTATCATTGAGTTTTCTCATCTCTTCTTGTTGAATATGAGTTTGTCTGAAAGTAGGCTACGCCCACATCAACTGATTCAGCATTATTTTCCCGGTGGAAATTTCCATTAACAGAGATGCACAATTTCTAGACACACCAAAAAAACATATTATTGGTGATGCCATCCATGATATTCCAATTATATTCCCATGGAGTTGTTGCCGGTGAATTCCCAGGTTAAGATATCTCCCATTTTTGCCGGTGAAGTCCCAGTCTTGATGACATAACACCGAGCATGTTTGTTGGTTAAATCACCATTTTTCATGGGTTAAAATCCATTAAACACACAATTTTTCTCCCAGAATTCAGTGGTGTTGCAGCTAGGTTCCGGGACCTCAAGGAATGGCCTTGCGGGACCGGGGCCATCCGGGGCCCAGCGCAACCTGGATTGCTGCGGGTTGAATATCTCGATATGTCGGGGGTGAGCGCCAATTTATGGTTAATATGCTGAACGTATATGAACGTATATCATGGGTCTGCAATTTGGACATTATATAATGTGAACATCAAGATGGAAGCCTGTAATATGATGGATCTAACCATCAACAATGGATTTGTTGTTATCAAACAGGGGGATGGAAGCTGTGAATAGTGGATGCAGGTGTGCCCAAAAGTATCCAAAAGTTGCAAAAAAGTCCAAATTTGCCATCAGAATGGTCAATTTTAATAGGGAACATGAGGCGGTCAGTGAGTCAGCCATCAGAATTTGGGGTACCTGGATTGATTGCAAATGATGCCAATGATTATGTAACCATGTTCGCTCTGAATGTTGAGCCAATCACAATCCATCATTTACTCTAAGTAAACCTAATTTGTATGTCTAGGTATAGCTACTTGGATATGTATCCCACTTAGTAAGTGGTTTATACACCATATATATATATATATATGTGTGTGTGTGTGTGTGATAATTGTACATGATCAAAACCAGATAGAAGTGGGGATTTTCCTGTTGGCCATACAAGGGTCCGTGGTTTATAATCCATCGCCGGCGCAGGAGGACAGCGGCCTGCCTCGCCGTGGCGCCGCGGGGCTGGTGGAGCCCCTGAGCCAAACCACGGAGGAGCAGGCGTCGGCGGCGCGCGACTTGGCGTAAGATGGGAGTTCACCATGGTTCAACCTTGGGGTTTTACGGGGCTTCAGCATGGTTCAACCATAAAATAATACAAATATAATGGGATCATCCGGGATGATGCGCATGATTTAACTATCACACATGGGATTTAGCCATCACGAAATTGGTGAAATCACCATCAAATCCAGGAGTTACCCATCGAAAACTAGGAGATGGCCATCAAGATTTGGGGTTGAACCGTCAGAAATTGGGATTTAACATGATTTGACCATCAAACATTGGTTTTAACCATCAAAAAAAGTGGATTTCCCATCAAAAACATGACAAAAATTGGGATTTACACATGACATGTTGGAGTTACTCATCCAGATTTGGGTTTGAACGATCAAAAAGATGGGATGTACCCTATGGAACCATGAAAAAACATGGAAAACAATATGACCATCTGGATTTACACATGAAATTTTGGAGTTACCCATCAAACTTTTGGTTTTAACCATCAAAAGATTGAAAATTCACAAACAAATGTAGGAGTTACTCATGAAAATTAATTTATTTCAGGATCACTGGTTGGGGGATTTAGATACGTGTTGTTTTTCAATGCCACCGGGATGATTTGTTGAGATGACACATATTCTTGGGACGGTTTTTTTAGCCACCAAGCAGATCAGAAATCGGGATTTACCCTCGGAAATGAGTGGTTAACCATCGAAAACTGGTTGTTGAACCATCGAAAATGACTATTGAACTGTAAAAAAAATTGAGCAGCTTTGACTATAATGGATGACGGGTTTTGCACCGTTTAAACATCAAATTATTAGAGCGAACTACAAATTATCAAAAACACATGGTGGTTTAACTAGGGCTCAAATATTAACACATGATTAACAAATGTGATCTCGCGATAAAACACTGGGTTCCAAAATATGCGAGAGGGATTGAGGTGGTAACACAAGGGATTCCAATTAATGATAATCAGGCATTTTTTCAAAATCGCGATAGTTGGCAATATATTAAACCTAAAAAGAACACATACTGTACATATTATTGTTTTGTCCTCTAAATTTTATCTCAATTCCCATGGGCCATCTGGATTTGTTCAATTGAATTATGAGTTTTGGTTCCCAACATTTCTCAACGCAAGACACCAAACAGATCCCAAAACGATGAAATCCACATGCATTAACCATCAAACATAGGGTTTCACCATGTTTCACCATGGAATTCAAGTGGGGTCGCGGTCGCCATTTTCCTCAGGGTATTGGGATGATCCCTCAATTTTGGAGATGGATGTAGTACATCGATTGTATCCCGGTTGTAAAGCCACATGGCGCCAGTCATTCCCAGTTATTATCCATTTGAAGAAACTGGTTTACTATCATTCATAGTGATAGTTTACTATCATTCATGGTTTATATGCTATCATTCAAACTATCATTCAAAGGAATAGTTTGAAGACTTTTGAAGAACCCAACGATTTGACCAAGTGATTAGAAAGAAAGTTTGGTCAGTAGATGTCACCAGACACAGCTTTTACCACCACTAGGTGGCCTTCAAACTGATCTTTTTCGGCGATTTGGGTAGCCATCCGCACATCTCCTAGAGCTGATCCCAATCGGCGGGAGTATCTTTGTTTACACAAAAGGTAGAACAAAGGAAGAAAACAATAAAACAACTGTAAATATGTTTAGCATATACATATCTATTTATCTATTATATATATGTACACATAGGTATAAATCCATTATGCCAACAGACCAGTGCCACTTGAACCCGAGGCAACATCAGCGAGTCGGATTTCTGGCGGCTGGTGAAGCAGGATCGAGTGACAGAGGTGGCCAGCCCTTGCCACCTCGGGGTTGCTACAATGGGCAACATAAAAAGACGTGGAAAAATGGTGAAACCCGTTTGGAACATGATCTATTGATCATTATTGATCTACTGGTGGGTTTTTCTATATTTGTTCATATTTTTTCTTCCCCCAAGGGGATTTCACAGACGGGGATTTTAAATGGAGATGTTCTGTGTGTAACCAATGATGTTCTGTGGCTTCACCTCTGATCAACTATCGAAATGGGATGATGAACCCACCAACCAATTTATTTCATCACGGCTGTCCCAGGGACCTGGGTCATTGGAACCTCAACAGGCTTCACCCAGAATGACGGGTCATTATTGATGTGGCTTGATTTTATCATATTTTATTTGTAGTATAGGAAAAAGACGAAAAAAACAGCTAAAGAAGTCGGAAACCTGTATAGAAAATTATTGTTTAGAAAATTACGGGGTCAACGTTATTTGAATACTAACCTCGAAACACGTTGCTGTCTACTTACGGGTTTCGACACCATATCCCTAGCCTTCCAGTGACCTATTTGACAGCCAACTGCAAGATGATTCAACGGATGATGACTTCCAACTCTATATATATATATACATACAGTATCATATACAATACAATAAAATATCATATCATATCCTATCATATAATATTTATATATATATAAGCATTTCAACTCATTAAACGAAGATCCCGATGTCTTTGTCTAAAGAAAACATGGAAACATTATATCACAATCATCATGTCATAGTCTTCAAAAGTCTAGGAGTATCATTTCATCATTATCATCATCACTGGTATCATAATCATGGTATCATTCCCAACTTTGGATGGGTAGTTGAATCCTCTAGTTTTTGCTGCAAATGGACAGTTACACAAAATAAATAGCAAAAGATGTATTTTTATGTAGTTTTTGTGGACTTCCCAAAATTGACCACGATATTTACCTGTAGCCTCGTGTGCATTTGCAAATCGTACCACATTTCGAAAAACGATCACAAATTCCTAGAACATGCCAAACGCACAAATCTTCAGAAATCGCATATTTTTTTCCAGTTTTGCATGGTGAATGGCCCCTGCAAAGCTATTTGGGCTAATCTTGACTCAACCAAAGTGGCTCGGGCCTTTAAAAACGTTCAAATTGCAACCCACAAAACGAGCGTAAAAAACCACAAAACGAACGCAAATTTCCGCAAACGGCCGCACATTGAAAAATAGTTAGGTTTGTAATTTTGGATATCAATTTTTCCACGTTCATTGTAAATTGATGGAATTTGGATCACTTGGTCACCGTACCTGGCAATTGTCTTCTATTGCATAAAAATCAGAAACTCGAACACTTTTAACTTGAGTGCATGCGGTCGGGTAGGAATTTCAGAATCGAACCCCGAACAAAAAAAAATATAAATGGGGGTCCAGGTAATGTGGGTAAAGCAATGTCATAAACCACCTATGACTGGGAATGGTAAACATACCACCCAAAAAAATGGTGATGACCAGGGGATGGTTTATTCTTATTTACCCACATTACACCTGATACACCTGATCATTTACTCACCATGCCCTGAGGTAATCATCGCCTCCTGGAGCGGAAAACAACTCCTCGCGAAAGCCGAAGGTCCCTGGAGAGAGTTGTCGTGGAGAGGTCTTCCATGGTCGTTGCGGTCCTGGAGATCTGGGGAAAAAATGTGAAACCATGGGCATCATGGATACATGATGGAAAATCATGGGTAAATCATGGAAACTGCTGCTCTTTCCCAAGTTATTCATGGGAACGATACACAAGAATGACTCCTGGCCAATTTGTGCAGAAACGGCCGGAAATTCAACCATCATGGTCATCTCTACAAGTTGTTTCAAGCCAATGTTCGAGTTAGTCACTTAGTTGTATGGTGCATGAGGAGGTATTTATTAAAAATACCTTCCGGTGTCATCAAACATAGATAAACATAGCACTTGGAAATAACCTAAAATGGAGGTTTTGAGTGGGAAATTCATCTATAAACAAGGAACTTGTCCATTGCCATGTTTGAACGTTGGGTACACGCTATGGAGCGTCTTCTGAAGGGCAGCCGGAACGCAAGATATTCACTCGTTCGTGACTTCTGACCGGAGTCCAGGTATCTTAGGATCGTGACTTCCATGCAACATTGATGCGTAGGGATCTCAAACAAGACATTTGAGTTATTCCATGCTATCTTGATGGTGCTTTATGTGCTATCTTTTACACATCTATCGTTCTTCGGGCCGTCAATAGAGTGAAACATAATGAAACATAGAATCCGCTGGTGCCGCAGTGCCGCACCATGGGTTTGGAAACCCGGATTTCGGGCTGACGACATTAAGACGGTCGACCCTTCGCAGTCGTCTTTTCCCGTTCTCAAACGTCAAAAATCATTTAGGTCATGACCTGGATTACTTGATTACTTATTTGTCATCCCAATATTTCAAGGCCATCCCTCCATTTTTTCAGAAATCCTGTGAATTAGCTGGTAACAACTATGGTTTCTTGCAATGTTTGCCTCCAACCAATCCATGAGCAATTTATTGTTGTGCCTTTTTGGGTAGTAGTGGTTTTGATTTTAATAACCACCTGAATGATGGAAAAGTGTTCGCCACATTATAATCGTTATACAAGTATTTCATAGTATTTCATTTTTAGTGTGTTGTCATATTTGCTAAGTTATTAAGTGATTCAGTGATTCATCATCAATTATCACCCATCTAAATGGTGATAGTTAACATCAGGTAACCACAATACGAAGGTTAACCATTTGGATCACTACAGTGGTGATAGGTAAACCCATCCATAATAAGTATCAGTTAACATCAGTTAACATCAGTTAACCGTACTATGAAGTTTTTCTGGTTGGTGGTTTGGAACATTTTTCCATACCTTGGGAATACTCATCCTAACTGACGAACTCTTCATATTTTTCAGAGGGGTGGCTCAACCACCAACCAGATGAGGTTTTTCCCCTATGACCCATTACAGATTCACCATCCATGGCGGTTATTCTCATCCCAGGGGGCGAGCTGCTGGCAGTGCAGGAGGAGAGCGAGGTCCAGAGATTTCACCCAATGGTGGATTGAAGCAGCGTTTGAATGGTGGATGATGGTGGATTTAGGCTACAAAATATTGGGTGTTAAAAACCCAATGAAATTCGAGGATGCACAAACTAATAATAAATGGGAAAGTAACAGCCCCAATGACAGCCCCAATGAAACCGACTCAGAGTCTATACCACACGTCATGGGACGATCTGCTCTCAACGAAGGTGGAAGATCTGCGGGATCAGATGATGCTCAGGGGCATCCCGGTGCACTACCCTGCCAGTGAGGACTGTCAGGGTTTTTGGATGTGGAAACCAATGACTTGCATCTAACAACATGTAGAGAATAGTAAAAATATACTAAAGATATAGAAAAATAGAAAATCCCCCTAAATAGAGGTTTGAATGGGATAGTCCCCTATAACTTTAGGGATTTGTCCTTGAAAATCGGCCCATTGCCTGGATGATACTGGAAGTTGGGACGTCAAACACTCTCACCGCTCATGAAGGAATGTATTGTGGGAACCACGCGGCATTGCGTCATTCTCAAGTCAGCATTTACGATAAATTGCCCAGATCATTGCAGATTCAGTTTTCAGAATATTCCATGTGAACCATGGCCACGCAATTATGGCATGTCTCAGCATTTAGAACCCCCAAGCTTCCATGGTCCATCGGCATTTTCTCACTTTTGCATCCCCATGTTCACATGACGTCATCACTCATCAGGAGTTGTCCGACGAAGAAGCGTTGGCCAAAGCCGAGTTTGGCATGCCCAGGGGTAGGGTCCGGGAGGTCGAAGCAATGGTGCAGAGGGCAGAAACCAATGAAGATATAGCACGCATGAAAAGATTGCCGGCAAACGATCACCACCTAAATGGTCTCAAATAAGTGTCAATCCCCTACGAAACCATGTTTGTTTTACCATGTTTTTAGATGTTTTTAGAGATTATCACCAGCAAGAAAATGGAACCGCACCAGCAACGGGTGTATGTAACCCTCCCATGCGCACCGAGGATTGGCTCTGAAGGCCGGCCCCAGGGTTCTGGCCGCGGCAATTTACTTCTTTGGTCCTCGTTGTAGATTTTTTTGAATACGGAGCGGCATGGGTGTAACGGGGTAACCATGCCCCACCAAGTGAGGCTGTTCTTGTTTTTTTTTGTCAGTGCGTATTTTTTCGGGAAATCCGGATAAATCTCCAAACTAAATTTTAGATGGAGGTTTTAATGGGAACATTCTCTATAAGGGGGAATTCGTCCAATGCCAACGTCTCTAAATTACTAGAGACCCTCCCGTCCCCGGCATGTTCCCATCACCAAAAATGCATCCTGAATCAGGTGCTGTGGCAGGAGGCTTGCTCTCTGCCCTGGTGCGGTCACCCAAAAACCAAACATCTCCAGGGCAAAGTGTTTGAAATTTTCACTGCTCACATGGTGATCCATGGATTAGGGAGATACAATCCAGAAACAGTGGTGATACAATGGTTGAATATGATTCAGGAAAGTAGATGATACGGGGCATCGTGGGAAAATCATCAACGCACAGTTGGGACACAATCAACAAGGCACTATTCAATGGAAATAATGGGAGCATGCTGTAGTCAGTAGATCAATGGCTAGGGCAAAACACTGGTAATTGGTAAGGAAACCAACCGAATGGTGGTAAACCAAAAAAAATCTGTGAACATCATTTCTTAAGCATACCTATTTTGACATATTTTGACAATTCGGAGCTCCACAAAACTTGGCAACTTCGGGTTTACGCCCGGGTTTGACACACTAGGTGGGTTGCGTGGCCGGACTTTCATTTTATATAATTGATTTCGGGCTTGGCTGATCTTGGCTGAGTACGTCCCGTTGACAGATTTTCACAGGAAAGACCAAAGGTGGTGGGTATTTTGCTGAGAATGCCAAGAGACCAAAAGTAGGTCCAGCATTTTTTCCCATATTGCAGCGAAATTGGTAAACTGGTGCTGTTTGTTTCGATCTGCTGCTAATTGCACTTTTGCGAACTTTGCAGAATTCGATGCCAAGACCGCTTCAAAGATGGAGGTCGCACAAAAAAGATCGAAACACGTCTCGCCTACAAATGTCGATGGGTGTGCCGAATGGGTTTGTCTGAAAATATGGTACCCTAAAGTCCTAAAGTCCTAAAGTCCAATGACGTTGATCATTATTCTTCTAATTATTCCAAAATTGCAATTCATGTGGGTACAAACCCCATGTTCAGAGACAGCTGCTACATGCTGCTACCAAACTCAGGCTGTTGGCATTGCAGACAGCCTCTTGGAGCCCCTCGGTGCAGCCGGATCTGCGGCTGGAACCGTTGAACCTCCCTGGTGCTTAGAGATCTTCATTGAATGAAATGGCTAAGTCATGGATGTTTATTGATTTTATTGAAAGAATCTGTGTGGGACTATGCCATACTGTACTCATCATGCCCAAACATACTGAAACTATAACTCATTTTGTGGGGGCATTTTCCCCTTGCTTCGTACAGAATATATATATATATATATCATATATATATATATATAACTCTCTCTCTGTATATATATAACTCTAGACTCTATATATATATATACACATACATATGTACATATATATATATATATATTATGCAAATATGAATATATATGTACCCTCTGGTAATTCAACAGAGCTCTGGAAAATCACAATGTTTTTTAGGAAAATCATCGAACTAGGTTTTTTAGGAAAATCATCGAACTAGGTTGGGCGGCGCGGTGGCGGTGCCCGCACTGGAAGTGGAAGGTGGGGGCCCCACAATGGGACCATGGCCAGGTTGGGAAAGTGTGCGGGGCTGCGGTGAAAACGTGACACCGTGGAAAATCTGGAGAAAATCTGGTTGAAACTGGAGAAAATCTGGAGAACATATGGAAAATCTAGAGAACATGTGGGGAAACTCTGGTGAAAACGTCCCAGGCCAGTCCTTCTTCGAGAAGAAACCACCCAATGAAGTGTTCTCAGAGGAAGCGCTGGCTGAGGGGATGTCCCATTTTTTGGGACGCATCTTGGAGATCTGATGAATTACAATGCCAAGTTTTATCATATTTCAAGTTGACAGACAGAGCCTGCATTTTGTGAGTTCATGCCGTGGCACTCGAATTGATAGGATTTTATAGGCCTTCTTGCCAGATGTACCAAGATCAGTTTGTCAAGGTGCTCACGACGTAGAGCCAGCAACTGCTGGCATCCCTGGGCCAGGACGTTCAGCTTTTAGAAAAAGCTGTGGCGGGCTTGGAACGAAGTGTGGAGAAAGATTTTCAGGTGCCCCGTGAACTCGATGCCTGCGGTGTCCGGCAGGTAGCATCATAGGATCATATGTATATTGTATATGTGGTACACTGGTGCAATATCAAGATCTTCAATCATGGACATATAGATTCTAGTTTGGATATAATTCATGACATAGGAATGGAATAGTAAGGGAACATTGATGGAACATTGATGGAACATGAATGGAATATGAATGGAATGGCGTATAGATTGAATATTGATGAACTATTGACACAAATGCATGGAAGATGAATGAACTGGAATATTGATCGAATATGACTGGGATATTGGTTAACTATTGATCAAGTATGATCAGAATATTATATAATGGAATGGGATATTGATCGAATATGATTGGAATATTGATTAAGTATTGATGGACTATGAATGGAAAATGAATGGAATGGAATGGAATATCTATGGAATATTGCTTGATACAAAGTTTTAATCAAACATGACTGGCTGGGAAAATTCCGAACGAAATTTGATTTTCCTCTCTTTTTAAGTGTCTCGCTGTGGATCAACCTGTTTGTTTGCCGATATCCCCATGAATACACCTAATGATATTCCCATTATCCCACATAATATCCCATTGTATCCCCACTATACCACCATTTTTGTTGGTATTCATCATGCCCCCAGTCTAATACATGGCTATGTGGCAGCATTTCAGGCTGCCGAACGGCTGGCATCACAGGAGGTGGGACGAACCGGGACCGGATGCGGTGGGAACCGGGGATCTCCTAAATGAACAAGGGGTTCGCTGAGAAATTTGAGGGAAGACAATCTGAAAACCAAAGTTTGGCTACTTTTGATAGGGTTTCAGGAGGGCTTCAAGTTTCAAGATGTTTCAATTTGTTTCAATGTGTCTTCCACATGTTTTCCACCCATGTTCTGGAACTGTGATGGACCAACTGACTGTTGCTTCTTCCTCTTTGAAAGCATCTGACTTTGGAGCTGAGCACTAACCTTTGCTGTAACCCAGCTATCTCAGCTCTTCAGTGCTTACACATACTTTGGGAGACTCAAAGGGCCCACGGTTGTCCATGGCTTCTAGGAATCAGCAGTTGCTGCCGGCATTGTTGGCTCAGATGTGCGGACAATGGAACCCACAGCTGGTGTCAGCTTCTGCCACCGCAGAACGCCAAGTAACCACGCGGCCCCTGTGGCATTCCAAAACCTGAGCCCAATTTTAGGATCATTCTACTTAGCACGTGGTCTGAATACAGATTTGTTGCCATTGAACTTCGCCAAGTGGGGCTACCCATGGACATGTCATTTATAATTCAGCAATTATCATAACATATCATAACCATAAAGTCCCCCAGCACATTCCCAGGATGCTCAGGACCTCTTAGACCCCGAAAAAACCCGCGCGGCGCCGCCTCGCCAGCCATGGAGGATGCACCCTTGGCCAGTGATGGCACTTACTACCAGTTTCTTGGACAGATGGCCATGATGGCCATGATGGCCATGGTCAGATCTGGATATGGAAAATCGCCGTTTTGAAGAGGTATGGAATAAATATGGTCTGGTTGGTGGTTTCAAATATGTTTTATTTTCCATTTCATATATAATATATATATATATATGGTATGTCATCCTTCCCATTGACGAACTCATATTTTTCAGACGGGTAGGTATACCACCGCTTAGGGATCAGCCATGATGGCAACGGTCACTGGCAGTTGCATCCACCTGGAAAACAACCGCTTGTTTTCCAGATTTGGCCCCTGAAGCCTTGTGAAAAAAAACGATGTTTTGAATGGCTAAAACTTAAACCAAACAACTCACAGTAAATGTCAGGGGACCATCTTTCATCATGGCACGTGTGTTGAACCATGTCATTGCATTGCCCTTTGGTAGTAGCTATTGAAACTGGCACATTTTATTTTAAAAAATGATTTTCCATTGCAAACTGTTAGTTTACCAGAGGGTAACTTGGTTGCTCTATCTGAAAGTCTATGACTATATAAATCTATATAATCATAATCATGTAATATAAATGTCCTATAATATCCTATAATATCCTATAATCATATAATCACCATATAATGTTCAAGGGGGGTGTTGCAGGAAACTTTTTGCTGGACTTGTCCAGGATTTTGGGTGTGGCTCCAGATGCCAGCAGCGAGGAAATCAAGCTGCAGAGCCTTGATTTGGGGGGGAAAATGGTGGGGAGACACGGTGCAGGCACCAAGCAATGTGGAATTTTCTGTGGGTTTACCGTGGTTTAGCCATATTTAACCTATAAATGTGGATTTAACCTATACTAACTATACTGACTTGGAGACTTTCGGACAGTAAAACATGTGAAACGCATGGATTGCCGAAACACGGGCTTGAAATCACACGAATTAGGATTCCATCAGCATGGGGATTCATCTGTCGGAGAGGCTTTGGATTTAGAGAAAAAACTGCGGACATCCGTGGTTAATTATTCTTATTGATGCACGGAGTTTGCTGCTTAATTTCCTTGATACAACTTGATACCACTTCTGGGCTGGCTGAAGTGCAAGCAATATTCAATAGTCAACACACTGAACGCACATCGCTTGGCTCGCCTTTCAAGCAGTTCTGCCCTTGAAAGTCAATAGAGACGCCCGAAAATCGGAAGTAATTTGTCTCCTTATGTGTTTCATTGAACAATCATTGAACATTGTCACTCTACATGTCACTACTGCATCCAGGAAAAACTTCGGATGGAACCATAACTGTAGCATGTCCATCAGAAAACAATCTTCAAAGCCAAGCCTGTTTGTTTGGGTTCCATGTTAGCAGGAGGTATATAGATTGCTTCAAGTTGTTTCTTTCATTTTCTGGGTATTTGTCACTGGTCCTGAGCTAAGATACCGGAAGCTGGCACGGGCCTCACGGGAATGGAGTGGTCAACCGAATGATAGTGGTGGAAATGCCCCGTTGGAAGATCCAAGAAGAACATTTGCCAGCAACACAAAGGGCATGTCTAACCCAAATATGTAAATCTTACGTACATACCTGGTTTGACCATTTGCAGGTTTCATGCTTAGTGGGCCAATAGAACATAATTCCCCATCCACTTGGTTTCAACTACGTAGACTATGTATGACTATGTTCCGGAATTCATCCCTGGAATGATGATCCAAATTGATCCGAATTCAATGGGGTTAAAACTGGCTCAAAGACAGCGTTTTCCCAGCATTCCTGGGAGAAATTGACTGTGAGGCTCTGAAACTGCATCCGGATGCTGGGAGGAAAAGTTGTGGTGCTGGGAGAAAATGGGGGTGATAAGCAAGTTGCAACCTCCAAGGCATCAAATCAACAACCTGGCTTGATCTGGTTTGTTGGTGTTTTTTTGGGGCGAGTGGATTTGCATTTCCAGTGCCACAAAAAATCAAACTCTTCCACTGATCCAAGACGAGCTCGACTCTTGGTTTGGAGGGGGCAACCGGGTAAGATTCAAAACCTTGGTGAAATCAACTGCTCTTGAGATTCCACTGGGGAAATTCATGTCCGACAGATGCCATCTTCCATGGCTGGCCACGGTTCGAATCGTGGCGCCAAGGATAAGAACCAGCAAGATCCCAATGCCACGGAGAAGTTTCAAAGTCTTCAAGAAGCTTATGAGGCCAGATGCGTCATGGAAAACATGCGGTTTAAACTAGCAAAAAAAAGATGGAGAAACATGTGAGGAGGATAGTATGATATGAAGGAGTACGGCCAGTATGGCTATCTATAGTGATTATACAATTTGCTCAATTCTAACACGGTCAAAGGGGGAGAACTTGTTGGTATCAAGTTGGATTTTGTTGTAATAAACGTCTCCACCCTCCCCAAGAGATATATAGCAATTAGCGGGCTGACAATTGATCTTGGGGGTGGACTCTCCTGAAGCTCGCTGGGGTCACACCGTGATGAAACGTGGAATGGGATCGTTGGACGGGTCATTCCCTCACAGATGTTGGAGATTGTTTGAAGGTGATCAAAATCAGACAGTGTAGTGGAATATGGTCCCAAGTGTTTTCTGTACTTCCAGGTGCTCTTTGAACATTTTCAAAGCCATGACCATGGAACTGGATGTATCATATCCAAGGATCGTAATAGAATATAGCAACCCCCAAAAAAAAGATGCCGAAAAGTGTGTTACCAGGATGCTAGTTTCATGCTATTCGCCGCATATTTTCGTATATTTCCACATTTCCCGCTTGTCCGGTTGCTATATGTGTTGTATATGACGGTTGAAAATATATGATCATTTATGGGCTGCCGACTTGGATGAACATCCACCGACCCAATCGCAGGTCTTGTCTGACCCTGACCGGCGCAGCGCCTATGATCAGAACAGCGACTTCATCATGAAACTTGGCGCCTCTTCATGCCTCTTTACTTGGCGTTACACTGTTACCCTTTGGTAAACTAACATAGCTATTGAACATGGCCAATTTATATTGACCCATTAAGAATGGTGATTTTCCACAGTTATGTAAACGTTTACCAGAGGGCACACCATCCAATGATTGTTGGGCATCTTATATATTCAATTACTTCAACCTGGTCCCTGATGACATGGCATGACTGAGCATGTCTGGCCAGATGTCTAGATTGGAAACTCCTGAGCTCCCGTAGGGATTTACAGGCTCAACATAAATCATGATTGTGCATGTTCTGCATATATATTATGATTTTATATATATATGCTAATGTGTATGTGAGTATGCGTGTGAGTGTTATACACACACAATCACACACACATACACACACGCACATATATATATATATATGCATATGAGTGTGTGCCGGCCTTTCCTGTGATCGTATTATGATGTCGTATCCCTTGCCCGTCTATTTTGAGAAGTCATCCATGGATTGCTTGCATCCACCTAACTGTCTCAGACACTGAGGAAAGCGTTTGCAGAATCCACCGGTGATGAACAGGACACCAAGTGGCCGGAAAGTGGTCCTCAAATGGTGGCAGATCATGTCGCCATCCCCTGCCTCGAATATCAGAGAATATCAGAGACATCCCAATTTTTGGAGACCTCAAATTGAAGAGTTCCAGAAAGAAATCGGGGTTTCGATTGGGGGGAAGGGATTGCAATGTTGACCCAAGATGAGGAGGAATAGGATGTGACATGTGAAATGATGCGACACGATTTTGGTGCGGTACATCTTTAACTTCCCAAGAAACTCAATTTGCGATTAAGACTTATGCGTTTTCTGAAGACCAAAAATGGATTTGGGAGGATAATCATGGATAATCTCACGGATCACCAGCAACTCCATCGTTCTTTTTGGGATCCACCATGTCGCGAGACAGGAGTCCTTTTTGGCTGCTCCTCGGTAGCAGCTCGCAGGTTCCGGTTGCCTCTTGAGGCTACCCATGGGTACCTCAAAGTCCCATGGTTTATCATGTTCATCAGATATTGATATCATCAGATTCTTCATGAAGATGGTAAGTTTTTGGTAGAATAATTATCACCATCCGAAGCTGGATATCGTTGAATGGCCTGCTTATGAAGGACATGTCATGTAAACTCTCCATTACTCCTCTTTTGTGCCCTCGATTCGCCCGCGTGCCAAAAATTCACAAGTTCCAATTGTTGACCATAGCTATAGCCTGCGGTGCCAATAAGAACCATCCCCAGTATGGTAATTATCCAACTGGGTTTATTTACAACTTCCATTGGCTGGTTATATAGTATAAACTACCAGCCCCACACGGTAGTTGCGGCGCCATGGGGGAATCCACCATCCGGCGCAAGGTCCCATCCAGTAGGACCTTCTGGTGTTTGCTGGTGGAAGCCTGTATCAGCCCCTTGGTGCGCTTAAGTCACTACCAAAAATGGCGAGCCCCCGGTGCTGCGAAGTATGTGGGGTCTGGAGAACTAAGACAAAGACACACGCACACACACACACACTGATACAAACATGCTGGATAGACATGCAGAAATGATTTATCATAATTCATTGGCATATGCACCGAACAACAAGGAACTTCATTCAATCCATATCAATCATTATCAGTCCTATTTTATATACATGTACCTATATACAGATTTTTCAACAATATCTAATATCGCAATATGCGTGTAAGTATATGCTCAAACATGTATATTATCTAATATCGCAATATGCATGTAAGTATATGCTCAAACACACACACACATACATATATATATATATAAAGATGCATATGTTACATATGTGCACACATTATTATGAGGTACATTGACGTACCTATAAAATTTCAGTGGACAGTACGCACACACACCCACGCATACAATTGTGTAAGTAATAAAGCTATGAAACCATCCAGTCATTTGGGAAAGCATGAGCTGATTTGAAACTGCAACTTGGGTGAGTCATCTAGAAAATTTGGCCGTTTAAGTATCGATTTGTCATGGCTATGTTACTCATATATACATAGATAATTAATCTATATCAAGCTATAGCCCATAGCTATGTTATATGTATATATATATATATGTATGTATTATATTTTAGAGCCAACATAGCTGATGGATAAGCAATGATTTATATTTCAGCCCAGGCGATGATGCCAAGAGTTTGTCCCAGCTAGCGCAGCAGCTGGAAGATGAGCGCCTGGGCAGTTCTCTCAACGATGTCTTGATGAAAACCGTGGGAAAACATGGGGTACACATTGGTTAAACCTGGAAAATTGATGATTGAAATGCATTGAAATGCATCAACTATTATTTTATTCATGTTGATTATAAGGAAAACTGATGATGATGATGATGATGATGATGATGATGATTGTGATGATGATGATGATGATGATGATGATGATGATGATTTGAAACGTGGGGTTTGCCCGCAAACAGATCACAAAAGCATAGGAAAAGCTGAACAACCGAACAAAAAAATCCAAGGCCGATTATTGTATCTACATGTAAGGGGTTTGAATGTATTGTGTGAGCTAATGAGAGGTAGCCAAGCAATATGGCTATGGTGACCAAATGGGGCACTAAGTAATGAACCCAACAAATTTAATCTTCCAGTCTTGTGGAGTTTTGAATTCTAACCCATTCCTGAATGGGGAAAACATGCCTGTCCTGAAATATAGATCGATTTCTTATGTCAATAGGTTCATGTTAATTTCCGGATGCTACGTTCGGATAGAACGGTGGGCCATGCTCCCACTTGATCCAACTTGGAGCTGTGCCCAGGGTGGTCTCAAGACATTGTATCGAATTCCAGGGAGGGTAGTCCCGGCTTGCCAGATACAAACTTTACTACAGACTACAGTAAATCTGAATCTAGATATATGATTGATATATGTATTGAATTGAGTGACTTTGGCATACTTTGGCATACTTTGGCATTACTTTGGCATACTTTGACTGCATGCTTGCTTGGCAATTCTAGCAGAGCTAATCCTTACTAACCCCGTGGCTTGCATTTGGAAGAAATGTGTGTGTCCGCTGCATGCCCTTGTTCAAAAATGCGAGTTCTTTTTTCTGTTCTCCCCCTGTTCTCCCCTTCCCCAAACATTGAAGGGGCAGCCAAGACGAGTGACGGGGGTCAGACATCGAGTTTTCCAAAAGATCCACAAGGAATGTGGAGGTTCCAAGCTACACAAGACGATAATCGATGAATGATTGGCCATTCCTTCTGAAAGAGGCTGGAAAAAAAAACAGGTCAGCTCGAAGATGCCATGTTTTTATATGTTTTTCCTATACCATTCGGATTTTTCACAACCCAAGAATTCCATACAATTCCTATAGCCAGGAAGTCCAAACCCTAAGAGGTATGGCTGTTTTGATGCTGCGATGTAACACGTTCCACCGAGCCATGGCGATGATGGGCAGATGAAGAATGCCAGGCTTGGGGAGGGCACCCTAGGTGCCTTCTTTGTAGACCAAGACCCTTTTGGGATCTTTTTGGGATACCTGAAATATGGCAATATGGAGTTCCATCATGTTCCATCATAGTTGGAGTCTGATCTACTGATCGCATTAATGATTTTCAGGGGGATCATAGCAATGGGATTTTCACACGTTTCTGCTAAGACTGCGCCAACCTCATAAACGTCCTGACAATTCCAGCCATTCTTCTGCATCTTTCCCTTATTTCCCGACATTCCCCCTCAAAAAATTCCAATGATTTTGGGATTTCCATCATTTTCCCCTACTTTCCCATAGGTTCTCATATATTTTCTCCACACGTTCCCTATCTATTTCCCCAGCTGCCAGGCGCGAGCAACACCAGGGCCGCGTCCTGGCGCTGCTGCCGCACGCCTTGCTGCTGGAGACCGAGGCTTCGACTGAGCAGTTCCTGGCGCCGCTTCGGCAGCTCGCGCCCGAAGTGCTGCAGGCGGTGGCTGCTGGTGCCCTGGACGATGGCTGGGGAAGTGATGTATCCTCTGGTAATTTAACATAGCTATTGAAAATGGCCATTTATAGTGGATTTATAATGGATTTTCCCATTAAAAATGGTGATTTTCCATAGCTATGTTAAATTACCAGAGGGTATATCCCCAAAAAGATAGAAAAGTGAATCTCCACTAATTACTTGAAGAATGGGGATTTACTTTCCGATCGTTTTGGGGATGATTATAAGATACTATAAGTGGCTTGTAAAGTGCTTTATGGGTTTTATATGGTTTTATGGGTTTATAAGTTATAAATAAGACAAAAATCCCAAAGCAGAAGCAGTCAACTACCTCCATGGCACATCTCACTAACATGGAAAGAGCATGTGGATTGAAGGGCATTGACAGGATCAAACCATATAAAACCAAGAAGAAACCGAAACGTTTGGAAGATCAGCAGTAATTGATTCATTGGGGTAGTCCCATTGGCAATCCCAGCTGTGTTCGCAGATCTTCTGGTTGCCCTATTCTGTTCCCTACCTGGGACGATGCCCAACACATCCCAGCACACTCAAATGTATATATATATGGTATATATCCACATATATATATATATATATGAATAATTTATATATATATATATATATCCATATATACATATATATCCATGTATATATATATATATTTGTGTGAGTGTGTTTTAGACCCCCCCAAAACAGATGAAAATGTAAATTCCTACTAATAATAGTCATGAATTGCTGTTCTATCCTTGTACGGGTTTCTATATAGTTGCACATTAAAACATGTATAAATGGTTAAGGAATTGTTTTTTTCATGTAACCTGTAGAAGCCTGTAGAATACTATAAATAGCTAATTATCACTACAAGTAGCCTCACGCAGCAGTTTAGGTGAAAGCCCTTCAGTCAGCTTCCAAGTCCAATGGCAGCCGGGTGCATGGGAAGCAGAAGGCTGGGTCTGGGTCACCGGCAATTACAACTGTCAATGGTAAGTCCCGGATTCATGTTTTAATATCTTAATATCGTGCAATATCATCTATACGACTCTAGAATTTCTATAGTGATATATTTCTGAAGATGTTTTAAGACCGAATTTATAATTATCCAGTTGCCATGTTATGTTAGGTCAGCAAAAGTTCTTGGGACTGGCAAATTACAGTAATCCAACTAGAAAACCTCTTCCATACAGGTTTGCTGGGGACGTCATGGCGTGCCACCGTTTGATTCCGGAGATCGATGTTACACATGGAACCTGGAAACCGTTGTGGGATGTTTTCGGACACTTTTTTCAGCTCTCCAATTTCATGATGTACCCGCCGGTAGACTAACATGACTATGAAAGATCACCATTGTTAATAGGTAAAATCATCGAACTAAATGGCCCATCTTTCATAGCTACGTTAGTTTACTAAAGGGTACCCCCTCTGGCGCCCGGAAATTTTTATGTCAACGGCCACAGGATTCCTGCGGGCCTTTGGGGTCACTCCTGCTGATTCGCCTGCTGGCGGCAGCTCAACGGGACCAAGGAGAAGATGTGCATATTTCATGGTATAGTCTAGTATAGTAACACAGTATGTAGAGTATAAATATGTTTGAAAATTACATAGGATAGATAGATATGCGTCCTTATAGATATATGTATATTAATCATATTATTATTATATTCATATTATGTATTCCGATATGGTATAGTTAATTTTTGCAATAAATATATATATATAGAGAGAGAGAGTACATTTTACATGTAGATTACAAGTTCATGTATTTTATTTTTTCATTTTATTCAAACAACGCGCAGCGATGAAACAGTCATCATGGGCTACTACCATCAGCCCCTTTGTGGAGGTAGCAACTCTAACCCTGATTTAATGGTTGGATCCATTCATTTGCAGTCTCATGTAGGGAGTGTTAATATCCATGGTCCATGTGCTGTATGGTTAAGCACCATTTTTGTGATGTATATATCATTTTTGGTTGTTGAATCTCAATTTTTGATCGCTTAAAGCCAACTTGATGTTGGTCACACTTGTATTTTTTGGGCTTCAACCATCCAAAAAAAATGTGAGCAGCATTTTTTGGGTAAATCCAACCATTTTTCTTGGTTTAACCCTTCATTTTCTTTATTCACAACTTCATTTTTTTTTGGGGTGGAAAGCACCCATTCCCCTGGGATGATCGGATCATCTGCTCGCCAGGAGGCTAGCCCACTCCGCAGAGGATCTTCCGCCTCTTGAGGAAAACCTGGAAGATTTGGACAGTCGCTGGGCCCATCCTGGGATCCTCGCGTCAAAAGTCTTCCCCAACTTTTGGATAGGTAGAAATTAATGGAACAACCAGAAGTTAATAACCAGCAGATATTTTTTTGGCCACCAAAGATTGGGCATGATCCAATCTTCGCAAAAATGGATTCCCTGGATCGGTTTTGTTGGGAAAATCCTACAGGAAAGTTACCATCAAATATAGGAGTCTGATGGACGATGGAAAGAGAGATAGAGAGAGAGAGAGAGAGATAGACAGACAGACAGACAGACAGACAGACAGACAGATAGATAGATAGATAGATAGATAGATAGATAATTATATAATTAATTATATAATTAATTATATAATTATATAATTATATAATTATATAATTATATATTATATATAGAATCCCATACATAACTAGGGGCCACCACCTATCATGTGGTAAACCCAATAATCAACGTTCCCCAAAAACACAATTTTTATGGGTGGTGTAAACCATCCCCAAATGGCAGGTTTATGGCATTGGGTTTCACACATGAATGATTTAATGTCTGACCACTCATGCTCAAAGATATGGTGGGATGTTTATCATTTGAGATTCTATCCTCACTCATGTAGGAACTTTGAACTTTGGGTTATTGGTTTGACATGTTGTTTATTGTTCCATTCTGCCTGGAATGATGATCCCTCAGGACTATTTTCAGATTGGTTGAAGCCACGAAACTGATTGAAACATTTTCTATCTTCATTAAATTTGCACTAATTTATGTTCACCAACCTGACGTTTTTGGATTAACTGATCTAACGATATTCAATTGTCAATTGCTTAATGAGGTTCCATGATATCATGATATGGTAAACCCTTAACCAGTCGATTGAGGATGGCTGTTCGCCCCCTAATTCTGGTCAAGTTGGGGATGGCTGTATTGTTGGGCTTACATGGGCTTACCACATTGCTATATGTGGGTTTGTCTGAAACCCAGGGTCAATCATCATTTTTCCCATTCAGTGGCCATTTGATGGGTATACCCGACTTTTCAGCCGCATCTCTGTTTTTTGCACATCAAGTTGCTTGGGTTTACCATGTTTTTACACCCGTGATATCCCCATTGTTCTTGGTTAAATCCCCATTGTGCCTTCCCAGTTGGACGGTTGCGCAGTGGGCCCAGGGCCGAGATCGGCTGAGGTTTATCCGAGGGACTCGCAGCGGCCAGGGGAGATCCAAATCTCATGGAGGAGGCCTGGCTTGACCCATATGGGTCAAAGTCATTCAAGAATTGAATGGTTCATCATGATGACAATGATGTTCATACTATGTTTTAGACTTATATAAGTCTGTGGTTCCCCAGGTGTTTAATTTTGCATCACATGACCTAGCGAGTTTCAAGTGGTTTGGTGATTTTGATTGGTTGATTTCATCCCAGGTCCTAGCAAGCTAGCTAGAAACCGATGGTATGGTCTGTTTTGATATGAAAAATCCATAGGTGTTCCGTGTTTCATTCATGGGGAACCATGAAGATCAAGTCAAATCAGTGTTTTGTGTGTTATTTCTTCTAGTTGCAAGTCTTGGCTTATAAACCCATTAACATCCATGAACTATACGCGTTACACCCCAAAGTTATAACCCCAAAGTTCACCAAGTTATAAATAACTCGTGGATTTTTCCCAAGTTACAAATAGTTCACCAAGTTATATATGGTTTACCAAGTTATATACATGACTGACGCAGAAACTGCTGTCCTGACTGGGTCAGACTGGGTCAGGTTTTTGCCCGTTGCATCGCAGCCCTCACTGCGCCGCAGAACAGGACACCCGTGGACTCTGTTGGATCGAGCGGAAAATCGCGAAATTCCGAGGGCTTTTGGGAGTCAAAATGGTGATTTTAGCATATTTCAGCCATCCAAAAATGGTGAAAAATTGGGAGACCAAGAATGCTTCGGGTGAATTAGGGAAAGTCTGTCATCTTGCGGCCCCATCCGAATTACAGGAGAGGGGGCACAGGGCTCCGACTTCTGCGCCTCCTGCGACGATGTTTGCGATCGCTTCTGCTCTCTGTGACATGGCCGTAGATAGCAGGGGGTTAGTAGCTACTGACCTTGATAAATAGTGTTGAATTCCCAGATTTGCTTGAAGGTGCTGCCCAAAATTTGTGAGTAAAGTCTGATTTATGTGGGCACTGAGTGTTTGTTAAAGATGTTTGTGGCCGTCTGTCAGATCCAAGTGACCCGCAACTGAAGGTGAATGATATTAGTCTTCACATATTTGATGGCGAAAATATCAGTTTGATGGTAATGATATTGATCAGAATGACTTCTTCGACAACAAAAGACTCACCATTTCTCCCCAACAAAATATCTCAACTTCAGTTGGGTCATCCCGTTTCCCCATGTTTGATGATGAACTATCATGCTTTAGTCGACTTATATAGCTTTAATTTGTTCCAACAGATTCATCACCCAAGACTATGACTGAAACTGGCATGGAACCAGCTATGTATGTCCACCAGTCACTTTTCCCAAAGACATTGATTCTCACTTTATGGGTCAGCCCGCAATGTTGGGCCCCAAACGGTAGGTAATGTTGGTTTTGGGTTAATGGTAGGTATACTTAGGTTGAACATAAACGAACCAACATAGCTGTAGGGTCCGTTCATGATTCATCAGTATCAAGCATTATTAAACTCTTACTTGAAATATTACTATATACATGAGAGGTAAACATGATCAAAAAAGTTAGTTTTCTTTTTTTTGGGGATGGGCACATTGCAGTGACAATTCCGAATCAACTTATACCCCCCTGGCAATTTCACAGGGCAATGGAACATGGCTCCTTGATGATTTACCAGCTGATTTTCCCAAACAGTTGAAGGGAATCAGATACTTGGTGCTTCACCTTACCCAGATGCTCCATGGTGCTGGAATATTTACCTACATTTACCCTAAAAATTGCCCAGTTTTGTAGGTAAATATTCCAGCACCATGGAGCATCTGGGTTATCAAGTGGATGACTTCATCCCAGTAACCATGCTGAACTCCCCGGTGAGGGCCCGCGCACTGTCCGACGTCTTCGACCTCAGCTGCTGCACTGCCGCGCCGCGCTGGCCACGTCGGGGGGATCGCGGATGATGGCGTGGACGGCGCGAGTGGGGCGGCTGGTGCCATGGCTGCAATAGAACCTAGATTAACCGGCTGGATATCCTAGGATATTCCTAGGATCATATAAAGACCCCGTGGTTTTCGAAAGTAATAGGGGTAGATGAGGGTATACCAATTCACATGGCAATTTATCACTATTTTGCGGGTAATCTCCTAATTAATTAGTCAACTAAGTAGATGTTAAAGCTATGAGCTAGCATTCCATAGTTGTGGCGTCCACGTTTGCATTGACTCATATATAATATTCTATATACTTATTAATGTTTGGTTGCCCTTCATGCCCACATGTCACAGCATGTTTTGTTGCGAGCCTTTTCCATAACCCTGGCCTTTAGTCTGGTTTTGTTGACTTGGGTCGAAAATTAATCAGCAACGTCAACCCCCAGGAACGCATTCCAGGATGGGGGATTGGCTACACAAGTTTTCTTGGTTGGATACCACATCAATTTCTTGTAATGTGGCTAAAACAATTATAAACCACCCATTTCAGAATGGTGTATACCACCTATTTATGGTGATTTGGGGGAGGTGTTATTTTTGTTTTACCCACATTAGTTGTTTTCCACAATGCGCTTTCACTATTTGCGGGCCACATCATGCTACCAGTGATTCAATGATTTGGTGGTCATGGCCTCCATGTGTGGTACGACACCCATTTCCAGGCCATATTCGCGGTATTGGTTGCCTTTACAAGTAAGTATCCATAGATAACAAGTAATTACATCATGTTCTACCTTCTATTCATCGTCATAATGGTTGTATGTTATCATCCAGATATTTTGGGTCTAATAGATTATCAACTGGTAACTGACTGGTATATCAACATGGTATAATCGGGATTTGCACCATTCGGATCATCCAGTTAGTATCTAAAGATGTTGTGCTAATGTGATACATAAGTTCTTCCCAGATACCATCCCCAAAAATGACATCCCCCCAGCTAACACAGACTTTGAATGAGTGGGGTCGGAAGGCATTTCCCTCCAACCGGATAATTTCAAAATTCTAAGTGATAGTTTTTTTTTTAAGTGGGGGATGGTAACAACCCATAAACAAACAGTTGAATTCCCATTAATTCACAATAATTATACACACAAATACGTAAACCATTCAATTCTGCTACTATCCAGATACTTGCTGGCAATCCAACATTTGGAAAATTGCCATGTTCAATATACATATATAATCATATATATATATATATATTAATATATATATTTATAGAGAGAGATATATATATATATATAGATATAGATATAGAAAGAGAGAGATATATATATATATATGTGTGTGTATATATGGATATAGGTAACTCAAATCATGTACAAATGGGTAGTTCGCGTGTCTTTATGCGCATTTATTTGTTCCAGTGGGGTTTGGGTGGGGTTGGTGGGATGGGGCAATGGAATTACGGATGGCCGGCTCTGAGGTCGCTCGAGGCCTAGTCGCGGCAGTGAGGCACAGGCCTGCGGCGGAAATGGGTGGATGTGCCCATGGCATGGTATAACTCATGGCGAAAATGGGTCAAACATCAATAAAGATGAACAAAACATGATAACCCTCAAGTATTGATTGGATTTTCTGGATCTTAGTTACTACTAGCTGGGATGCACGTTCGCGTCGCGTCACTTTAAGCTGTTCAAAAGAAAACACATACACGGCCAAAATGGGATCTCAACATATCTCAACAGAAGAAAATGCAATTTTAAGAGGCAAACCTTGGTTTGGAAGATTGATGGTCTAATTGTGTCCAATGCTGGATTGAATCTAATTTAATAGCTGACTTAATTAAAATGTAAACAACTTCATAAACAAACAATTCAACATGTAAAAACTTCATAAACAATCAACATGTCAGGAAATGCTACCAAAAGAAAACACCAGAATGCTAAGCACATTTTCCATGAGATCATCGCCTGCCAAAATTTGATCGGTTCAGCAAATGCATACAGTAACAGATCACACTCTGGATAAACAGGAATTTCAGGACCCTTAAATGGAGGTACTGTACCAAATAAGTCCATGTTCCTTGCAGGGCCTTGCATGGACCTTGTTAATAGATCATCATCTCACATTCGGTACCTGAAGTATCCCCTGGGTGGAGGCTCGGTTGTGCAACCCGGTAAGTTGTCATTGGCTTTCTGCCACAGTCTTTGGTTTTGTCACCGGTTTACTATGTTTGACTGGCGTACCCTGCCAGTACTGGGTGATGATGGCGGAATGGATGCATCTTAAAATACACATGTTGACTGTATCCATACATTTTGATGTATGTTTACTGTGCACGTTTGTTTACATAATTTACCACTTCATGTTTTTCTTTTAAGTATCTTTGATTCCCACTTTTTTGCCATCCCCCCCTGCCAGGCGACCCCGTGGTTGCCATCGTCGAGATGTCAAATGCAATGTGAAGGGCTGCCAGTCTGCAGGCCACGGACGTGTCAAGGACCAAGTTGCACCGAACATGTGGTGGTTGGACCTGCAAAAAGGTGGGAACCTGAAATTTTCTGGAAAGATTAGTGGGATGAACATCCATTTGCCAGCCTTTTTTTTGTGTCCCCCAGGGTTCCGGGTTGTGAGCCAAGTTGGAAGCGTTGTCTCGCAACCAGTGGCTTGCAGCTGATGGTTTTTGATCAAAGACCGAAAGCTGGTGCGGAGAACATCCGTACGCAAAATTTTACGAAAAAAAGAACATGTTTCGGTTGTTTAATGTCCACATCCCATTATATAATAAACCCCCATCTAACAGTACTGTATGACTATATCATAGGATGTCAACATTCCGAGAGTGCTTTGATACTTTGCTATAGATGCAGAACAATGCATTTAGCCATGTGATGGGGATACATAATTCAATGCAGCCAGCAGTCACATCCCTTCCAGCTGGTTGTTGTCTTTTATCCTCATGTTGGCGGTTACCCTCTGGTAAACTAACATAGCTATTGAAAATGGCCATTTATAGTGGATTTTCCCATTAACAATTGGTGATTTTCTATAGCTATGTTAAATTACTAGAGGGTACCTTTTTTCTGTTTCTGTCGAAGATCTAGGAATCTAGGCCTTGGACGGAACGAAGCATGATTCAGAATCAGTTGGATTTACACCCCCGGATGATCCAACAGTTGGAACTCACAAATTGTATCAAATGGATTCAACTTGCCATGTCCAAGAGCTGAAAACCATTGAGCCCTATGTGAAATATATTTTCCAAACCCCATAAACATCCATTAACATCCATAAACATCCATAAACATCCATAACCATCCATAAACATTCATTAAAATCCATAAACATCCATAAACATTCATAAACATCCATCAACATCCATAAACACCCATAAACAACATAAGTTGGGTTCCAGTTCCATGTTAACTACCATCTGGTAAACTAACATAGCTTTGGATAATCACAATGTTGAATAGGTAAATTCAATCATCGAACTAAATGGGCCATGGCTTCCATAGCCACGTTAGTGTACTGGATGGTATGAACCTGCATTGTTCGACTATTTAAACAATCTCTACCCAGCTACATTTTTTAAGATGTTTGGCCATTTGGATCCATTTTAGGTGGTTCCCATTCGTTCCCATTACTGTAGTTCCCATCTCAATTTATCGATGCGGCATCCCGGCAGGAGCCGGACCTCCTGGGCCTGGCCGGCGTCCGTTGCTGTCTTCACGGTGCCCGACGGTGCACGGTCCGCGGCTGTACGCGCTTCGCACGCGGCAGTGTCGAGATGGAGGATCAGTGGGGCCCTGCTGGCAGGCCGTGGTGGGTTGGTTGTGGAAGCACTTTTTTGGATGAAAAACATGTAATCACATGTAAACCACAATAGTTCTTGATGATGATGATGATGATGATGATGATGATGCATTACTTTTTTGATTTATTTGGCAGAATTTTGGTTGAGAGATCGAACTGAGAATGGAGGGCTATGAGGGATTAAACAAATCACGGGAGTTAAGGCTGGAACTGTGCCAGTTGGATCATGTTGGATCATCCAAGGCGCTTTTTTTTTCAGGCTCCATGCTAAGAAGGCACTGCGAAATCCTCCTTTGCGGAAAGGATGCCATTTTCATTGTGTTTGTACAAAAACAGATGAAGTGTCCATTGTGTTGCTGTGTTTGCCTGGAACCTGACCTCTTTTTTTTTGGGTCATTTTACCATTCAAAACCTCTTTTAACTGTTGGTGTCGCTTGCGCAGTGTCAAGCAGTGTCAAGCAGGGGATCTTGCCATTTCGGGTCGTCCGGCGTCCATCTCGGTGAGGCGATGTCAGACTCACATTCCGACGAGAAGCAGGTCCGGGCAGGAAATCCCAGAATGCCCCCAAAGGCCCAAAGGTCACCCGAGAACAACAGAGAAAGCCAAATTGTATAATTAATTATGTACTGTAAATATCTGTAAATTATACATATATATGTGTGTGTAATATGTATAATTAAAGGGTTATGAATGAACCCCCATCTACCGTTTCCAGGGGCTCATAACATAAAGCTACTAAGAAAGATGAACATGTCTGAACAGATTCGAATTAAACTTGCAAATTGATGGGAATACTAAGGAAAAATGAGGTTCCAAAACCGAGGAGTTTGGGATACTTTATATTTCCACCAAACCTATGTACTTGGGGGTGCAGTGCCAACCTATAAGTGGATACATAACCATAGTCCTGCAGAATATCTATTAATATGTTAGAATCATATCTGAGTATTATATATAATTACATTATAACTACTATATAATAATAATACTAATAATAATAATACTTTAATAATAACAATATTATTAAAATATTTTTCAATTAATATTTATATAATTACATAATTACTTTTCATAATTACATTCATAACATTATTATGTATGTGTAATTACTGTTATATATTTATATAATTTTATATATTTATTATATTATATATATTGAAGGAGCTTATCACCATGCTCCCGTGCCATAACCCCAAGCTCCTTAAAAGGTGGTGCAACGTGCCGGGCTGTGGTCGCTTTCCCCGGGGCCTGGTCGATGCAAGCGACGCCTTGGGTCCAGCGGGCTACCGCTGTGCCTTCCACGGCTGCGGCTGCTGCGTGGTCGGCTGCTGCTTGGCGACGGAAAAGCACCAGCCGTTGACAGGTTCTGAATATCAAGTTTTTTTTCCCCTTTTGGAGAACGAACATGTCTATAGTGGTTAAAGAAATTAATTGCAGTTCTTCTTGTTTTAGATGTTTCCTAATATTTGAGGCATGCTTGGGTAAAAGGTGTGCAGTATTCTCCGCAAATGCAGCACTCCGAGCCCCTTCTGTAGCAAATGCTGGAAGAGATATTAACTAATCTCTGACATGGAGGACAAATGGGGGGGTTTCTTAAAATGGAAGGGATCCCCAAAACCATAGGTGTCAATACTAAAATGGTTTAATTTTGGATGAGTTGGAGGTACCCCCATTTTAGGAAACCCCCTATATACATATATATATATATATATCCACTATATTAAAGGGCCGAGAAAACGTGTTTTTTTTGGGGGTGTTGGAATTCAAACAAAATCGGAGGCTTTGTTTGATCTGTAGGATGCAATGCCTTTGCAGTCTTGGAAAACCGCAAATAATTTGATGTGTACCCCAAAAATGCTGATGCACGCATCCACTTGTCTGACAACTTTGCCTCGCGATTATACATTTATTTATTGAATATTGAATGCGAACTACATTGATATACTTATACTTGGTTACTTGATGATCATATACTTCTGTATCCATTTTCCGTTTTGTGGGATGGGTATGTGCACACTTGTGGCTTGTAGTTTTTCCAATTAGTGATCGCATGGTTTGCTTTTGTTAACGCAAGCTGACACATCCTATGCAATGCATTGCACTGCAGTGCAATGCGATACATTGCTGACTATTTTTACTTTTCATGTACATTACATTTGCATTACATTACACTGCATGTTCATGTCGTTTGCATCACATGTGCATTACGTTTGCATTAGAGTTGCATTAGAGTTGCATTAGACTTGCCTTAGATTTGCATTTGATTTACATTCGATTTACATTAGATTTACATTAGATGCACATGGCATTTACATTGAATTTACATCATATGCCCATTCTATTTACATTACATGTGCATTACATTTACTTTATAATTTAACATTGCATTTACATTACTACTTTACATTACATTACATTACATATTGATGAAATTAATTTTGGTGTTGCCTATCTATTATTTCTACTTATTACATCAGATAACACAACACATAAGATATGACATATACTACTACCCTCCAGTAAATTAACATAGACCCTGGCAGTCATCGGGGTTGAAAGATTAGTTTCCTCTAAAAATTGGTGATTTTCAGGGTCTATGTTAATTTACCAGAGGGTATCCTATCCTATACCATACACCGAGGTCGCAAGACTCCCTGGGGCCGAGTGTCCAGCGCCGACGTCTTCGGCCCCCCGGGCCGCCGCTGTTGGATCCATGGCGGGCAGTGCTGTGACGTGCCCGGCTGCGGGCGGACGCCCAGGCCGGTGGGGCGCGGAGACGGGAAACTTTGAAGAGACGTGTTGAATGTGTACATAATATTGCATAATCATATCACATACATACATACATACATACATACATTACATTACATTACATTACATTACATTACATTACATTACATTACATACATACATACATTACACATACATTACATACATACATACATACATACATACATACATACATACATACATACATACATACATACATACATACATACACACATACATACATACATACATACATACGTACATACATACATACATACATACATACATTACATACATACATAAATAACATACATTACATTACATACATACATACATACATACATACATATATACATATATAAAGATATATCACATAAATATATATATAGATAGAGAGAGAGAAAAAGAGAGATAGATTCTGTATGCAGAGTATTTTGATAATTGTCCGTGATATACCTAATTATATCTAACTATACGCATATGAGTCTTCACATGGCCAGGCACGAGGTGAATTTGAACTATCATTGGGTGTATACATACATATATATATAATTTTTGACCCAGATCACAATTGATTGGACAAGTCTTCCTTCCCTGACGTGACCTTCTAATTCTATACATCTAAACACCTAGCATATCCCTAGAAGTCTGTCTGGACACACCCAATTGTTATTGCTGAACCAATTGTTGTTGTTGAACCAGGCATTTTCTGTCAGTGTGGCCATCATCTCAGCATCAGCGTTGATGATCGTTAATCTGGTTGGTGTTTTGGAACATTTCTTAATTTTCCATATATTGGGAATAATCATTCCAACTGACTACAGTAATAGTTTTCAAAGGGGTTGAAACCACCAACCATTAATGCATATCTCCAACTATCACCAGTATCCCCAGGCGGCTTTTCTGGGTTCAAACCGCAGGGTGAACATTCAAGAAACGCAAAAACAAAATAGCTACACTGAATTAGCCCACCCTAGCCGCCCAGTGAAATGTTTGGTTTATAAACCCATATATTATACACTTAAACTACATTTAAACGAAAAAATAGCACGAATACTATAGTAATATCCTCCTAAGCAACGCAAACGTTAAGCAAGTTATATGTATGCGTCAACGTCAGCGTCACGTCATCCCATGAAATCCCTGGGACATCCACTACCAATGGAGGTTTATAGCTGGGGAAACCAGCTATAAATGTTGGATTTTCCTGCAAGCCATGTTTGATTACCAGAGGGTAGGGTAAAGGATAATGTTAGAAACTGATTGGAGTTTGGGATGGAGAATTGCAGGTTTTCTGCAGTTGTTTTCCCTGACCATCCCAGATTTTTGATGGGATTTCACGCTTTGTTGCCTAACGTTTTGGGATTGCCTGGATCCTTGGATGATAGCTTGCTTTGCGAGGTGGCAAAAACAGGTCTCCGAGTGCCCTCCGGGCATTGTTGCCTTGGAGGATTCCTCATGAAACATCCAGTATATATATAATATATATATAAATATATATATATAAATAAATATATATATATACACATAGTTTACGCATGATATACCACGATTTTCCTATCAACTGAGACAACTTCCGCATTTTTTTTCCACCGGTTCCCAGACGCTGTTCCAAGGAGGCGGGTCGCGACGGCGGATCAATATGGCCACTCGACTGAGAGCCCCATTGATCGATGTGGCTAGCTACCCTTTGGTAAACATACAAAAAACCATGGAAAATCACCATTTTCAATAGGTAAATCATGGTAAATCAACTATTTTTCTATGGTCATTTTCAGTAGCTATATGAGTTTACCGGAGGGTATCTACACTCACCGACCTGTCAATCTATCCATATACATGCTTGGTTTCTCCCGCTTGCATCCTATGTGGTTTCATCCCCCAATGCCATGTGTTGATGCTGAAACCACATGTTTGTTAATACCTCCCATGCAGACTAACAAAACATGGTTTCCTGTTGGTTTTCCCTCATTACATCCCCAATCAATTGGATTATTGTTAGTTTGCATCTTTTTTGATGGTCAATCTGAGTCAATCTTGAAACAACTCACCCACTTTAATTGGCAAACCGGTTTGATATAGTTTTCCAATTGCTTTTAATTATGTCCTACTTGGTGATTCACCCAGTTACCAGTTAGTAAGATGGTTAGTTCACCCCAATCCTAACTGGACATTGTCCCGTACCCTACTGAATTAGTTATAACATTCTTACTAGGGGTGAACCACCATTCCTGTCATGTTCTTATTGCCTGGACTGTCCTGATCAATCATGATTTTTCACCACATGTTTGTTTGGTTTATTTATGTTTATTTAAGCATGATGTCTGTTGTTTAAAGAACCATTTCTGTTGGTTCATTCCTATAAAACATGGAAAACCCCCCTATGGTGAAACCACCGAGGCCCTCCGGGTGTGCGCTGCGACCTTCACAGCCTGAAACCTCGTCGTCGAATCGAAGGGCGCTGTGTGCGCTGGAGCACCTGGGCAGCCTGGGCGATGGGACTCATCGGTCACTGGGGGATTTGAACAACCATAGAAAATCGGTTAAATTGAAATAGATAATCACCATTTTCTATAGGTAAATCAATAGGTAAATCATCGGTCACTAATTACCCTCTGGTTATGACTAACATAGCCATGGGAAATCACCATGCTATTAATAGGTAAACCATCTATAAATGGGCAATTTTCCATGGCTATGTTAAATAACCAGATGGTACTAATTAATCACTACTGATCACTGCTTGTATGTTCAAAGATTTGAAAATCATATAGATTTCATCAAATACATTCTTAATCACGAAAGCTAGCGTCAGCTAGCTGGAGTCTTCTTGCTTTAGCAAGTATTGGGGGGGCTGCTCAAGGACATCACGTGATTTTTCACGCGAAAGGGCCCCCCCCCTCCCCCACCACCACCACCACCATCACCACCATCATCATCATCATCATCATCATCATCGTCATCATCGTCATCATCATCGTCATCATCATCGTCATCATCATCGTCATCGTCCTCTCCATCGTCCTCGTCCTCGTCCGCGTCCTCGTCATCATCATCATCATCATCATCATCATCATCATCATCATCGTCGTCGTCATCGTCATCGTCATCGTCATCGCCATCATCATCCTCATCCTCATCATCATCATCATCATCATCATCATCATCATCCTCGTCATCATCATCATTATCTATCACCATCATCATCATCATCATCATCATAATCATCATCATCATCATCATCATTCATCATTCATCATTCATCATTCATCATTCATCATTCATCATTCATCATTCATCATTCATCATCCATCATCAGTATCATCATCATCATCATCATCATCATCATCATCATCATCATCATCATCATCATCATCATCGTCATCATCGTTATTCAATTACATTTTATCATTATTGGCAATTATTGTCATTATCACGAAAGCTAGCGTCAGCTCGCTAGAGTCTTCTTGCTTTAGCACGTATTCCGGGGCTCTCCAAGGACATCAGGTGATTTATCCCGCGAAAGGGCCCCCCCCTGCCCCCTCCCCCATATATATCATTTCCCTCCGCAACTCACCTCTTCCCTTCCTTCTTTCTCCTACCCCGCTAGCTTTCGTCATCCACCCCCGGCCTCAAGTCATTATTAGAATATCATCGGAGGGTATAACTATGTGTCACATTTTTTTCGATTAAGAATGATGAATGAATATATAATATATATATATATATACACATGTTTGATATGTTCAAACAAATTGAAGAGTTGAGGATGTTTGTTCTTTTTTTTGGAGGGTGGTAATGTCGGATAATAACGCATTTGCTGAGAAACCATTGGGAATTTGCATGAATTTGCTGGTTACTGGTGATCTGGTGGCTATATCGCCTTGTATTGTTGGTTAAACCATGCCAACCTTTGAATTTTGGATTTGCTGGAAGACTGGGGCATGCCTGAGCTGGGGCTTTCCAACGTGGATCGGTTGAAAGCACCAGCACCGTTGGGCTTGGCGCCGTGCCAAGCACAGAGGTAAGCATGGGCTAAAAGAGCCCCCGTGATTATTCTTTTGTTCAACGATACTTGGATATATTGTACTCTCCCCATGTGTGCGCTTATGTTTACATATGCACTAATCACTAATATACATATACACTAGTGATATATATACTGTATGTATGTACCACATTATATTATATAAATGTATATATATATATATATAGCCTATATCATTTATATAGTGCATAGATATGCGTGTGTGTGTGCTGTGTGTGCAAGTCTTGGGTTCTCCCCCCTCCGTGGACCCTGGCTCGCCAAAAAAAATAGTGGCTGGCCAAGGCTCTTAAGACATGCGACACGTCAATTGGGTTTGTTGGATTAAATTGACAATAATTGACATCGTATTATGACTGAGACCTCTCTCTCTCTCTCTTTTTTTCTTTGCTATATGTATATATATAAATACTATATTTCAAATTATATATATATATATCTATGGTACCCCCCTGAAACCTACCTTTTTGACATATTCATCAGATGGTTGGGTCAAAAGGGGGTTACCTTCCATACACCCTAAGGGTATTATATATATATATATATTCTAATAGTGTAATAATTATGCTATTGAGACTGATTGAACTTAACTTCAATGATAGGATTCTGGGAAGAATGCATTCAGAATGCTTTCTCTGCATTCTCTGCATTCTGGGAAGAATGCATTCAGAAGGCATTCTCTGCTAGAACCAAGGGTCCCCCCCGGACTCCTGAACAATATCTTGGAATTTCCAAACCAAAACCAAGAACCAAGGACCAAGATTCTCCCAGGACTCCTGAACAAATCTTGGAATTTCCGAACCAAACCAAGAACCAAGATTCCCCAAAGACTCCTGAGCAAATCTTGGATCTTGGTTCTTGGTTTTAAATCTAAGATTCCCCAAAACCAAGAACCAAGAACCAAGATTCCCCAAAGACTCTTGAGCAAATCTTGGTTCTTGGTTTTAAATCTAAGATTCCCCAAAACCAAGAACCAAGAACCAAGATTCCCCAAAGACTCCTGAGCAAATCTTGGTTCTTGGCTCTTGGTTTTAAATCTAAGATTCCCCAAAGACTCCTGAGCAAATCTTGGTTCTTGGTCTTGGTTTTTGGTTTTAAATCTAAGATTCCCCAAAACCAAGAACCAAGAACCAAGATTCCCCAAAGACTCCTGAGCAAATCTTGGTTCTTGGTTCTTGGTTTTGAATCTAAGGTTCCCCAAAGACTCCTGAGCAAATCTTGGTTCTTGGTTCTTGGTTTTAAACCTAAGATTCCCCAAAGACCCCTGAGCAAATCTTAGATCTTAGATCTTAGATTAGGGAAATAACGCATTCTGAATGCATTCCTGTGGAAATGCATCCATCTTGGGTTTCCCTTACGCAGATGAGATTGATTCAACTACCATGAACAAGTTTCATTTTTGGGTCTGTTCCCCAAGCCTGATAAATGAGTCAAAGCAATGTTGCATTCTCTTGAAGGAATGCCTCAGCATGTTTAAGGAATGTATCACTCTTGTCAATGGAAAATTGCAAAAAAGTAATGCTACACTACAACTCTTTTGGAACTATTATTGTTTCCAGTGAAGTTATGCTGTGCCCTTTCAAGTCATTTTTCTTCAGAAGGGGCGCTTTCAATCTTACAAAGGTAGCACTTGTGATGTTTTTATTTAAGCAAAGACGGCTCACATTTGTTCATTTCAAGTATACACAATTACCGTCAAAACATTAGGGCATACTGACTCTAGAAAGCACAATGTTGCAGTACTTGTGCCATGTGCAGCATGTTCTTTTAAATATCCAACTTGTTTTTCAACAAATATAGTGTCACTTCGAGAAAAATATGTTCTTCAAAGTAACGGCTACATTTCTTAAGATAGCCTTATTTGGTTTGAAGAGATACTGCATTTGATTGGAAGATGCCTTGTATGTTGCAGGGACTGTTTGTGCAACGTGTTTCTTCCTTCCAGAAGTATTGTACTTAGTACGTTATGACATGGGTGGGGAAAAACTGATTGATCGAAATGAAGAGATATATTTTCAAGAGAAGTGGCTTTCTGCAAAGGAATGCTGCCTATTGAAAAGGAATACTCTTTTTGCTTAAGGAATGCTACACCCTTTGAATGAAAGTGTCTGTTTGTAAAGCCTGCTCTTGTCACTCGGAATTGGTTAAGAGAAGGATGCATGTTTGATCGTCTCTTGTAGTCATGTACAGTGTTTTCACTGCCTTTTTCAGGTTTGGGGAAAAGACCCAAAGTTGAATTGAAGGATCTTTTTCATATGGGTTGAATCACTACTTAAGGGAAACTTTGCAGACAGTTTGAGGTACTTGGAGGTACGTAAAATATACTTAAGACATAGTTTGGAAGGGGTACGAACTAAGAGGTCCTAGGACCTCCTAAGACCCACACATCATCCAAAGTATTGAGCCACTGCAGCTGTACAACAAAAAAGAAACTACATAGTAAGGAAAAAAGGCCAAAGAAATATCTACCATATCTGCAAGATCTGAAGGTGTCCAATCCAAAATTTCACGTGTCACAAAAAGGAACAAAAACATTGTAAAAGCCAATGTAAAGCTTTAAATTGACATTTGGCCACAGTGCTGTGCGCATTCTGTCAATGTTTGAATTGAACGCCTTTGTTGGGAACACAATACGGTAGTCGAAAACGCCGCAAATACCATCAAAATATGTCATTGTATCTACACATGAAGCATCATGACTCATCATGTTCAAGCATCCAAAGTCTTCAAATGAATCAAACAAATGCTGGCTGCTTTTGAAGGCAAAAACCAACACAAATCATTGTAAAAAACAATAAAAAATCAAAACCGGTAGGTTTCGGGGGGTCAGCATATATATATATATATGCAACACTGTATATGCACATATCCACATTGTTACATACATATGTGTATATATATATATGTCTATCTATATGCATACATGCGTACTGTTGTACATATGTAGTCCATGATCTGTGTGTAAACCCACCTGATGTCATTTCCATAGCTTTCCTCCACGATGCTGCAGGGGTTTGGTGTGGCAACAAGCTGCTGTGGCGATGCGGGAAGGCCAGCATTGAAGGATCCAAGTACTGCGAGGATCATGGGCCTAAGTGTGGCTGGGCAGATACGGTGGGGTACCTACTTGGATCTACTTGGAGTGAACAAATTAGTAATTTCATCATTTAACGGGAATATCATGTTTTGACAATGGGTGATATAATGGGATTCACCTTACAATATAATTGGTGCAGCTGGGTTTAGAAATAATGGGTATAACTAGGGCTATAACCTTTCTAACTATGGCAAGATATACCCACTTATAATTGGAACTGCGCAACCCCCAGCAGAGCCCCTGTGGCAAGCTGCAGGCTGGTGCGGATGGGTTAAAGCCAATAGTCACTCACAAACATGCAGATAACCAAAATACATCAACATACACATATGCTACCACAAATATGCTAGCATATCGTCAACCAAATGCGATGTAATCAATCAACATATGGATGTAGACCACTCGAATGGCTGGAATCCAGACATGGGCACAAAATGGCACACATATTCAACCAAATGATACCACATGATAGACGTATTCATCTTCAGTATGATATTAAGAGTAAAAGGGGCAACTCCAATATTGACACGGTCAACTTCTACTTTCAGTAAGCCAGGAATTGGGGCTGCTTGAAATGGCAGGTATCCTTTGGGACCTGGCAATAGTTGGCCCCAAGGTCGCTATCGCAGTACTGCTGCCAGCCGGCCTTGCAGCCGCCAACGGTCCAGCAGCTCCATCTATTGCGAGCAGCATCACGGCATCTTGTGCGAACAGCGACGGCGCCAGAGGTATCAGGGGCGGAGGCTTGGCATTTGATGTGGGGATATGGCCATAAGCTGTTGGGGTTTAGAAGGGATAGAAGTTGCAGTATGGTTATATGATGTTATATGGGGATGATGGGATGTGACCTCAGTTTAGGGTTTATTGATGTTTTTTGGGGAAAAACGCAGATTCCTGTAGGGCCACGTTCGGTTCGGTTCGAATGGGTCAAGGCCATCACTTTCCATCGCAGACCCATGTCATGCGAGCAATGGTTGATAGTTATGTGATGATCGTAGCTGGTTTAATGGGATTCATTCTCATGCATTGGGGTCTCATTTCATAAAACATAGTTGAATGATGTTGAATGCAATATCATATGACATACATGATTCTAATAGGTAATTTAACGTGATGTTTTACAATGTCATTTTGTTTTTTATATCCTATTTCATTGCGTTTGGAGAATCCTCCCGGAAAGTAAGCATCATTTGCCCATTACTGTACATCCCGAGGGCTTCCCATTTCCATCTTGGATTCTCGGAGGGTGATGTGGCAACAAGTGACATTGGTCTCCACATCTTCTCCCCTTGCAGCGCAGCGGGAAATCTATTCCAGTATAAAGCACAGAAATATACATGGCTATGTTATAATTATACGATTTCAAACATTATACATCATGAAATTCTCTCTTATCAACAGGTGAAGCCTTATCTCATTACTGATTGGCACAGAAATTAACAGACATTATATTGCACCATGGCATCATGACGCCGGTGGAGATTGGACGCCATTTGGTCGTGGCCTAGTTTGTCCATGGTTTCTTTTTTTATCCAAAAGTTGGGATGAGGTTCATTTTTATCCAGGGAGTCTAAATTGATATGTTGTTCTTTTGGCGTATGCACATACATTATACATTATACAAGTACATACATATGATCATACATACCTATGTGTCTAGTACGTTACATAATACATGGTTATATATGTGCATTAGAGGCAGGATTAATTGAAAAAGATACGCCAACAGATACATGCACATGTGGTTTATATACATGCACACATACATACACATACATATATATATATATATATATATACATACATACATATATATATACACATGCATTATACATATATACATACATATACATAGCTATACGCCCATTTGTAAGCTGTTGAACCAATGCCAAGTATGAATACAAGTTTCGAAAGCGATGACTTGCGGCCTATGATGTGGATGCAGGCAGGGGTCCCAGCTCCAGTGTCTAAGGAAAGCTTGCGAATTTCCAGCTTGCAGTCAGCCAGCCAGGACCATGGTAATCCATGAGTTTTCCAAGGGTGTCAAGGTGGAAAGAAATCCACCCCCAGGAAGATGATCTAAGAAGCGGGGTACCCCCCGAATGGTGATGTCATTTGCTACTCAAATGCTACCCCAATGATCAACAGCCCAGTGCTGCACCGCAAAATCCAGCTTTAGCAACGGTTGGCCAGGACAATCAATCATGTTTGACAAGATTTGGGTCAAACATGTGGTTTGTCCATTAGCATGAGAGGCAGGTTGTTGCGTATTCAACTGCTGTTGGGTCCAGGGCAGAAACTTCTTGCATCATTGCCACTTTTTGGTCCAACTATCGGCGAACTTGGATCCCAATCCACCCCCAAAAAAACAACCTCTCTGACCCATAGACCTTTCGTCATATCAAAAAAGTCTCACTGTTTCCTGTCTTTGGATAAATCCATGGCTATCCATGGCTTACCAGGAGACGCATCGTCATGGCAGACGGTCACCTGGCCAGGAAATCACCATCATTCGGGATGATAAAGCCATGCTACCCAGTAGGCAAAAGCCATCATCAAAATGAATCCATTGAACGTCTCGAAGAATATCAAGGTTGCAAGAAAGAATAGCTGCGCAATTGCATGCAATTGTGCTATCAAAAAGTAGGGAATGATGTTTAACTTCTTCTCGCCATGGCGATAGAGATAGAGAGTCCGAGAGAGAGAGAGAGAGAAATGTTTGTTTTTCTTACCAGTTTGCAGGGGACCATTCCTCAAGCATGATAGTTTGATGTTTCATCAATCCTGAGTCAAAACTAGAAGTGAGATCTTCAAATGAGAGGAGTTTCCAGTTTTTTGCCTACCAGGGGGTGCGCCAAGATCAGGAAAAGCCCGAGAGATAGGATCTCAGGAAAAGGTTCCTTTCTGGCGCAAAGCATGAAATTCATGAGATAGTTGGCTCAAGCACACAGGGATATTTTAGGATGGTCGCGCTCCCGGACTTCCGGTTCCCCCACTCCAATCTCCCTCAACATTCACCAGGGTAAGGAAGCAGCATCCCAACCCCAGGAGCGAAGAAGAAACTGTGAGTGACACGATCTGACTTTCCATCCATGGATCTTCCCTCAGGTTTGCAAAATGGCATGTATCAAGGGTGTAACCCATCAAATCTGGAGGGCTGATCTGGTTTCGGATTTCACATCCTTTTATGTTGCGTCCTGGACTTGCCATTGCCCAAATTAACACAGAATGTCAGAATAGCTGATTTTTAGATGGAGTCCTAAACCACCATGTTTGGCAAGGTCTATGTTAGTTGAGGGGATGGCAATTGCCTGGGTCTCACTCAGAAGATGGGTATCCAACCCCAGCAATTGAGCTAACCACAGATGGGCAAGGCTAGTGGCTTGTGTTCATTGATTTTTGCCCAAAGATTGGCAACCTGATCAAAACATACTAAAACCGGCTATATTTTGCAGGATGCTTGTATCTGAGATTGACCATGCCGAACATCCAAACAGGTACTCCGTCGTTGCGCTGCATCGCTCATCGCGAATCGGTGCCCTCGGTGCCCTCGGTGCCCTCGGTGCCCTCGGTGCCCTCGGTGCCCTCCGCGCAAGCGGTGCCCGAAGAGAGTCGCTGTCGAATGATGAGTGTCTTGGCTGCAGCTATCTGCAGTTTTGGGCCACGGGGCTGAGCCAAAGATGCATCGTATATGATATTATATATATATATATATTATATGGCTCAGCCCTCCCCCCATGGTCACGGTCCTGTATGTACGCTGTCGGATATAAATGATCGATGTAGGGTCTACTTTACCCCCCACGCCCCCCCTGATCGGTGGGGTGTTATAGAGGTATCATGTAGATAGTGTATAGGTAGTATGTGGCTAGCACATATATAGCACATGAGATCTTGATAGTAGCTAATATATGGCTACTATAAAGCTACTTTGTGGGCAGTAATACGTTGTAAATAGATTGTATGGGCATATTTTAGGCAGTATTTAACACTGCATAGAGATATCCTGTTATGTAGCGCGTAGGTGGCACAAGGCCAGCATTTAGGTATAGCATATGGGCGTATGAGATCTTGACGGATGGTGGTAGATGGCTAGCCACCCCCGTGGGGGGTTGCCGGGGGTTGCCGGACGCCGGGCGGGACCATATATATATATAATCTATTTATATATATAATATTATATATTATGTACATATTTACATACGATATTGAGATTTTACGTATGAGTGGGTCGCAAGATGTAACGTATGACGTCCTGTGGAGGTTGACCCAATACTGGCCGCCTGGCCCAGCAACTGCAAGGTCAGTACAAGGGCAAAAGTGGTGAGAAGCGGATCTGGCGTTGTGGCAAAATGTGCCAGAACTCCGGCTACTGTGAATACCATGAGGCCCACCTGCGCGACAAAAATGAAAGACGACGTGAGAAATATCACGCCGAAAAGCAAACAGTGGGTGTGAAATAGAATTGATGGTGTTGACAGATGTTGTTCTAAACCAATTGTGTCAGTTAATGGAGAGCACATGAGAGCACGTACCAATGCCATGTCTTTACATATTGCAACAAGCATCATAAAACATGGTAACAATAACAGCACTATTCAAAAACAATATTTAATAACACATAATGAATCATAATGACAACAAAAATAACGATGATGATTAATACATCATAATACTAGTCGAATAACAATAATCATGATCATCACCATCACCATGAGCATCATCATCATCATCATCATCATCATCGATGATGACTACCACCGATGTTTTTTCCACAACTTCAGTAGCAATCTGGAGATTTTACACCCACAAAACTGCCAGCGAAGGCGCCACTTGAACCGTGTCACAGCTTACCCCCCAACCCCTTAGGCTCGGTGTTAAAAGGGCAATGCCAGGGCCATGGGTTGCTGGAGGGTGCTGGTTTCAGTCCTGGGATACCACCCGCACAAAATGGGATGATCCTCATTGATCCTCAATGCCTTTCAATTCCTACTGGATTGAACATGAATATCTGAAAGATCTCTATTTTCCATTTCTCGATTGATTTCAATTCGTTTCCAGTTCCACAGGGGAGGAAATCAACAGATGGTGTCAAGGCCGAGCGCCTGCTAAGGATTTGGGCTGAACTTTCCGAAGGCTGTGAAGCGCTTTTGGGCAATCCGTGCTGCGATGGTTCTTATTGGACCCTCCGAAAATGTCCAGAGAAAGACTTGCAATGGCCTAAATCCCAGGGCCTATAGAAGGGGAAAATGAACAGACAATTCAAAAAAAAAACTCAACTAGATGTCCAAAATTTCAACAACACATGAATAGAAAAAGGTCTAAATACACCACAAACCATGGTTTTCCTTAAATAGTTATGTAGTTATCCCCTAAAAAACAATACATTGCTGCCCTGCCACAGGTGGCGTGTGTGGTTTTAGCCTACTGCACTTCGCGGCCTTCGCTGGGAAGTCAAAAGCGTGTCAAGCCTTGATCGACCTTGGGGTGCCTTGCTGTGATTTGGGCGGGCGCTTCAGAAATTCGATTTTAAGTGGTAGGAATGTCAACAACTAGAGTTGTCTTAGTGGGGCTAATTCTTCCATAATCTTCTGGATTCAACTGGTAAGCTCAGTTGTACAACGATAGTGGTATGTTTAAGTGGCAAGAAAGCAGGGCATAAGCCAAAAAGCGGGGGTGTGCAACGGGCCAAAATGGAAGGTGCACCAGAAAAAAAAGTGGCTTAGGAGGTTTCCAAACAATTCCACATTCAAACAGGAACAAACAAAAACAGTTTTAACCTCTATGGCCATGGACAATTCCCCATTTATGGATGATGTTACCATCAAAACCTCCATTGATAAGGAATTTCCCAGCCAGCCACGCTTGATTGTTTAAGAAAGAGTCAGGGCGTGGCATCCTATGCTGGGCAGTGAGGTCAACGTCAACGCCAAGACACAGCCACTCTGTGTGACAGCGTCGCAACAGTTCTGTCGGCCAACGCCCTTGGATGTGACTACCTTCATTGTCAACAAGCGCGTCAGGCCTGGCTGGTGGGCCTAGCCGGGCGCTTTTAGGAGGTGGATGGAAGGCTGAAATATGTGGCTAAGATATGGACACTATTTTTGTCAGCGCAACGGGGCTATTTACGTGGCTAGTTAATAGGGCTAACAGCCTAACAGCATATCAAAATCGGATGATTGGCATAGTACTGAAAGCACTGGAAGGCGTGAAAAGCCGAAATGCATCGAAATGCATTCAATTTGAAATCCCTTTGGTCACCTGATGCTTCATCCACAGATTTTTAATGGCCATTTCAGGTGCCTAAATTGGAGGTACCTACCATACATAAGGCCTATGTAAGGCCTATGTACTGGGATACACCCCTAAAATATGGCTTTATACGGTACAGTAGCTCTATTTTAGGGTCCTGAAATTCACATTAAGGTTTAACCTATCAAAGATCATCAAAGCAGATCAAAGCACACTGCATACCCCAAAACACTCGAAACATGATTGTACCCCCTGACTACGGCCTTTTTTTAAGTAGCTGGTTATTTTCTCGACTATGGTTACTTGAAATGGGCTCAGGTGCAGTGACTCTTTCCATGTCACGGGAAGTCTTTTCCTGTCTTTAGCCAGGGAGCAGACGCAGAAGGTTCTGCAAGCCGCTGATGCTTCTTGGGGAGCGGTAAAGATGGATTCTAAGCGGCAGCTCAGTGATAAACAAGTTACCCTGTGGGTGGGAAACCAAAGTTAGATAATTAAGAAGCATTAAGAACTATATATAGATATGATATGAGATATTGGTTTAACATCATTTTCCTGAAGACACCTTGCTTCTCACAGTTTTTATCCTGGTTCACAAGAGGTAATGGGTGATTCGCGTTTCTGTTTGGTGGCTTGGAACTGTGTGAAAGCAAACACATATATACGTATGTGTAAATATATATATATATGCACAGGTATATATTATAGTGGGTTGCCGTTCTGAAACTCCTGGCCCAAACAGTTGGCTACCTAGTTATTGAAATGCCCTTCCAAAACACAAGCAAAGTGCGCATTTACCGAAGAAAGATCCCTCAGACAACGAATTTGCAGATCATCCTTTGCATAAACTATCTAGCAGAGGTGGTGGCGACCAAGAATTTTGCCCACACTTTAAATCATTAGTGAGGTGAGTTTGCAAAGCAACCAATTGCAGATGTTTTTTTTTTTCAATGCAGCCTTTGGGACACCAAGGGAGCTGTACCACTTGTCTAAATATGTGGGGTTCAGTAAGAGGATTTTGCCAGGAGTTCACAATTGCACAGCTTTAGGCTAGGGCTGAAGCATTGGAACCTGGAGAAATGGCATGGCTTGGCTGAGGAAAACCTGGACACACTGTGGCAAGGGCTCATGAAGCATCAACTCTTGCCCCTTGGATCATCTTTGGCAGGTTGGCTTGGAGGTGATGCCTACCATCGTGGCAGGTGGTTTCAAACATGTCTTTCTTAAAACAAGAAAAGACGGTCCCAAAAAATCACTGTCATGATGATGATGATGATGATGATGATGATGATGAGGATGAGGATGAGGATGAGGAAGAGGATGAGGATGAGGATGACGATGACGATGACGATGAAGATGATGAAGATGAAGATGATGATGATGATGATGATGATTATGATGATGATGTCGTTGTTGTTGTTGTTGTGGTGGTGGTGGTGGTGAAGGAGTCCCCCAATAAAGTTGATTGGTTTGGCAGGGAACCACGAATGACATGCTTTCAGCAACTCGGGTCAAGTGCAAGAAGTAGAGAAGAAGCATGCAGTTTTGTTCCAAGCAGGTGCTTGATGTACCTGTATTACATTATTACAGTAGATTTTTCTACAAAGATACTGTGACCACTTGGAGTTTCTAGTTTATCCTCGGCAAAATCGGTCCTCAAAGTCAGATTTCAAACTCCAGTTGCTAAGACCGCCAATCAGCACCGGCAGATCGTTGCCCATGTATTGGTGCTTACTATCGTACCCTCTGGTAAACGAACATCGCTATTGAAAATGGCCATTTATAGTGGATTTTCCCATTAAAAATGGTGATTTTCCATAGCTATGTTACAAATTACCAGAGGGTAGATGTTTGTGGTTTTAGTTATGGCCAGTACATCGCTATCATGCGCAGATAGATCAGATAGCTGCTGGAAACTTCCACCTAGGCTGATCAAAGACGAGGTGGTGAAATACAACAGCAAGATTCCTTCAGGTGTGGATGGCTTAACTCTGGTAAGGTTCAAACATGGTTAACAAGCTTGGGTCTCTTTCAGATTCTTTCAGTGTTCCATCCGTTCCAACTATGCCAATCCAAGTGCAAATTGGAGGGGCGTTCTGATTTTGACCAAGAAATTTCAACAACCTCTCACTCGAACTGAATTGAAGAAAAAATACAGTAATCCTAAAAGCTTGGTATTACCAATGGAAAACAGTTTTGAAATCAGATGAGTTACTCGGCTAAACCTTATGTATTTGTACCCTTTTCTTTTTGAACACTGGCTGTCCCCAGCCCAATCCCTCAGTGGGCATGGATCAAAACAACTCAAAATCATCAGTTCCGCGATGTTCGGCACATCATCCTGGCATGTTTAGTTTGAATATGTTTTAGGGGGATGATGAACATCCGTAAAACTATCGTGTATACAAACATTTGAACATCATCATTCTATGACATGTCACATATAGATACATACGGAATAATTACCATCTGGTTATTTGTTACATAGCCATGGAAAATCACCATTTTTAATAGGTAAACCATCTATGAATGGGCCATCTATACCATGGCTATGTAATAACAAATAACCAGATGGTACATGAAACTATGCCAGATACTTTTGCATGTTGAGTGTCGGACCAGCGTGGGTGTCGTTGTTTTCCTTTCTTGTGCCATCTCTGCCCACAGCTGCTTTTGTCCGCCTCTGCTGCTAGCTGGCTGTTGTGCAGTTTCTTTTTCTGCGGCCTATGTGCAGTTGTTTTGCTTCTGATGTTGGCCTTTAGCCATCAGTGTGGGATACTTTTGCTGTGAACAGCTGGCCGTGTGTAAGCTGACCCACCAGCTTCGCTGCTCAGCATTGCGCCGTGTGCTGCGCACAGAGCCGCGCTGGCGGGAGATCGTGAACTTTCCAGGCGGGACGTTGAGAAAACAAATGGTGGACGTAAGGGAAGCACCAAAAGAGAATTTAAAGGGAATCATATGGGAAAATATGAGAAAACTTGGGAACAGATGGGAAAATATGAGAAAAATTAGGAACGTATTGGAACATTGGGGTTACCCAAGGGGAAATCCACTACTTCGGGAATCTATAGGGAATTGTGTTTATTTGGTGAGGTTCCTTAAGCAGATCCAATAATCTTCGGAACAGGCAAACTATTGGAAAATATGAAGAAAATTGATCTTGAGTATGGGGATGTTTAATTTTCAAGTCAGTAAAATAGCATTGTTAACTGGTGAGTGTAGGGTTACTGTATCTAATTTATAGGGGTTTGTGAACATAATTAGCGGGATACCTATTCACCAACCAGTATAATGGGATGGGGAATAGTATTTTTCATGGCTCATTTTTCAAGGCATCAACAGTTTTGAAGATGTAAAAAATGAGGGGGTTCAGTTTTGCAAACCATCGAAGTTATATAAGTTTCACCGAGTGGTACATGCGCATCCTTTTTTCATTATGGCCAAAAATAGAGGCGTTTTTTACCGGCACTGATGGGATTCTTACCAGCAGAATTGGATCAATCGACAAAAAATAAGTCTATCTTTCAGCCAGCAAACATGGGACAATGAGAGGGAATTGGTGAGCAAGGGTGGCTATATTCCAGCTAGTCACTAGTCTCTTTGAGCGCTGAGTAAATCTTGTACAACCGCACCAAAGCTGATTGGACCACAGCGCAGGCGAAGATGCAGCCACGATGGCCGCTTGGCGCTTGGGGAACTCTCTGATGTGGCGATATTATGGTATGTATGGTCACATATGAGGATGAAGATACTGATGCAATTTTCAACATTGGGGGAGGGCAGAACATGCCAACTCTCCCGAATGTTCGCAAGTCATGCAGTATTACCGTAACTTGGCAAACCCAACAATGAACCATCCCCAATGGAGGTTTATTCTTGGGTTTACCACATTACTAAGTAATTATATGTTGTGGTATCAAACTGTACAAAAAGTTGCCTGTTTTCCATCCTACGGGCATTGACGGTGCCCACCTGCAGGAAAGAAAGAGGTTGAGCTTCTTGGCGGATGTCATGTGTGACACAGGGTGTTCCCGAGAGTTTCGCCATGTGACAATGTTGCTAGTGTTTCCAGGTTTTTCCAAGTTGTTGTCTCACCAATTTTGTTGGGCCCAAGCCCACTAGTTCAAGGGTGTTCAGGGGTCTCAGCTCTTAATAATTTGATCCTCATGTTGCTGCACATCTAGTATTCGCACGTACAGCGTGCATGTGTGTCCTTGTAATTATTTGCATATGAGCAACCGCATGCAATGCCACTTGTTGCAGAGCGATGTGGGGGGGAACTCCAAAAACCAATATCCGGTGACTGCGCGACAGCGAAAAAGAGGTCACCGGAAACATGTTGCGAACACGTACACCGTATACAACATGTGTGAACGATGTAGGGGGAGGGATGGGGAGGGACTTCTTTTATCCTCTTTATTTCCGACATGTACCAAATCAAAGTCCCTTTGTCGTCGCTCACGTACAGTGCATCCGTGGCAACAAGTTCTGAGGAAAAGCGTTCAAAGTTTGGAGGCTGCACCCGTGGCACTGCGGTGGAACCATCCCAGTATCCTTGAAGATAGAACGGGATCCCTAAAATCCGGTTGATTGACACCCGCCATTGGCCGAAATGGTTTGATTATTGTTCTCTGTTTCTGTACTGTTCTGGTCAAGCTGTTCTTTTTTGTGTTTCGGAGTTACGGCTGTGCGCATATGGCAATGGTAGGCTTGCCAGTGACAGTGGCTTTGCACGCTTGCTTTCGATGCCTGTGTACGATATGAAGAAGTATTCCCATCTATTCCCTATCATCTGATCAGATGTGCAAGAGCTTTCCAACAACATGGACATGGGTCAAATCTAAGCCCTGAGCAAACCAGAGTTTAGTCAATTTTTCGTGTTAACCATCTAATTCTCGGGGAATATATATATATATATATATCCAATTTTGACCCATATCCAATATCCATATACATTTAAGTGTATCCCATCCCCACAACATGAAATCCAAATTCCCCCCAGGACCGGGCCTCCAAAATGAACAGGTCCAATACTAAACCATCGCTCCTCAGGGGGATTACCCGCTGGATTTTTTTTTTAGCATAGCCATGGAGAACGGTCCATGTATAGATGATTTACCTCTTATACAGGAATGGTGATTTTCCATAGCTATGTTATGTTAGTTTACTGGAGGGTATCGGCATCATTCATCGAATTTACAGGGACCCCCTATGATGGACCCCCATTCCCACATTTTCTCATGCCATTGGAGTTTCTTATGGGAGTAGTCTTCCATTCCCATCATTACAAGGTGAAACCCATAGATAGCTAAGTTGACTTAGGTTTTTATTTTTACAGGGGATAGGATATTTTTTCTTTTGGTATTCAGGGGTTTTTAAACCAACAAACAAAACTGGGGGGGCCTCATAAAACTGGGGGTTTTCACTCGGAGACGGTGGGCCTCGCCGATGGATTCCATGGATCAGGCGCAAGTTGCTGTGGGTTCTCATTGGCGACGCCTCTATGCCGCGCAATCGACGCCTGGGGGTTGGGGAGCCCATGGTCGGGGAGTCGAGTAGCTGCTGGGAATGGAGGTCCCATCATTGGGGGCAATTCCACAATAAATATCAATAAATGGCAACATCAACAACAACTGGGGGGAAACAATATTAAACAAGTATTGTAAAAGGCCGGTCCCCTGATTATTCAATCTCCCCCGGTACCCGAATCCAACGTGAATAGACCCAGTACTAAACCACACTTGGAGATTTCATTTTGGGGGATTGGATGAAACAAGAAGGAAAAGTCATGTGGAAGCAGGAAAAACTTCACAAGATGATGTCTGTCAGACTCACCTGCAGAGATATGCCGGAGATATGATGTTCAGTTTAAATACTTGCTTGAACAGTGGCCGGAAGTCCAATCAATTACTGCATGTAATGACCCATTCAGATACCACAAAGGAATGGTGCCATGCCGTGCTAGTGAGGCCATATTTTGAGGAGAGATTTGCAAGAATGAAAACCCATAAGGCCCATAAGTCAAGTATCCTTCAGTATCCTTCAGTATCCTTCAGTAAAGTAACATAGCTATGAAAGGTCATTTGCAATGGGTAAATCATCCAAAAACGGACCATTGTCGCTATGTTAAATCACCAGAGGGTATACCCAACATCCCAACATCCCAACATCACGAGAATTTTGGATCCTGAAGTGCCTCCAACCAGCAATGCTTAAACGGTTGAACCGCACTGCGCAGGTCGTGGCGTGGAATCTGCTGCTGTTTCTCCTCAGTTGGTGGCTCTTTGGTTTTCAGACCTTCGAGCTGCTGCAGGCGCCAGATGGCGCCAGTCCAGGGAACAAATGGCGAGATTTTGCAGAGGGAAAACAGGAATCAACACATCAAGGAAAAAGAAACGGTCTTACATACACACATACACATGTATGTGTGTGGAATACTAAATATCATCTTCACACACACACATAGATACATTACATACATACATTGATAATAATAATAATACCATATGATATATAATATAATATAACGTAATATAATATAATATAATATGATATGATATGTTTTGAAATCACATCATATATAATATTCAACATTTATTATAACTTAATATACTATATAATGCAATATATAATATATACAATATATATATATATATCATTTATAATATAACGCATATATATATATATACAATGTATATAATATGCTTGCTTAAAAAAAACAATGTACATAATCTTTTTCAAAACAATATACATATATATGTATGTATTAGATAGTATATACATAATATATTATAAATATGGTATTATATATATATATACAAATATGTTTATAAGATATAATAATATATATATATATAATATCTACATATAATATTAATATATAATATTCATATATATACTCATATTGGACTTTAAAACCAGCAGTGGAATCCACAGGATCAGTGCCAGGCCATTTTGGTGGCCATGGTGCTGATGGCTCTAACCAGCCTGGTGCGACACATGGGCGCGGAGGAGCTGTGGCAGAAACTGCCGTCGCAGGACGCTGCCCACGGAGGTTTTGGGAAAGGAGAAATCAATGGAGATCTGTTGAAACCCATGGGAATCCAAAGAAATCCACATTAGGAACCTACAGAAATCCATAGAAATCCTCACTTTGGTGGAAATTTCTAGATATTTCTTGGCAAATTGGGAGGAAACCAAGAGGGGCAAGAGGTGATGGCTGTGGATGTTCCGCAATTTGGGCGGGGAGGCATGAGAGCAATTGTTTCATGTTTAGGGCCCAAAAGTGATGCGATGAAAGGTCCCAGAGTGGAACACAGGTTCAAAAAATTGCAAGTAGCATGTTGGCTCATTTCACATGCTTTCTTTTGCACAGAAAAATCAGATGGATGTGACATGGGTCTGGGGCAGAATCCAAGATTCTTGAACAAACAGCTAATTCCCTAAGTTGGAAAACCACATGTTATCCCATGTTCCCCAAAATATCCCATTTTCTGTGTAAGTTCTCCATTTTATAAGGCCGAAAACCATCTCTCAATACTTACTGTGCGGCCTGCACAGCTACTGCACAGGAGGAATTGCAAGGTAAAGTGCCACGGCACCAGATGGAACAGCAGCTTCAAAAGGCACAACAACTTGTCATCGTCATCATGGTCGTCATCATCGAAGAAGAATATCCTGGTGACCGGAAGTTGATGCTAATGGCGATGGTGATGGTGATGATGATGATGATGCTGATGATGATCATGATGATAATGATACATAAAAAGACACAGAAAAGTAAACAGAAGTCTATCGATGACAAATCTCTGTGTTTATTCATTTTGTTGTGAGGATCGTGAACCGCTGCTTGGCTTACATCTTTAAGAGGTGAGACCACCCCAGTTATAAGCTGGTTTATAAACCCCATTAACTATAGAATACCTACCATAAACATCCATAAACCATAGTTCACCGCGTAAAAACACAACACCAACTTAGCTATCATACGTCAGCTATAAATCCCATGAAATTCCCAATTTTTGGTGCTTAAATCACAATCTTCCTATGGGTTTCTTATATGTTTTGATGGCTCCCCCATTGAAATCATTGGCCAGAGGCTTGGCAGCGACTCTGCCATGCCAGCGTGGCTGTACCTTGGTTGTGGTCAGTTTTGGGCCCCAAAGATCTGGGGAAACTGGACAAAACCTTGCTAAATTGCTATAACATATATCGCTGGATTGGTTTAAGGGAAAATATTGACCGGAAACCATTGATTTTCCCATGTAATTTTTCCCTTAAACAGGCTATAAATGGATATAAATGGTAGGTGACTTGGGATAAACGGGAATTTTCTGAAGACATATCCAAAATGGATGGTTTGTCATGGAATATCCTATGGAAAAATGGATGATTTGTGGGTTCCCATGGGTTGGAAACCTCCCAATTTCACCAAGATATCTTGAAATGTCCTAATTGTGGAAAATTCTAGATGTCTAATGTTGCTTTTTCACATGGACAAATGGTGCATTTTTCCCGGATCAGGTGGAGGACATTCTCCTGATGCTCCCAGGGGAGATGAAAGAGTTGAGATCTGAAGGCCTTCAGAGCTATGCCATTAGGACGAAGGCCCAGATTTGGGTGAAGGTTGGGTTGCTGGGAAATCCATTGGATGTTGGATGATGTTGGTTTCCCATGGGATGTTTTGATGAATTTCGGGCATGATTTGTTTTTTTTCAATGAGCCTCAGATTTTTTGACAGAAGTAATGACAGAATTGGGGAAGATGCGGACCCCCACGCCAGTCAGGATCGATTTGATCTGTGGCTGGCAACAGTCCCAGAGAAGGAGGAGGTGATTGACGATGAAGAAGAGGAGGCCGTGGGCCAAAAAGATTGAATTTACCTGCTTCGAATGCTTCAGAATGACTGCAGGCATGGCCATGAAGATCACAAAATCACAATTTAGGGCAGTATAGTTACTTTCAGTATCTTTCAGTATGTCTAGGTGGTGCTGATCTGTGGTGATGTTTATTATGTTTATTTCCAAGTGGTTTGCAGTCGGGTGGCAGGGGACATTTCCAAACGGGTAGGATAAAATTGGTGTGGCCTGCACTTGGGGCTTGAATATTCTGGGAGATGTCAAGAGTGGCCGGTGGTTTCCAATTTCTCAAAGCTTGTGTCTAGAACAACTCCTCATTTTCCATCCAGTTGTCATTGATTTTTTCCCAAGACATTCCAACATCCTTCGGATTCTAAGCAGTGCACCTCTTGGAAAAAGCTGACCGTTTTCCGTGCGACTCTTGGGCCTGAGCCAGGAGGCGAAGGAAGCAAACGAGCAAAAGCGGAAGAAATCCGCTGCCATCGCCAGTAAGATCAAAGAAATCAAAGCTGGTGCCTTTGACGGCAAAGCTTACTTGAGGGTCGGTATATGTCGGGATGCTTTGCAAATCCCTGGAAAAGCGGAGCAAAACATTTAAAATCATTTAAAGACCCCAGCCAGCCACATGCTGTAGATGCATTCTGAATGAAACTTGTCATTTGTTCCACGTCCACGGTCTGTCTACATCAGGTTTCCTGAGGATTGTAGAAAGATCACTTGGTTGGCAGCAACACGCATGGAACACATTTCTTTGTTGTTCCAACGCAGCTCATACACACATGCAGAATCAGGTACACATACATACATACATACATACATACATACATACATACATACATACATACATACATACATACATAGATACATTACATTACATTACATTACACTACATTACATTACATTACATACATACATATATATATATATACGCATACAATTCTTACACATATCATAAGTAAAGCGCGCGCGCACACACAATTCATATACATGTTTGCTATAGAATATACGGTGGGCATCGGTGAACATATCTGTTTACAGACATTGGTCATTGGTACATATATATATATATACATAACATATATATATATGTGCGTAAGTAAATACATAGATAACTAAAATAATATATATATATATATATATATGTATATATATATATATATATGTATAATTATATATATATATATATATATGCACATACACGCGCTTATTTTTACATAGTGAAATTATCATTGTAGACATTAGCACTTGTTCGCCAGGAGAGGCCCCGGCAGATCTGCGACGGAACAAGGGCCGACGGCGACATGTGAAGTGACATGCCGGTGGAGTCGGTCAAAAAGTGGCCATCCAGGAGGAAGCAGCTTACCCTCTGGGGATTTAGCAGTTTGCAATGGAAAATGGATGAACATGGCCCATTGATAGATGATTATAATTACTCTGGTACTATTTAACGTAGACGTGGTGGCCAAAAAAACATCAACAAACGTACTAGTACACATGCATCCTGATGGCCACGTTTAATTTGCAAAACAACGCTGTAAACGCATTTTTTCCTTAACGTAGACGTAGAGAGGTAAAATTTGTGCATTTCTCCATGGCTATGTTAAAGCTGCATTCTGGTGTGAAAAGAGATGTTGCAAAATCTGGTTGTGTTTTTCGTTTGATTCTCTGGATTTTGGAAATTAAACGTAGACATGCAGATCACTGTTTCGCAACGTCGAAAATGCCAACAATGAAAAAAACATGGCCGCGCACAGGTCATCCAACCGCTAGGTTTGTTTTCCTTTTTCACAGCTTCCCAAAGCTGTCTCGGTCTGCGCGCGTGACAAGCTTGCACATTGCCCTTGCAATGATTTCGCCTATCACTTCTTCAGAGCTTCATCGATTTTGGCTAAGTGAGATTTTCCCTCGCCAGTCTTCAAAAAGTGGATATGCCAAACATATCGGATCGCTGTGAGAAGCGCTTCGCGCTCAGAGCGAAGATTGGGTGACCATTTCGGTGCACGGTGAGTGTGCTTTACACCACCTTCTCGGGGGTAAGCTCCATGCCACTGGCTCGAAGCCGGATGGCACGAAATGAACACGCCTGCAATTGCAGGCAGAATGGTCAGGCCTTCGGCCTCCAAAGCCATAAACACAGGACGAGTCTGAAATGACTTCGGCCTTTCTGGTACCGATTCGGGCAAGAGAACTTTCATCATCCGGTCAGCTATGTCTGGTTCCTCAAGGTCTACCGCCTCATCATCACTGTAGGCCCAAGCAATTTCATCATTCAGGTGGTCGATGTTCTCAAAATCGTGGCCTGCCAGTGGCCACAAGGTCTATGTTAGCAGATCTTTGTGGAGGGTATTGACATTGTTGGTATCAAGCTCTTTAACGTAGCTATTAACCCTGGCCACTCTCCATATATATATATATATAATGTATGTGTGTGTGTATTTGGTATGTCTTGGGTCTGTGTTAAACTACCTGATGCAAAAACAATGGATATATCAATTGTTTGAAGGGTCGATGGCGAACAAAATTGAAGCATTCCTGTGGAAATATCTGGGAAGAAAACTATAAAAACATCATACAATTCGTTAATAATTTCATATGTCAGAAACTGTGTATATATAATTTCATCAGATCGATTTATGGGGGAAATTGTTTGGAAACCCGATTATACATGACCACTGGGAACATCCTGGTGACTTGGTTATGCGAAGCAACAGAACAATTTCAATGGTTCCCTCAACACATGCAATTCTAATATGTTACTTGATTAATGCCTATGTCTTCGGATAGGCCCCGGGGCTGTAACAGTGACCACAACTGGACAGCACAAACGGAGCTGCCAGATTTGGTTGTCAATCTTACTACTACCCCACTAACTAAGTTTATACTCACCATAAACCGCAGTGAAGCTAGTTGTAAACAAACTAAACAAACTCAGTACCGTCTGGTAACTTAACATAGACATAGCTATTGAGAGTGGCACATTGATAGTGGATTTACCCATTGAAAATTGTGATTCTCCATAGCTATGTTAATTTACCAGAGGGTATGTCCATGTTTATTTCCTCAATGAAACGCCTGACCTGCAAATTCCTCCAGAGCAGCTTCAAGATCCTGGTTCTCCTCCATGCCGGCTGGAGCTGGATCATTTTGATCAGGCTCATCGCCTGAAGAATGGGCGCCAAAGAAACACAAAGGCTGAAACAACATATGTTGAAACCATTAACGTAGCCATGGAGACTCAGTTGTATCCCCAGTTAAAAGATACTAGACCATGGTGGTACTTTCATATCTTTGTTGATGTGGACGAATAACCATTTGTTGCATCCGTGTTCATTTAACAAAGCTATGGAACAGCACAATGTGCGGAATATATCGTAGTTTGTTAAACATTGGGGCCGTGCCAATAGCCATGTTAGGGTATGAGGGGAAGGAAATGTGTATGAAGTCGATGGCCTTCAATACCAGCAGCATCATCGGGGATTTCGTCCTCGAAATCATTCTCATCCTTCCTATTGTCACTGCTGTCATCTGGGAAGTCGACTTCATCCAAGTCTTGGTCATCTTCGTCCCAAGGTTGCCCCATGTGACCATAACCTTGCTCAAGCTCAGTTAGGTCGCTCTGAGCTTTACGTGAGGCCAAATGTAAACACCTCACAGGCCTCGGGTTCTTCTCATCAAAACCTAGATCGAGGGTCAACTTCACTGACTTGTCCTTGATCTTGATTCCAAGTGTCAGGATTTTGGGAGTTTGGTTTTGTTTTGACGCTTTCTTGAATGTTGGAACACCATGCTGCACCAGAATGTGCTTTTCAATCCATGCCGCGGTGGCCATTTGACCGGTTCTGGGGTTGAACACAATATACCTTTCAACATCCTCTAACGCTCTCAGTTTTTGGGACAGACTTTTGCTGGATTGCTTCTCTACTGCTGGGTCCTCTTCAAGAGCCTTTGCAAGGGAAGAACTGAGATTCCCAAGCGTGTGGCAGTGTTGCATCAAGGATCGCACCACCGCCCCTGCGGCTTCGTAGGGCAAGGCTTTCCAACTTCCCGCATTATCCTGCTAGCTGACCCTGGCTTGGTGATGTGTTTTGTTGTGCTACTGGAAGTCCCAACCATCCAAATCCAATTAACATAGCCTCTATGCTGTGTTTTTTCATTTGAAGAACATCCTTTTTTCCTCTTCAAGAATTCCATAACCAACAAAACATCCACTAGATTCGGGTAAGTGGATTTGGATATGACATTGTAGGGCCAAAAATCCCCTTAACATAGCCACTGGGCTACTACTTGTGGAGGTGCCCAGAACATTTGTTTCTCATTTGAAGCAAACACCGAATAGATTCAAGTAGGTGAATTTGGCAATAACATGGTATAGAGCCAGCAATCCCCTTAACATAGCCACTGCGCGGATATTGGTGTTCCCAGAAGGATTTGCTTTTCATTTACCAGGAACATCCTTTACCCTTATTAAACATCCAAAAGATTTAGATAAGTGATTTTGGATATGATATTGCAGGTCCAAAACCCCCTAAACATAGCCACTGCGCTACTATTGGTTTAGGTCCCCGCAACACTCTTTCTCATTTGAAGAATATTTGAAGAACATCCTTTTACCTTTTCAAACATCCAAAAGATTCAAGTAAGTGGATTTGGAATGACATTGTAAGGCCAAAAACCCCTTAACATAGCCACTGCGCGACTATTGGTGGAGTTGCCCGGAACATGTGTTTCTCATATGAAGTAAATACCCAATAGATTCAAGCAAGTGAATAAAAAACATGGTAGAGCCAGCAATCCCCTTAACATAGCCACTGCGCTGATATTGGTGTTCCCGGAAGGATTTGCTTTTCATTTATGAGGAACATCCTTTACCCTTTTCAAATATCCAATAGATTTAGTTAAGTGATTTTGTGACATTGCAGCTCCAAAATCCCCTAAACATAGCCACTGCGCTACTATTGGTTGAGGTCCCCGGAACATTCTTTCTCATTTGAAGAAGATCCTGTTACCTTTTCAAAAACCCAAAAGATTCAAGTAAGTAAGTGAAATTGGAACAACATGGTAGAGCCAGCAATCCCCTCAACATAGCCACTGCTCTATTTCTCCCCTTTATAAACATCCAATAGATTTAGTTAAGTGATTTTGGATATGACGTTGCAAGTCCAAAACGCCCTAAACATAGCCACTGCGCTACTATTGGTTGAGGTCCCCGGAACATTCTTTCTCATTTGAAGAATATTTGAAGAACATCCTTTTACCTTTTCAAACATCCAAAAGATTCAAGTAAGTGGATTTGGAATGACATTGTAAGGCCAAAAAACCCTTAACATAGCCACTGCGCTACTATTGGTGGAGTTGCCCGGAACATTTGTTTCTCATATGAAGTAAACACAAAATATATTCAAGCAGGTGAATAAACAACATGGTAGAGCCAGCTATCCCCTTAACATAGCCACTGCGCTGATATTGGTGTTCCCGGAAGGATTTGCTTTTCATTTATGAGGAACATCCTTTACCCTTTTCAAATATCCAATAGATTTAGTTAAGTGATTTTGGGTATGACATTGCAGCTCCAAAACCCCCTAAACATAGCCACTGCGCGACTATTGGTTGAGGTCCCCGGAACACTCTCTCTCATTTGAAGAATATTTGAAGAACATCCTGTTACCTTTTCAAACACCCAAAAGATTCAAGTAAGTGAATTTGAAATGACATTGTAGGGCCAGCAATCCCCTTAACATGGTCACTGCGCTATTATTGGTGGAGTTGCCCGGAACATGTGTTTCTCATATGAAGTAAATACACAATAGATTCAAGCAAGTGAATAAAAAACATGGTAGAGCCAGCTATCCCCTTAACATAGCCACTGCGCTGATATTGGTGTTCCCGGAAGGATTCGCTTTTCATTTATGAGGAACATCCTTTACCCTTTTCAAATATCCAATAGATTTAGTTAAGTGATTTTGTGACATTGCAGCTCCAAAACCCCCTAAACATAGCCACTGCGCTACTATTGGTTGAGGTCCCCGGAACATTCTTTCTCATTTGAAGAAGATCCTGTTACCTTTTCAAAAACCCAAAAGATTCAAGTAAGGAAGTGAAATTGGAACAACATGGTAGAGCCAGCAATCCCCTCAACATAGCCACTGCTCTATTTCTCCCCTTTATAAACATCCAATAGATTTAGTTAAGTGATTTTGGATATGACGTTGCAAGTCCAAAACGCCCTAAACATAGCCACTGCGCTACTATTGGTTGAGGTCCCCGGAACATTCTTTCTCATTTGAAGAATATTTGAAGAACATCCTTTTACCTTTTCAAACATCCAAAAGATTCAAGTAAGTGGATTTGGAATGACATTGTAAGGCCAAAAACCCCTTAACATAGCCACTGCGCTACTATTGGTGGAGTTGCCCGGAACATTTGTTTCTCATATGAAGTAAACACAAAATATATTCAAGCAGGTGAATAAACAACATGGTAGAGCCAGCTATCCCCTTAACATAGCCACTGCGCTGATATTGGTGTTCCCGGAAGGATTTGCTTTTCATTTATGAGGAACATCCTTTACCCTTTTCAAATATCCAATAGATTTAGTTAAGTGATTTTGGGTATGACATTGCAGCTCCAAAACCCCCTAAACATAGCCACTGCGCGACTATTGGTTGAGGTCCCCGGAACACTCTTTCTCATTTGAAGAATATTTGAAGAACATCCTGTTACCTTTTCAAACACCCAAAAGATTCAAGTAAGTGAATTTGAAATGACATTGTAGGGCCAGCAATCCCCTTAACATGGTCACTGCGCTATTATTGGTGGAGTTGCTCGTCTGTGGAAATACAAACAAATAACCAAAATAACCCAATCATTATTTCCAATCTGTCCTGGATTTGCCACTCATAGACTGTGCACCATTGAGGGGTTCCGGTGCCCAGTTTTCCAAACACATCGAGGACTTGCCTTGCATCCTCCATGGTGATAGGAGGATCTTGAGTCCCATGGGGCATGTCTTTCCATTCCATGTATCCACATGCTATCCAAGCACTTTGGAAAATTTTCCGATCAAGTTGACACCAACCTTCGAAACTGAGCTCCACGATGCTGATCCAGTTGGGGGCCAGGATCTCCACTTGTCCTGCAAGCTAGACTATGGTAGATATGTGACAAACAACTTGTACAGGGACATTGGAAGATGCTCATAGTTGTGTGAATGACCTTTTTACACTTGAACGTAAAACTATGGCAAAACATACCAGTCCTGATGGACGCAATGGTAGGTCTTCGTAGGCTGGGCGTTCGAAGAGATTCTCTCCCATTTTGATCTTTTTCAATCCCAGAAGCCTTATTTTTTGCCGGTACTGGGCATGTAATTGGTCGACCGGCTGGCCATGGCCTGACCAGCCTCCGACCGGCTTGACCGGTTCGGCCATGTTGTGGAGACGGAACCAGTTGGACCTGGCAGTGAATGGACCCTTTTGGTACGTAAACGTAGCCGTGGCAGCAGTCCCCAAATGTAGGTTATGTACCCATTAAACATGTCAATGGAGGATTGGAACCAAGAAAAGTGAACTATTGCGGGGGAAGCAAAGTTAAGAACCCCACCTCCTGGTCCCATCTCCTTTGGACTGTGCGAAAGAGCCCGTCCACGCGTCGCATATGACAGCTCCACGAATCTCCGGTGACAGCTTCCACCTAGTCACACCGGAAGGCTGAAGGAAAGGTTTGATGTGTCAGAGCCATATACCAAGTCCATATATCGTAAAAATTCAGTTACTTTGGGGTTGAATATACTTTGCACGCTAACATGTCCATGGACTGGGCATTTGCGTACAGAAAGGAAAGATGTATTCCACCCAGTCTACAGAACATTAATGCACGTCTTTGACCTATCGGTATATGCGGCCAAAAGACTTCTTACGCTGCATGTCCACCGCAGCGCTGTAACACTGCTCGAGGACCTCTAACATGGAAATTGATGACATAAAATGGCTCTTTGTCCCACTCGTGACAATGTAGGAAATGCCAACGTGTTGGCTATTCCACTGCCGAATCTGTTCACTGCTCAGAGCCGATTCTGGAATGCAAAAGCATACCGGCCCTCTTGATCCATCGCTCCAGGACGAGGTTAAGGCCTTGGTAAGTCTGGAGGGCGCCTAACGTAGCTACTGAGCAAGTGCCTGGTATTATGAAACTGTGTCTTTTACATAATAGGCTTCAGAAACCAATAAAGGGAATAATTACCTTCAATGTACTGAAGAATAATGTATACATATATTATGAAGAGAAAGGACCCAGATAGATACAGACATATAAGATACAGTAAGTTGGTAATGCACTAAATGCACCCTGGTCTTTTAACAAAGCTATGGACATGCGGGTGGGTAATACCTTTTCCATACTTTTTATTAACAAGTCCACGGCTACGTTAAGGTTAAATACCAGAACTGGTTCCCCTTAAACCTAGCCACCGTTATGCTCTTGCGAGCACCACGTACCGCATGCCTCTTCTTGTCAAGTTGACGCGGTGCGCGTCTCTTCCTTCCTCGCTTTCCTATGGAACCTCTTTCTTTCCACTGCATCTTGCCATCCCAACTGAAAGCACATCTCCACAGCTGATCAAAATTTAGTACCATGTACGGGTGTACGCCATCTTTCAACAAATCTTGGTAGTGCTCCCGGTACATTTTCATGTCTGGGTGATTGAAAGGTAAACTTGCCTGCTCTGAGGAAGCAGACAACAAGCTCCAACCCCAACTCTTGATGAAATGCTTGCACCATGGCACTGTGACATAATTAAGAGGCTCTGGAGAGGGCAAAAGGACCTTTGAAAGACCTGAGATTGAAAGCTGGCCCTTGGCAAACATTTCCCTGAACTGCGCATTTTGCGCATCGATCAGTGGCTTTGTCTCTGGCAAAGCGTTGTTCCAATTCTCGATCAGAATGTTTGCCGATGTCTCCTTGGAGTAAAAGAGTTTTCACTTGGATGCACTGGTGTTGATGGTTCAGCCGTATGGTGTTGCAAAAACCCTTTAACATAGCTATGGAGTCCTCCTGAGGATACTAGCTACTTGGACTTCCACCCGATGACATGTATACGAATAAATAAACCAAAAACGTGGCCACAGTGGCAGATCGCATGTCCTTCAAACCCGCACCCCCAACCAAAGGTGCTCCATCCTGTTAAATCCGAGGGTCGATGTCTCTCCAAGTCACTACTTCTTTTCGTTCAGTCACCTCCGATTGGCCTAGCACGTGCTCTGCGATGATTCGGTCGAGATCTTTTTGTAGTTCCTCAGGCACGAAACCTCCCACAGGCCTCCCTTTGGCTGGAAGCGCAAACTTCTGACGCCATGCTTTCGGCACTTCGACGAGGCGGCTGCGATCTGAGGCAGGCAACAACTCCCATTTTTCGTCTTCGGCTTGCTTTGCCCATTTGTGTACATGACACGTGCGAACAATGTTTGGTAATTGCCTTTCAACTTCTTTCTGCAGATTCCTTTTCAAGATGTCTTTGGCTTTGGCTCTGTGCTCCAAAAAAGCCTCCCTTTCTTCATTCGTGAGATTTCTAGGAATCCTTTCACGTGCTACTGCTGCTGCCTCGTCCCGGTTTTTTTTCAATTCATTGTACAGCCGCACCGCTTTGAGTTTGTCTTCAATCCAGATCTGCCTACGGGCCTTTGCAGGTTTCTCATCCCACTCTTCGTCCTTCCTGCCTCTCCTCAGCTTTCCTTTCAGAGCCACCTTGCTGTGATAGTTTTGTCTTCTTCGCTTCCTGACAAAGATAGCTTGGGGACAACCGCATTTAACATAGACATGGCCCAGCCGAGAATGCACACGTGAACAGCTAACCATCAGCTGGTGGATCTGCAATGGAAAATAAACATTTAATATAGCGCTGAATTACCATATTTATATTGATGTGCATGTATGATCCAAAAGATGGACCCTCCAGCCATCCTAGAGCAGTCAAGCGTCTTGATTTTCGCAGGATCCTGATTGCTGAATTTCTCAAGTCTTTGCTTCTCGTCTTCTTCCTTCTTTTTTGCTTTTCCGGCAAGTTGATCAAGAGAGGCACTCTGTTTCTCCAAATTCTCTTCAGTTGCTTTCAAATGCTGTCTGAGTTGCGCCAGCTTCTCTGTCACAGCCTCAAGGCAATCTGGAAAACTGAGCATGTTGTCCTGGAAAACCTCGGGAATGTCGCCCAACTTGGGAAGAGCATCGGCTGGGAAAGCAGTCATGAAATAGTCTGGCCAAGACATGGCTGGGTCTTTTTTGCTGCCATGTGTTGCAACATCTATGATGTAAGAAAGGATTGTTTTCCAGAGCTCGACTGCCTCTTTGGTGCTTTCCAAGTCTTGAGTCAATCCAGACACTTGTCCCTCAAGTTTGCTTGTCATGCCTTCCAACCTTGCTTTCTTCCTCGCATGCGTGTCCACCTGCCTCTGCAACAAGGTCCTGAAAGGCTTGGAGCATTTTGACAGACAAGAGATACAATAAGAACTGTTCTTAACCTAAACATGGAGCTGGGCCGACTGCATACGTTGCATCTCTTACCCGTACCCCGAAAAGCCTTAACATAGCTATGCGCCGTGGACCTGTGGTAGGGTAAATGTTAGTATACTGAGATAATGGTTCAGGCCCCCAGAATAACGGAATTCAAACCTCTCCTCTTGTTGCTCAACTTGGCTTGGGCTGACTGCATACGTTGCATGTCTTACCCGTACCCAGAAAATCCTTAACATAGCTATGCGCCGTGGACCTGTGGTAGGGTAAATGTTAGTATACTGAGATAATGGTTGAGGCCCCCAGAATAACGCAATTCAAACCTCTCCTCTTGTTGCTCAACTTGGCTTCCACGACTGCCTTGTGTTTCTCACCTGCTTCGTGCTGATCAACCTTTTTCTGGTAGTCTTCTGAGTGCAAGAGCCCCAGTGGCAAAGATCCCAACTTGCCATTTGGCACGATGAACACAGAATCAGGTTTGGCATCCACCTGATCATTTTTTTGAAACTCATGGAACACGATGGTGATGTTCTCAAAGTCAGGGCGGTCGTGGACTTTGTTGTTGCTCAGAGGTCTGGATGTGGGAAGGATAAAAACGTAGATCCCCGTCTTTGGATGCGACCCACGTGAAGGGTCAAGGTTGTTCGGAATCTTTGCCACAACCTCCCCACGGGGAAAAAACTTGGGAAAAACACCATTAACATAGCCATCAGTCTATGGTTGGGTGGCTTGTATCCCAGCAGGATTCTTGTAAAGCTGTCATCATAGTTGCATATGCCTAGTGGTACTTTAACATGGCTACGGTCATCCTTAATTGATTAGCTTTTTGGCTATATTTGTGATCAAACACATGCCTTCTTTGCAATTACAACCAAATGCTATGAAGCTGCCCTGGGGTAATTTAAAATAGCTATGGAGAACAAATCATATATATATATAATGTGTATATTGTATACATAAAATATATATATATATATAATTGTTTCTTTAGGTATTCCTTGGTCCAGTGTCCATAGCTATGTTAAAAGCCCCTCTGATACAACATGGTTTGGCAGTACCAGGCCTGAGATATGTCTCCAGCGAAGGTATCAAAGGTGAAGATTCCGCCAACAGGGTTGTTTTTCAATTGGATGCTAGCATGCTTCCAAAAGAGTGTTTCGTCCTCGAAGTAATCTCCCATCATCAGGCAACACAACCGGGGCCTGGACTTTTTGTACATCCTGCAAGCATCTTCTCCCAGAACCCCGACATAGTTTTCAAGCCTCTTTTTCTCTGCAGTGTCTGGAAGAGTTTCCACCTGCTTGAACTTGTTCAGCGCAACAGCTGGAACAACCAGATCACAGTGCATGAAACGATCATGTGCACTTACATTTTGTTCCGCACCCTTTCCAGGCATGTCAAGAGCATCTTTCCCATACATGTCAGTTATATCCTGATTTTCATCTTGCTTTTCTCCCTCCTGATTTGGTGTTTTACTGGAGCTACCTTTTTCTGCTTCCTTGCTTGGGTGGGAACCCCCAGAAGAACTTGGCTGAGCAGGATCGACCGATTCGGATGGGTCTGCCACAGGCTCATTTTTGAAACCAGGATCTGCCACAGGCTCACTTGTGAAACCAGGATCTCCACCACCATATTGCGAAGACTTTTCGATGTCTTCCTTCAATTGGTTGTCACCTGAAGGGAATCTGTCACTCCAATAGACAATAACATGGCTACTGGCCCGCTATTGGATGTGTCCGGGGCATTGTTTTTATTAAAACTGATGCAGGTGATATACATGGTAAATATACCTGATTGAAGCAAAATTGATTCAGAACTGCCGGAAGCTTGTTAACATAGCCGTGCTGATGACATGTGTATAGATTTTTTTTGTGTCCCCATACACTTCGAAAGGGCATTAACATAGCTATGCACTGTGCAGAGACGTATGAGACAAAACAAAATGATAGGTACCACATAACTATTCACCAAAAATGGGAAAAACACTGTTATGGTGCTTTTTGAATCTTTCTCAATCCAAATAATGGTCAACAAAGCTATGGCACATCCGAAGGTAGCCACAGAAATGGTAGATTGAGCTGTTGTGTGGATTTTCGAACAACAAAATGTTTAAAACTATTTTCTATATACGTTTGTCTGCTGTAGTCTCTGGTAGTTGCCAATGTCAAGGCAGTTTAACCTAGCTATCGTCTGGCCCTACATGGCCAGCATTTACCCCAGTGCAGCATAGACTTGTTTACAGAACTCTCTCCCAAGGGACTCTACTCTCTTCAGGAGTGCTTGTAAGTGACAGTGATCAATGCCAGTTTTTTTAACATAGACTTTCTGATTAAATTAATTTCTCGCAGCTGCACATCAAAAAAGCTGGGTCCCCAACAGTTCTGGAAGATGATAGCATCGACAAAATCAGCTTTGCGTCTCGACTTGACCTTGACTCCGAAGACCTGCGCTCTTTCCCGAAGTTCTGCGGCCGTCATGGAGCGCGTGATGTCCACCTCGAAGTTGCGCTTCTGGATCAAGCAGAGAGCGATGTCGGCCGCAATTTTCGTAGATGTGAAGGCCTGCCGAAATTATTTAGATAGAATGCACAGCACAATCTGTATCTGGGAACTTATCCTCCTAACATAGCTATCCAACAGGAGGAAAAACATACATTTGTGTCATTTCCAAGAAACTTCATCGTAAACTTTCAATGGTTTCAGGTCTCTCGGCATTTCAATTACGAAGTAGCCAGGTTGTCGGTCCCAACCACTAAGTGAATCTAGCGTCTCTTCTTGCTCTTTTGAAATACCTTTCCTCCATTCGTATGTGGGGTCTGTGTCTTCCTGTGGCTGACCTTCCTCTTCTGCTGCCTTGCCTTCATGCTGTTCTTGTTCTGGTTGCTTTTGCTGTGAAGTGTCTGCTTGTGGTACATCTGCTTGTGGTGCATCAGCTTCTGCTTGCTGTTGCTCGGGAGCGGTGCCTGGGATCTCTTGTTGCTCTGGCACCTGCGGCTGGCTGACCTGCTTCTCAGATGCTGCTCCATGCTTTGCCTCAAGCTGTTCTTGTTCTGGCTGCTTTTGCTGTGAAGTTTCTACAGCTTCTGCTTGCTGCTGCTCGGGAGCGGTGCCTGGGATCTCTTGTTGCTCTGGCACCTGCGGCTGGCTGACCTGCTTCTCAGATGCTGCTC